GACCCAATTCTTGAGTTGGTTTTGGTTCTAAATATAAAACCCATTTTTTATATTTATCAATTTTATCTAAATTACCCCTATGGATACTCCCTCAACTATAATCAAGTAGAAGAGGGGGATGGGGTATTAAGAAAGATGATTATGGTGTTTTAGGAAAAATGTGTCACTTTTTTTATAATTAACTAACTTACCTAACTTCCTTAATCTAATCAAATTAGTTAAATGGATTTTATATTAAGGATCGGAGGAGTATTTGAGCTTCAGACATGGCTGGGTCTATCTATCCATATCTATCTGTGGGTTGAAGAGCACAATCTGCGTACTCTCTCCGATCCCATTCTTGTGGCCGGTGGTTCTGACAAGAAGGCTCACCGAACGTTCCGTACTGCGTTACAACTGTTTATATCTTTTCTTTTCCCTCCTAAATCAAAAGCACCACAAACCCCAACCGTCTGTGTTTCTCATCACCTTCCCCGAAGCCCACATAATAATAAATTAATAACCAATACTAATGAAAGAGAAAACTGTGATAAAGTATGAAGGGAGGGCAGCAAAAGTTTCAGGCTGCTTAATCATATGGGTAGTCTGTCTAGCTATCCTCACGTGGGGGCGGACACATCAATAAATACGAGCAGCTATTCTATTGTAAACTCGTTCCTTTCGATCTGTTTACAAATGTTTTGTTCGGGATTTGACTCTCCACTGACTAAAATGAGAGAAGGGAAGAGATGTCTTATTCTCGGAGAGGCTGGATGCCAATAATGCATAATACACTGTCTACTTCCTCACTTGCCCCACCCTCTGTTCTGTTGGATCATCAATTTCCACGGGCCAGCCCCATTTATTACAGAACAAAATTCCAAGTGCTGAGAGGCTGATTGACGTGTCAATTTCCAATTTGTTCTTCCCAAGAAAATGAGCAGAGTGATGAAGATATATACACAAGGAGGATGCACATGGCTGGAATCATGTCAAAATAATTGGTGCGTGTTAGGTAAAAGGGACGTATCTGGCCGATATCCCTGCCTCTGCCCTTATCCAGGTGAGGGCATTAGAAATTAATCACGATGCGGCTTACAAAATATTGGAATGGGGATGCGAGTGGCACGCAGAGTTTATCAGAAGGAAAGCTAGCTAGGGGGTTCTGCTTTTTGTCGTATTGAGCGTCGAGAATTTTTTTTTTTTGGGGTGGGGGTGTAAAAGCAGGGTTGATAGATGACAAGAAGGAAGCCAGGTCAGAGAGGTCAGTACTGAAGCACCAAAACCTCTGCCTCCCTCGCTCTCCTGTCGTTCTCAGTTCAGTAAGTGTGAATGGATGTGCTCGGTTCTGGTCACTTTTCAGTTTTCACTCAGAATTCCCTTTGCGGCAGGCAAATTCTATATCCAAGATATAATTGTAATTTCATTGTTTGATAACAAAAGGTTTAGGCATTACATGATCAGGTTGATATAAAATTTCTCTCACATATTTATTTTATGTTTTATAAATTATGATTAAAATTTTATTTACAAATCATTTTAAATGGGTTCTAAATGTATTGAGTAAGCTGGCTTATCAAGATGAGGAAAACAACATTATCAATGAGACTTGAGTTTATGAATTATGAGTCGATTGAAGAAGTGTTTGGGTAAAAACAAAATCACAGTTTTAAAAGTATTTTTACAGTATATGAAGTAAACATGTAAAGAAGTTTTTTTTTTTATTTTAAAAAAATATTTTTTAAAAATATTTTTTGGGCAATCCACCAAACACTCGATAATTGTAATTTCATTTCATGCTTCCTTCGTCACGGGGCCTGTTTCAACCCCATTTAAGTGGACGCAAGCCTGGAAGCAAAGATGGGGTGAGGGGTCTATTTACTATCCTTGCACGCCATCCATTGTCAGAAATCACACATCAGAAACCCCACAGCAACACCAAGAACGTCAGTATTTTTACCACCTAGTCCAGCAGATCCAATCCCATGCTTATCTTAATCTTAAACTTGATATCAATACGGAATACTTGCCTTAAATTTATACACACAGTCTTGGTCAGAGTGGAAAGATTCTTTTTTTTTTTTCCCTGAAAGAAAAAACAAAACATAGAAGGTGAACGGAAGACCATGACTCTACGAAACATGCACGGGTGGGGCTCAATAATTTCCTGCGCTGCCGTTTGAAGTGAATTTACATCAAAGGATCTTGATCACACGGATAATTATCAAAGGCTTATTATATTTTATCTCTAATATTAAATATAAGAATTAGTTAACTAATTTAAATAAATCAAAAAAATAAATTAAATTAATTATTTATAATAAATATATGTTATCTTTTCTAAAATATTCATATTAATCAAATTTATTGATTAAAACTATCATTATTACAATGACTATCTTGAAAAAAAAAAGAATAAATATAATAGACAAAATAAATTGAGATTTTATCTTTATGACCAAAATAAAAATCAAATAAATTCTTATATTAAAAAACAAAATTAGTAATTTAGAGCTAATAGGATATGCACCTTTCAAACACGTACGAATACCGAACCAGCATTACAATAATACAACGTGCTCCCCACATTTTCAGTGCATTTTCAATCCTAGCAGTTTTGTTACAGTACACAAAACATAACAATCTATCCTATTAAGACGTTACAATACTCATAAGCCCATAAATAACATGATTTCTTTATTAGATTATTTATTATAAAGCTTAAGAATTTAGACATGTAGAATTCATTTCTATATAGTATAAAATTTACAAAACACCACGCTATCATTTACCCGATCGACTTGTTATTTGTTATACATAAGCATTGATATAATAATAAGGCATCCAAAAAGACAAATAGTCATGTGGAAAAAAAAAAAACCAGCAACAGGGAAAGCATTTTAAGCTCGTAAAGGCCACAGTACCTGTGAAACTCCCCATTACGAAACAGCATGTCGTCACCCAAAGACTTTCTTTCACCAGTGCCAAACACCCATTCATCTGATTCCTGACGTCACACTCCACATCTTCCATATATACGTAAATTTTCCGCAGAGAGGGAAAAAGATTAGACATTCCAATGTCCGCATATGTACTTTTCCATAACGCGTTGGGCTTCCGGCTATATGTTAACCTCAATTGCTTCGCATGTACACAGGCGCCATTTGCTCTCTCTTTTCCATTGGGATTCCGGAGACCTGTTGATTACAAGATTATATTATTCCAAGTTTAGCATTAGAGTTTTCCGTTTCATCGGCCGCTTCGCCATTAAATCTTCATATAACATCAGGTAAATAAGTTGTTTGCTAGCGAGTAAATGGCTATTTGTCATGTGGTTGAATCAAAGGCAATGAGCCGGATGCGTGCAAGAAATCTGAAAGCATCCTGTGAACTTGAAAAGAAATAAGACAACGCTGACAAGAAATCGCGTGCCGGCTTGTTATTTCCACGTCTATACTGTATGGAAAAGTGACAATTGCGTTTGGGTTCAGTGGAAATAATACTACCTCGCGCTCTCTAACGTAAATATAAAAACTACTTAGCTAATTTAAGTACGTTAAGAAAATTAGATACTGTTTGGTACGAGCAAAATAAAGAGGGGGGAGGAGAAAAAAATTTTAATGAGCTTTATTTAAAAAAATTAAAGAAGTAAGGTTTTGAAATATTAATAAGGAGAAAAAATAATATAAAAGAATAATAAAAATTAATCAAGAGCTTTTTTAAACCAAGCTTGTTGAAATTTTCCCTCCTTTCCCTTCCTCTCCTCTTATTTTCTCTTATACCAAACGGATTTTTAGATATGTTAATATTTATAATAAATAGATGCTGTCTTTTATGTATTGGTTAGAATTATTGTCATTATACGAACTATCATAAAATATATATAAAAAATAAAAAAAATTAATATTTTATATTTAAGACTAAATTAAAAACCGGACGAAATTTGACTATGAATCTTATCTAACATATATCCGCAGCTGCAGGAACCTGCAAATGCCATTCCCATGGTCACCTCGGAAAACACATATCATTGGGGTCATATGGAGTGTATATCCCACAAAGCAACACGTGTGTGGGGGGAGGCATGCAGCCAGCCAAGCATCCTGTTACTTGCGTATACCATATTCATTATTCATCGCATATACCTTGGGCGTTATAAGAATCCATGTTGTTGATTGTTTGATTAAACAAACTTCTTTGTTCAACCTCTTTTCGTCCGAAAACACAAAAGATAGATCCGCCAGCCAGGCGGAGATCACAGAAGAAGTGGAGGGGACTATCGTAGGAGAAAGGAAGAGGAGGAGGCTGTGAAGAATGTAAAATAGAGACATACCAATGGTTGAGGACTTGGTGTAATTTTCTATTTAGAATTGGATTTTTGAGATCCCAGCTAGATTGTTTTAGATTTATAATCCTTGCACAGCATAGAGTTAATTTCTTTAGATTCCCTTTATCCTAAAATACGCCTTAGGCAAAAGGAGAGAAATCATTCGCGACCAATTTGCCATGAAAAATGTCCAATCAAACAGTAGCTGGATGTTTAAACAATGCGTAGTCACTCCAAACTAAAGACTTGGGGATATTTGAGATAGGCTGAGATGAAAAACACCCGAAAATTTTACAAAGTCATTTTGAACAATACTGACAGAACCCTGCTATAGAACCCATAAGATCATCCCTGAAGCATCAATGAGCAGGCTGATTGTATGGCATTTAAGGTGAAATTTGTATTTGTTTAAGAAGTAAGATACAAAAATCTATTGAGACATCCCATTCTAATCACATAAAGGCAGGGGGGGGCACAGGATGGCCATGTCTTGTGGTCTTTCATTCTATCTTCATTCGTGAAAAATTATCGTTTGTTAACGGCTTACGCTGTAACAAAAACGCAAATTCCACGTGTCCTCCTTCGAACCCCATTTCACGGAATGCCCATAACGTTACCTCGCCCTTTATCATTTTCCAGACCAGATTACTTCATTGACTCTCTCTCTCTCTCTCTCTCTCTCTCTCGCATAGTGGCGTGGAGCCCAGAGCTGGACCTCTGCATTGCTGGCTCCAAGCTCTCCCTTGTTGGTCTTATATGTGGCTTGTCCTCTCAGACCCAAGGCAAAGCAAGGGTTTCAGTTGGCCAAATCTTTCATGCACACCCGAAATTAAAGTTGTCATCTTAAACTCCCTTGTCTCTACTCTTCAACAATTTCATCCTCTGCATAGCACTAACTGGTTAGATAGCGGAAAACACCTACAAAAGTAACCCACTTCTGCTTTTTTTTTCCTCTTGATTTGATGGATCCACAGATCTAATGCTTTCATCCACACTTATCTTTCTTCTCCCTTCCAGATCATTCTCTTCTTCAACTCGGGCATTCAATAGCTAATCAATAGTCAAACTATTGGGTGAGATCTCTCTCTCTGGAATTTGTTTCTTTAAAATGAAGAAACCTTTAGTTTTTGTCATTATTGGCTCTTATGAAGATTATTGTAACTCTTGGGGTTTTGATTTCCAATGTGAACGAGAAGGTCGGGCCTCGAACGAGCTGACCAAAACTCTCTCTCAGAAAAGCAAGTGGGGTTGACGTCACCTCGTGGCACGAAAAAAAAGAAAGAAAGAAAAGACGCGAAGAATTGTCTTTAACTCTTTCTCCCTTGTTGAATTATTCATCGTAAAGGACCTTACCTGGTCCTAGTTTCATTTTTCTTAGCAAGAAATGAGGTCGAGTTTAGGGCAACTCTGCTTATGCGAGATGTTTGACCCGTAATTGAATTCACCTGTATTTGCTTGTTGATTGTCTTGTAGTGGATCGTCATTATTGTGGTGAAAAGTTCCGGGCTGTCTCAATCGTGACTGAAAATTCTGAGGGCGAAGTAGTTTATCGATCGTTAATAGATGTGGAAACTCTTGAAGGTTGTTTGGTGAGATGAGGGATGTTATCAGAGTTGATGAACTTTCTGAGGGCCTGCTTTCGGCCAGTTTCGCATCGTTATGCACGAACAGGTTCAGATGGTGGAGGTAGACAAGATGGGCTTTTATGGTACAAGGACTCGGGGCAGCATTTAAACGGCGAATTTTCAATGGCTGTGGTCCAAGCCAATAACTTGCTGGAGGATCAGAGCCAACTTGAATCTGGCAGTTTGAGCTCCCATGAATCTGGCCCTTATGGAACCTTTATCGGTGTCTACGACGGCCATGGAGGACCGGAAACATCCCGATTTATCAACGATCACCTGTTTCACCATCTCAAGAGTAAGTAACTTCTTGATGGAAGATATTCTGTCAGGACGATAGTATTGCATGGTGGGAATTATGTTCTCTAATAAAAACATGACAAGTGAATTGTTTCGAACTCAGCACCATATGATTGGCCTCCTTATGTTTTGATTGAAAATAGGAGATGATCACAAAATTTCATCTTAATTTTGTCCTTTGTGTATTTCTGTGGCACGTTTTATCTGCTTTACCATTTCAAAATTCTTCAGTACGTTAGGTTGTTTTTAAATTGAGAAGATGTATGTAGGAGTTTACGGTTTAGGATACACCCAAACAGCCATCAAGCCCATTTTTATATGATTTTGAAAGATTAAGGAATGGAAAAGTTTGTATTTCATTGAATTGTGTATTCCTCTCATCTACAGTACACAAGACTGTGCTAGTTGAAACCGAATAGGTCTAATTAAAGGACTCTTTCACTGCAAGACCGAAAAGGACCCTTTCATTCTCTCTTTCAATTTTCTTTTATCTCAGATTAAATGTGAAAGCATGGCTGATGACATGCTTTCAATTGTTTGGTGCAAGAAATGGTGGCAGGGGTGATTGTCCTTCGTAGTATGTGCACGTATCTTATTATTGTATGCAGTGAGGTTAAGGTTAGAAAAGCTGTACAGTATACACTACATTGTAGGGTCTTAGTACCTGTCTAGCTGCTTGGCTGTTATTCTGTATTTGGATTCTTAATCTCCACGTGGTGATTGGCTGAAAGAATTCTTGCTCAACTTTTAATTGCAGAGTTCACTGCAGAGCAACAATCAGTGTCTGTAGATGTAATCCGGAAGGCATTTCAAGCAACAGAAGAAGGATTTATGTCACTTGTTGCCAAACAGTGGCAAATGAAACCACAAATTGCAGCAGTTGGGTCGTGCTGTCTTGCTGGTGTTATTTGTAATGGTAACATTTATGTAGCAAATCTTGGTGATTCCCGTGCTGTTTTGGGAAGAGCAGTCAAGGCAACTGGAGAGGTTCTAGCCATGCAATTATCTACAGAGCACAATGCAGCTTTAGAGCCTGTTAGACAGGAGCTGCGCTCTTCGCATCCCGATGATCCACAGATTGTTGTTTTGAAGCATAATGTATGGCGAGTGAAGGGCCTTATACAAGTGAGTCATTTATAGCACATCATTTAGTTTTCATAATTGCCCAAGCCAGTTATATTTTTGCTCTATCTGCTTTTTGTACATGGTGATACACTTCATGACAGATGCTCCATTCCTATGCTCAAAGCTTTCATCTCGTTATGCTACAGTTTGAAACACTTCACCACTGGAGTAATTAACCTCATAGTGTATTCTTTTGGGATGTGAAGAATGACTTGTAATGAAAGCAAATGAAAGAAAACAAAGGGGAAAAGAGGTTAGTAGTGCCCCAAGGGGGAAGAGGAAGAAAAATTTTCTACAATTGTCAAGATTGTTGATAGAAAGGGGGCTTAGGCTATATTTTCTTCAACTCTGCATATGTTTTTATGGCTATCATATTTAGAATTGGTTTTTGTTACAGAGTCACAATAATGACTCTACATAACCAGAATTTCCATTTGCATGGAATGATCAATTAATTCTTGTTATCTCATTATCATATGGAATTCCTGCTCAACTTCATGATCACGCCCCTCTGTCCATCTACCCACTGCTTCGTCAGTCCATCTCGGTGGAAGGGAACTTGGACTCTCAAGTCTTATTCAGATCCTATAATAGTGGAAAAACAATTATATTTCTGATTTCTTGATCAGGTCTCATCAACCGGAAAAGTATATCAGCATCAGCATGACTTGAATTGAAGTAAATTAATTTTTCATCTTTTTTTTTTCCCCTCTAATCCAAATATGTCATTATAGAATCCTTTACCTTTCAGATTTCTAGATCCATTGGGGATGTATATTTGAAGAAGGCTGAGTTCAATAGAGAACCTCTATATGCTAAATTTCGACTTCGTGAGCCATTCAAGAGGCCAATACTGAGCTCAGAACCATCAATATCAGTGCACCAGTTGCAGCCACATGATCAGTTTGTTATATTTGCGTCTGACGGACTCTGGGAGCACCTTAGCAATCAAGAAGCAGTCGATATAGTTCAAAACAATCCCCGCAGTGTAAGATATGAATTTATATGCCACAATAATAGACATTGCTATGCAAACTCTTTGTTTAAATTGTTTCTAGACGGTAAACGCCATTATTACAAACGGAAGTTGTTTGGCCAGAGGAATATAATCTCCTGCTCTGTTGTGGTCTAGCAGTCTAACTGAATTTGAAGTTGCAGGATTTTTTTTCTTCTATATGTACCTAAAAATGTGTTGTCTGATATCATTATCCTGTAGAACTCTAATTCTGGATCATGAAGCCTTCCCTTAGTTTTGCTGACTCTTGCAAAATTAATCATCTGTTATGAGTTTTTGTTAACATCAAAGTTCAAAGATTAATGATAAGCTGATATTTTTATGGTATGTTTCGCTCCTTGCCCTTGAAGCTACAGCAAAACTGTCGGATAATCTTGATAAGCAATGAGCTAGGAAATGGCATTGCATATAATAGGTTTCAACTACTTAATAACATAAATAGATCTAAAATTTTTCTCCTGATTAATGCATGGCTATGAAACACCTTAAAGCGATTCTTATGATCGTGTTCGTAGTTGGTAAAGCATACAAGGCAGCAAGCTTAGTTGAAAATGGATGAATATTTTACGTGTTATGATTTCAGGCAAGCGCGAGGAGACTGGTGAAAGCTGCCCTTCAAGAAGCAGCGAAGAAGAGAGAAATGAGATATTCGGACCTAAAGAAAATTGACCGTGGGGTTCGACGACATTTCCATGATGACATTACTGTGATTGTGGTATTTCTTGACTCAAATCTGGTCAGCAGGGCAAGCTCTGTCAAATTCAACAATATATCAGTTAGAGGGGGTGGAATTACCCTTCCTCCTAACACGCTGGCACCATGTGCGACGCCAACAGAGGGTGGTGGTACCTGATTTAAGTTGTATTTCTATCTTTTTCTTCGTATCATTCTCTAGTGTGAATACCAGGGATCATTAAATAGCAACGAGAGGAGGAGGAGCGCTTGAATTCTTTATATCGTGAACTGTAACTTTACTGGAATACCACTAATACTCGTGCTTAGTTTCTTTCCACAACTTCAAAGAACAGAAAATATCTTCTCATCTGATCTTGATCATTGATTATAAATTTATATTGAGCTGCCTTGGCACCGACTTTAACAACGGGGGAAAAATTCTTTAGGGATAATTAATCTCCGGGTCCTTATAATTTCATTTGATTTTTAATTGGGTCCTTATAATTTTTTTTCTTTTTATCAGGTCCTTTTACTTTTGGTGTGTTTTTAATTAGGTCCTTCTATTTTTTTTCTTTTTATTAGGTTCTTATAGTTTCATTTATTTTTTAATTAGGTCCTTTGTAGTTTTTAAAAAATTATTTATTAACTTTATTTTTAAAAATTAATTTCATTTTTAAATTAATAATTACATAATTAGACAAAATAATTAATATAATCATTTAGTAATTAATAAATAATCAGAATAATAATTGTACTTAAATATAAATTATTTATAATTATATTTTAATTTTAGAAAAATTTATTATTGTAATTTGAATCTTATAATTATAAAAATTAGAATTGAAAATAAATAATATATTTGTTTGACTAAAAATTTAAAAGAATATTAACATAAGATTGTTACAATAATTTATTATTTTTAAAATTTTATTATTTATAAAATAAAGAATAAAAACTACAAGGACCTAATTACAAAACAAAGTAAAACAATAAGGACCTGATAAAAAGAAAAAATATTATAAGGACCTGATTAAAAATATGTGAAAGTATAAGGACCTGATAAAAAGAAAAAAAATTATAAGGACCTGATTAAAAACCAGTTGAAACTACAAGGACTTGCATATTAATTATTCCAATTCTTTATTCTGATACCTTTTCTGTCGAGCAAAAATTGTGATTTGAATCGCAAGGACTTGTATACTTCTATCCAAAATGATTTGAGAACTTTTATTGATATCAAATGTAAATGAAAGCAAGCGGTTGAATTTCTTGACTTTATGTATGTGAACTACGTGATGAATGATCAATACTATTGAATGACAATTATAACAAGATTTGGTTTATCATTTTCTACCATTCTACTTCTGTGTCTCCTTTGTCTCGTTTGGCTTCAATTGAGTTGTTGGGGTGGATCTTTATCTGAGGCAATTTCGGGAACTGTGAGCGAACTCTTATATATGTAATCACATGACTAATATTTACGTTGTATCCGTTGTTCTGTGGGTGAACAAGAAGGCTTTTAGGTGATCACCAATTAACCATTCAGTTTTTTTTTTTTTAAAATAAATTTAACATTACAGACGGTCCTTTACATAATTGAACAGCAAGGCGACTAGATAAATATCATCCAAGAACCGAAATAAAGTATAGCATTCCTCCTGTCTTAAATATAAGATTTATTTTTTAGTATAATTTGTACTAAAACAATTAGTTTTATATTTAAGATCCGAAAATGCACTATTGTTTTTAATTAATAAAAATAAAACCAAAGGTGCAACCAGAGTGAAGAGAGAGAGAGGAGAATGACACCTAGATGGGACCAAACCAAGGGAGTAATTTATGGTCTCTGAAATGGAAGCATGACATGCTCATTTGACAGCTAAAAATGGAGAGAGAAATTTAAGCATATGCAGGAGAATTTTATTTTTTTCTTCTTTAGGTACAAGCATCTTCTAATAATTCTATTCAAAACATTATTGGATACTAAATATAAAATTTTTTTTAATACCCCATAGTGTTTTAATAGTATTTTGAATATGATTATATTTAATGGGACAATCAGGGGAGGAGCCGGGGAGCTGTGTACCGCTGTTGTGTTATGGGTAACAATGGGACTGTTTCATGAGGGCTGGACTGGGCTATCGGTTGATTTGGTCAGTCCGTAGTAAAGAGCCCAATGGACTCGACAACTTAAATGGGCAGTCGTCAGTAATTTTAATATCAATATATAACATAATATTTACCAAATAATTTATCATTTTATTTTGTTGTTCAATGTCTGGTCTCAGCTCCCAATCGTGAGAGACTTTTTTTTTAGTAGGATGGTATCGTTGACTCAGGGTGTCCCAGTACAACGGTCAGACTAATCCCAGGTGCACTTGCCAGGTATCGAGCCCATGACATGATAGGGAAGGCGCCTTGCGTTCCCGTTTGCGACCAGTCGGACCTGACCCTGCAGGCACCAATCGTGAGAGACTTTAATAGGAGCCTGTTGGTTTGTTTCAACATTTATTTTATTTACTGTGCGTGGGCACCTCACACTGACACTGACACAACACTTGATCCTCCTCAAAGTGTACAGCCTGATGTGTTTGGACGCTACCAAAGTGCTGGCAATATCTAATCCATTTACTCAGGGATAGATTCGTCCTCATGTTTGTGGGCAGGGGCAGTTTCGGATTTTGATGTGCTGCTAAGCCATACCTAAGCACAATTATTCTCTCATTATGCATGAGCACCGCAGGAACCCCACCCTGTTTTAAGTTCTGAAAAACATTTAAACAATTACTGACAAGGCCCTTCGTCTGCCCCGGTCGCACCAGTGGTCGTGCTACTTTTCTTACACCTGTTTTCACTTTGACTCTTCTTTTTACTCATGAGCTTGCCTCTGTATCTGTGAACCTCCTTAATTTTCCATTAACACACCTTTCCTTTTTGGGAGGATTTCAATACGGCAGCCTGGCAGTAATTTAAACAAAAATGAGGATTTAAAAAAGTAGTACTCCTTCAATCCTTAATATAAGATCCATTTAACTAATTTGATTAAATTAAGAAAGTTAGATAAGTTAGTTAATTATAAAAAAAGTGACACATTTTTCCTAAAACACCATAATCATCTTTTTTAGTACCCTCTCTCCCTCTTCTACTTGATTATGGTTGAGGGAGTATCCATAGGGGTAATTTAGAGAAAATTGATAAATATGAAAAATGAGTCTTATATTTAGGATCAAAATTAACTCAAGAATTGGGTCCTATATTAAAGACCGAAGGAGTATTTTATTTGTTTACAGTAATAGTATAATGAAAATAACTTGACAGGTTAGATGACAAAGATATTCTTAAATTAGAATCACAGAAATGTGTCTACAAAAAACTCCACAGTTGAAAAACTACACTAGGCACTGACGAAGTCCTCAAAATTGAGATCAAGAAATTTCTTGTTCGATTCTTAGTCATATTTTTTCCTTACCAGTGTCTCTTTTCATGTGTTCAACCTATTTGAATTAGTATTTAAAATCATTTATAAACAAGTAAACACATGAGTATCCCGTAAATCACAGTTCAATAGTTATTTACAAATAATTTCAAACAATTTTTCACTATGAACTCTCATCCATCCGCCAGCTTCCTACTTTGATTTATTATCCCAATTAAACCCCGGATCACCAGAGGGAAGAGGTTCATCGAATGAAGAGAGTGGACAAATCGGCTTCAATCTTTTCCGAAATCATGTTGGACGCGAGAGGAGACATGCATGGGGAGTTTCCATTGGAATAGAAAGCCAAATAAAACCCATCTCACATATGTTTTTTTGGTAAATTATTATTAAAAAATTACTTGCAAGTTGTTGGACTATCATACTGGAAGGATTTTTTTTTTTTGTCGTCAACGCACTTCCTTCGCTTCAATTTAAGGTAATTTAGCCATTTACCTTATAAGTTATTTTCATTTCAGTTCAGAATGCCTGCAATTTATTATTACTTTTGGTGTTTAATATAAGAACTAATTTAATTTTTAATTTTATTTTAAATATAAGATTTTTATTTATTTTTTCTTTCATATTTATTTATTTTATCTTAATAGTTTTTATAATAGTTGATATGTTAAAAATTTTATCATATAATAGTTTTAACTAATATATTTGAATAACAATAATATTTTAAAAAGAATAACACATATTTATTATAAATAAATAATTTAAATAATTTTTTTAATTTATTTAAATTGATCAATTAACTCTTATATTAAATATAAGAGCTAGTATTTTTTAAAAAAAATTTTAATGAAGCTGCCACTTGGTCTGTATTGAAACTTTCCCTTCCTTTTTCTTTACTTATTTTTAAATGCCCCTTTCACTGAGCATGGCTCGTCATGACCGTACACTACCTTCAAGAGCAATTTGCCAAACACTAGAATGCTGTCTTTTCTCTCTGCTTCTCGAGCCCCTACCACCAATACCGTCTCACTCTCGCTCCCTCTCTCTACATCCTCTCCTTCTCCTTCTCTGGGTCTCCGCCAACACTCAGTCAGTGTTATGGGCTTTTCGAGGCTATCTATGCTAATAGTTCGGTTTGTTTGAAGTTACTCGTTCTTAAGTTCGAGATGTTAACAAGTGTGTATCTTGTTTTTAACTTAAATATTTTCCATTATCTGCCACTGTTTGGGTTTTATTTCTGTGCTAACAAGATGGCTGAGAGTCAGATGGAGTGAGTTGTTCTCAAAGTTCCCCAATACCTGCATTTCTACCCATGCTAATCTTTTAATGCGGCAAAGTGGAAAAAGCTGTGCTTTTTTGTATGCTCCTTTAAAACCCAGTTGAAAGCATCTTCTTCTTCTGCTATCAAGGAAAGACCCCTTCATTTTTTTTCATCAGAAAAAGAATACGCACGCTTCTCCAAGTAATAACCTTTCTCATCCTATTCTTCAAAAGCAATCTAACTTTGCTGTAAACCCGTTAACTGGTGAGAGAGATGGGTTGTGTTGCCTCTAAACTAGAGGAAGAAGAAGTTGTAGTTATCTGTAAGGAGAGAAAAAGCCAGTTAAAGATTGCAGTGGAGAGAAGATATGCTCTTGCAGAGGCGCATTGTAAGTACTTCCATTCTCTTTTCGCAGTAGCAGCAGCCATAAAGCTCTTCGTGGCTTGCCATTCTTCTCCTTCCTCATCTTTCCTCATAACATTTCCCCCACCTTGCCCTGCACCATCAGAAGCAGAAAATGTGATAAACAACCCAATGTTCCTCCAGCAGACACCGTTTGAGCCAAAGCATGAAGCTACCACTCGTGATTCGTGTGCTTCTTCAACAACTTCAGAATCACAATCTTCTGAGGAAGAGAGAGAAGAACAAGGGGGCAGAGAAAATGAAGTTATGAGAGAAGAACCAGCTGAACAGCCTTTTGGGTACTATTACATGCATATGCCACCATCAATGCCGTCACCGCAGAGAGATTTCGAGTGGGATTTCTTTAACCCATTCGATGGCATGAGAACAGAGGTTATTAGTGGATATCGTCGAAACTCAGACGACGATTTGAGGGTGGTAAGGGAGGAAGAAGGGATTCCAGAGCTAGAGGATGAGGGTGAAAGAGACGATTTTGAGCAGCAAAAGCCGGTGACTGTGGAAGAAAATGAAGGTGTAATAGAACATGTGAGTGGCAATGTTGAGAGGGTGAATATTGTAAATATGGCTACTGAAAACGAAAACCAGAGGGGCCTTGCTGTTGTTGAAACGCCGGAGGAAGGGAGGGAATTGCTGGATGCTTTGAAGGACATTGAGGATTATTTCGTTAGGGCATATAATTCTGGCAAGAATGTGACCAGAATGCTGGAAGCTAATAGGATACCCCTTCAGTCTGGTTTAGAGGAGCTAAAAGGTGGGTCCTGAGGGTATCTTCAAAGTGTTTGCATGTAATAGCCAAAATTTAGACATGTTATGCTTATCTTTTTGTGCGTCATTAGCAAATATCAGATTGAAGTTGCTGTCAAGGTTATTGAATAATGATAGGAATAGTAGTTCCAAGGAGGTAAATGATTTGTTCCCCAGAAAACTTAGCCTCGCGTAAGCATCAAATTCGCATCTGCCTGCAAGGTTTAGTTCATCCTTTTTCCTTTTATTTTTTCTTTCTTAAAATATCGGCGAATAAGCTTGGGCTCTATATTCTCGTGGATCTACCGTTTCTCTCACATTCCTGCTCAGATCATCTTCTTGTACCTTTATACATATCGATGTGATCATGAATATGGAGAACCGAAATTCACTAACAATGTTGGTCAATGTTTGTCGGGTGCAGCATGTAGTAAGTTATTACTAAATTCTGTCCTATTCCATGAGGCAGTGTTGTTTTCCTGCGCAGAATAGTTCATAATTTGGACATACTTTCTAATCCTTGGAACTTAAAGTTGATGTATCTTGTGCTTTAGGATTGGCTCTAACTTTGTTGTTCTAACTTGGTCGCTGCACATTATGAATTATTACCAATTTCTGTTCTTTACAATGTGTCAGTATTAGTTTCCTGCTCAAGCCAGTTGTTATTTTGGAGGTACTTTCCACTCTTCTGAAACTTAACCCAAAAAAAAAGAAGCCTTATTTCATGTCATTTAATGAATTCCAACCTTAAGGTTTTAAACCAATACTCTAATATGTTTATGTATTTACTTTATTCCTTCATACACTTTGATGATGATTTCCTTATATATTTGTAAGCTGATCCTGAACTTTTCAGTTTCAGCCTCAGAGAATTTGATTTATCTGATCTCAATGCAGAAAATTCAACCAAACTCATTCATGCAATAACATGGCATCGGTCCAATTCCAAGTCTTCATCATGCAAGAGCCTCGTGGTATCAGATGCGAAAAATTCTTCAACTTGGACGGAATATAAGAATGACCTATTTGATGATTATGGGGGAATGGATTCAGGAAGCCATTCATTAACCTTAGGAAGGTTATATGCATGGGAAAAGAAGCTATATGAGGAGGTTAAGGTAAGATTGTTAAGTAATTCCATTTGTTATAATTTATATGTTCTGTTTTCATAGTGACGCATATCATGGGGTGAACCAAGATGATCGGATATAGCTACTTGGTTTCTCTTGCATTTTGCATGTCTTGATGTCGAGGTTCCAGGCATTTCTTTGTGGTGCTCGGTGTCATGGAGTTGATGTGAATTCTTATGATTTTGTTATTAGTTTTTTGGTTAATATAGGCCTAATCAGATCATTGATGATAGCATATCTACCGTGAATTTGAACATTGAATTGTGTGTGCGTGTGTGTGTGTGGGGTGCCAATAAAAATAAGGCTTGTATCAGATGTGAAAAAAATGTGCAAAATTTGGAAGTACACCAATGCGCTGATCATTTTATAGTGGATTGCCTCTTACTTCTACCACCATGCTTATGATTAAATAGACTTGTGAGCTCTTCTGTGGCTGCAGGGTAAGGTTTATCGCCTTATGGGATGGTTTTATACTTCTATTAGCATCTTTCAACTGTATCATGTCTCACGAGATATGATGCAGCTGTCAGTCGTTTTTTCCTTGCTTCGTAATGTTTTGCACGTGTTTTGATGAATTTCAACTTTAAATCTCCACAATGCACTGAAAACGTACATAGAAATTGACAAATTTCTCAAGATTTTTTTTTAAAAATGTAAACTGACTACTTTATTGTATTATTCTTGTTGTTTTACATTTTCAAGCAAGACCTTGGCTCCCTGCTTGTTATACCTTGCTTTCAATAGTAAAAATTTTTTCCTTCACCTTAGGCTGGAGATATAACGAGGAAAAATTATGAGAAAAAGTGTGCACAATTGAGAAACAAGGATGTCAGAGGAGATGATGTACAAAGTACGGATAAAACAAGAGCTGCAGTGAAAGACTTGTATGCTGGGATCTTGGTTGCAATTCGGCGTGCAGAGTCCATCTCAAAAAGAATTCAGAAAATAAGAGATGAAGAATTGCAGCCGCAAATTGTTGAGCTTCTAAAAGGGTGAGATATTGCATCGGGAACTTAAAAGGCTCAGATGATTGAGTTTCAATCTGGTTTTTTATTTTTCTCTTTCCTGATGCAGCCTGGCACAAACATGGAAAGTTGTGTTGGAATCCCATGAAACCCAGAGAAAGATTCTCTCAGAAGTGAAGTCTTTCACCTGTCCCACGTATGGGAAATTCTGCAATGAATCTCACAGATTGGCTACTGTACGGCTGGAAACTCAGCTTCGAAATTGGCATGCCTGCTTCAGACAATACATGGCAGCTCAAAAGGCGTATGTTGAAGCTTTGTATGGATGGCTAAGCAAGTTCATTGTCCCTGAAGTTGAATTTTACTCCAGAAGAAAAAATGTTGCGGTGTCATATCAAGCAAACGGGCCACCACTGCTTGTAGTTTGTCACGACTGGTTAGCTTCACTGCAAAAGCTACCTGATAAAATGGTGACACTTGCATTGAAAAGTGTCGTGAAGGACATGAGAGCTCTGTGGCTTCAGCAAGGTGAAGAGCAGCAGCAGAAAAGGAAAGTAGATAGTCTGTCAAAAGACTTAGACAGAAGGCATTCCGGGTTAAACAAGGTGAAAAGTAAGATGCTCGAGTTGAAAGTCACAGACCAGAAACCAGAGGTGGGAACAGAGCATGAAGAAGAGCATGTGATGGAGAAGAAGGATCAGTTGGAGGCACTTAGAAGAAAACTGGAGATAGAGAAGGAGAAGCACCATAGTTGCATGCAAGAAACACAGAGGATCACGTTACATGGATTGCAATCAGGGTTTTCTCAGGTGTTTGAATCATTGACAGAGTTCTGCAAGGCATCCAGAAAAATGTACAATGACCTTGTGACATTCGGTGAAAATGCTGATAAGGGTGGGGGCATGTCTTATATAGAGGGCTACAACGCTGAAAACTACAACAGTCAAACATGAAACTGATGTTAGGATCTTTATGTTATTCGGTTCCAGTGCATTGTCATGTGTCGAAGCAGCTCGCTGAGACACAGTTAATTTCTAAATTATTGCATTTAAATGCACCCGTATATTAATCGTTCTTTGTGGCCGTGAGAGCCCAAAACATTCGTTTGTGCTTCCTTACGTTTCCCTCTTTATGTGTGCTTATTTCTTTATTTTTCTGGTAAGAGCCATGGGAACTCGATATATTTTGAGAAAACAAGTAATTTCACATCAAGCAATAATTGGCAAATAAAAATAGTTATTGAATTAATTCTTACACATGTTTTCCTTTGACAAAGATGTGAGAATTGTTTTCGCATTTTTAATTATTTTATCTTTTTTTATCCGTAGATGATTTGAGAACCAGCAGTGCCATGACAATTTTAATTTGAGAAGCCTTCCCTCCATCTCCCCCTCACCCTCCCAAGTTTTAGGAATTCAAGTTGTTTTTGAGATTTTACAGAGAATTTTGGCGGTCCAGTTCTATGGCCTACCGGTAGACAGAAAAGATGCGAACACGACCAAAGGGAAACCAGCACAATGTGAGGCAGGGTGTACTCAGGGATCAGTTCGGAACCTCTCCTCTGCCCTTTTCGTCTTATTTCTTTTTTTTTTTTAAATCGTTAGATTAACATTTCAACTGTTTAGATTTTACTTTTTCATAAACCATTTATAAAATTTTTTTAAAAACATTTAGTGTACTTGCAAACTATTAGAATTAAATTTTAATATAGTTTGTAATTTTTTATTTATTTTTATAACTTAATATTTTAATAATAGTTTTAAAAAGATTTAAGTTCAAGCTATTAAAATATTAATCTAACGGTTAAAAAAGAAAGAAAAGGAAAGAGGATAGGAAGAGAAGAGGAGAGATTCCGAACTGCGTAGGGACTCGGGCGAAAACATCTACTTGCTTCTTTTGAATTTTATTTTTAAAATTATTCTCATTTATTTTATAAATTATTTTTTAACCTAAATATAAAGCTAAGTATTATATGTAATAATGTAAATATGTACAAATAAAAATTGAGAAGTACATTTTATTTTTATTCAATTTGAACAATAATTATATAGTTAGGTTAATTAAGAATGTCTCAATAAAAATTAAATTAAAAATTACATTTTTTTTAAAAAAAACTGAAGTTCGATCAAAATATAACAATTATTTTCCAAAAGAAATCTTATTTTAAATATGAAAAATTTTTAAGAGGACGTGTTAAATTTTGCTAGAAGAAAAATGGGGTGTTTTTTGGGTCTATGGAGAAATGGTGGTTATTTCCCGAGTTTTCTCCTTTTCCTGTTCCCATATTGTTGTCTTTTTTTTTTTTTTTGAATACAAGAGGCAAGAAAACTTGACTTACAGCAAAGGACTAAAACCTAAAAAACACAAGGAAAAAGCGAAACAAAACAGAAAAAACGCTAAAAACAAAAGCTAACCATATTGTTGTCTTTAATGCCCTTGTTATCCCCCGCAAAACAAAACTCTCCCCCCGGGGGGGGAGTGGAGGTTATTCAATTGCTACAGCTTATTCAATTTGATGACTTGAACACTCATTCCGTTTTTTTTTTTTTTAATTAAAGTATAGGTATCCTTCTATTAGAAACAATCCTATTCGAGGTACTGTCAGGCACTAAATATAGGCACCTCTCTCAGCGGGGATTCGAACCTTGATTTGTTACGTTGTGAGGGACTAACTTTTTCTGTTAAACCCAACCCCTATTAGTCTCATTCCATTTGACTCTTGAACAAGTTTCTCAGTTTTTTTAACTTACGAAGGACTTTTTACCAAAACAAAAAAGCAAAAATAGCAATTAGTCCCAATCCAAGAGAATTAAATATAAAAAAATTTCTTAAAATTATCAAATTATTCTAAAGTTTCAAGAAATTCTATTTATTTAATCACCAAATTGTCCTTATCTTTTTTTTTCAAAGTATGTATTGATAATTAAAAGTACAGTCATTAACAATTTAAGGTGTAAAAATTAATAACTATCGTGACAACTTATGCATTACATTTTTGTAATGCGCTAAGAAAATGTGTTGTCAATACCTACTATAATAATTATTAATCGTTACATTTTAAATTATTAATAATTATTCTTTCAGTTATTATTACAAAATTAAAAAAATAATAAGAACAATTTAGTAATTAAATAAATAAAATTTTTTACAATGAGGTTTCTTGGGATTTCAAAATAATTTAATGATTTCAAAAGATTTTTTTGTATTTAATTCTTTTATGTGAGACTTTATTGCCATTTTCCAAAAAAAAAAAAGAGTATAGCATTCACGAGGCTCTTCATTAATGCATCCTGCAAGCATTCCTAATTCTTTGAGGAATTCTTGCGTGCTCCGAGAGCACCAAATCATTTATACTCTAACCAATCAAAATACACCATATCAATAAGTCTAATCTGACGTGTTATCTTATCTGTCATTTTTTTAAAAAAACCTACGTCCATCTTCTTCCATCGCTTCTCTCTCCTTAATCGTAACCCTTCTCTTCGTCTTTTTTCTCTAACTTTCCCTTTCTTTTACTTTTTCCTCTTTGCTGCGTTTTTCTGCTTCTATTTCTTCATCTCCCTCACTCTTTATTCATCCTCTCTCATCTTGCCTCCCTCCCCTACCTCTGCGTCACCTACATTTCACCCTCCAACTCCTCCCACCGTCACTCCCCCCGCCCTATCTCCTCCGATCCTCCTTTTCCCTCTTTCAAGTTCTTGAATCTGATTGGTTCCTATTTCAGATCTAAAATCATGAGGAAAAAATTGATCTTCTCTACATTCTGAAATTTATGTGTGGTTTGCTATTTTTATTTTCTGTTGGGCGAAAGGAGGAAAGGAAAGATGAAAGAAGGCCGCTCTGCATCTGGTGGGTAGGGATGGAGTCGGAGGAAAAAAGTTAAGAAGGACAGAGGATTTGAGAAAAGGACGAAGAGAAAAAGATGATGGAGGTAGAGAGAGAAGCGGGTGAAAAAATGGAAACTAAACTTTTAAAAAATGACAAAAAAGCTTGCATGTCAGATTAAATTTATTGATGTGGCATATTTTGATTAGCCAGAGTATAAATGATTTGGTGGTCTGGGAGCACGCAAGAATTTCTCTAATTCTTTTTCAACATTGTAATTAGTGCGGATATAAAAGCGGTTTCAGAATGGTTCAGTAATTTCTGAAAGGAAAAAAAAAACACTTTTAACTAATTTTACCTCCCTCAGTTCCCCTCTTAATTTGAAAAGTTTGTGAAAAGAGATGCGCACGGAAACTATGTCTGGCTCACTCACTGACAGTGGAATCAGCCCAATGTAAGTTTCATGTTTCCGATTTGGCAAGATATGCTGCCGCATTCTATTCAGACTTGAGAGTTTTGTACAATGTGCAATGATTCGCAAGCTAGGGGAAAAACAAAGGCTTGGGTATGAACATGCTGCATGCCAATGGATAATTACAAGTTTTTATTTTTCTTTTTTTTTTTATACAAGATCACTTCGCTCTCCTGCTTACCTATCTCAGGTACAGGGAAACCAAAAACTGAGAGAGAATTATGACTTCGCCAACCACGGCAGCAGGAGAATGGATGCCCAGGAATGGGACAATATCTACCTGCAACCAATTCTCTACAGCCGAGCCTATCACAGCACCAGCTACCAGCCCGCCTATGGTTATAACAGTGGCCTTCCCTGCATAATGCAACAACGCAGAAAAACCATGTAAAATTTAAATCAAACTCCACAGCATGAATTCTAGGAGGGGTGGGGGAGGTGGGATGTAAAAGACGAATGATTTTGCTGAGGAAAAAGGACCATTGAGATGGAAAAAGGGGCACCCTTGGGGCAATAAACTCAAGCAGAAGTAATGTCAAATTTGTTCTATTAACCTAGAAGGCTAGAACCAAACTTTATTGGAATAGAAAGAACAGAAGAACTGAAGTCGATCAACAGGTAGAAGGACCTCGTTCTTGCAATTCTGACGTGCTAGTTAACCGGGCACTCATTGCTCCTGGTCTCATTACAACGCCAGTGATAATTTCAGAACGTGGCATGCTATCGAGCATCATGAATGGGAAGAAAATGAAGTTGCTAATCTTTTCTGGAAAGTTATAATTAATAGCATCATCTCAAAAGACAATCAAGAACTTTTCTAAGTCCTAAACAAAGTAAGTAACGTGAGGTCAGTTCATAACAGTCATTGCCTCCAATATTTGACCCCTCTATATCTACCAATAAATTCTACAGTTCTGCTAAATAAGTATTAAACAGGGTGAAGGTGAAATTTTCCATCTTTAGATTTTTTGCTGATTGTTTTGCCACTCTTTATGGCATTTGTTTCTTCGCAACATCTGTGCAATGAAGCAACCCACTGAACAAAGCAAATTGTGACCCACATAATTTCTTAATATGTAGGCATGACATTAAGGGTCATTACATTTTCACCTCCTAAAGAGTAAGCATCCACCAAAGACCGTTCCACTTAAGTTTAAATCAGAACCTTTTCTAATATCACGAACCTAAACATAGTGGGCATTGTGAGAGAAAGCTTCTTACCCAACTTGACATTCTTTTTGGTCATGAAGTACAAGGAAGCTCCAAAGCTACCAGCCAAGATAAGTCCAGGAACATCAGCTCCCGCATAAGGTGCAGAGGTTGAAGAAACTCCATTAATATAGGTCAAACCCATTAAAGCACCATATACTCCAGCTTGTACACCTAAATCACCAGTCGAAGGAGTCTCAATAGAAACAGGCGAATTCTTCATAGTTGCTTGCAACCATTGAGGAGTTGACCTCAGACCAGGGGGCTTAATAGGTTTGACATCTGCATAACGAATGCTACTACTTACTACTTTTCCTGCTCGCCGTTGAGTAAGGCTCCTCATAAGTAGCATGTCGTATGCAGCCTCAACCTAGAATATCACACACCAATGGCATCAAAAGGCAGATTGACTCCATAAAGAATTTAAAAGGAGTTAATCATGCATGTAAACATCTAATGCCAACACTGTCTAACAGGAAACTGCAAGGAGGTTGGATTGGACCCTGTCGTTTTCAAACAACAGACAATGTAATACTTTATATTCATACTTTTAGTAGAAAGTAGTATTTCCAAATGATATACTTATCTCTTGCCGTGTTGTTCGGTCAAAGGAGCATCAAGCAGTGGGCGATCAAGAAGACTTATGCACAAATGACAGGGAATAAACTAACTTGTTCACACAAAATGAGCATGCTTCAGTTCAATTAAACGTAAAGATCAAGCCTTTAAAAGAAGCGCGGTACTCTGCTTCACTTAGACTAACATTACACAGTCATCTAAAAGAGAAAATCTGAAGTCAACTAGAACTGAAGACCTCTGATCCGTCTCAGAAGCAGCATTCAATTGTTCGATCGGGACTTGCTGGGAAGAATACGGAAATTCATCGTAATTCAGACCCAGAAGCAAAAGACTCTATTTTTACAAACGAATACCACTGATTGCAAGATTTTAGAAAGAAATAATTAAGAAAAATAAGACGATTCTCGCAAACCGTTGAATACATTAAACGGCCGACGAGGGGGTGTCTCAATAATGAAGGAGGGGGGAACAGAATCTAATTTACACAAAAACTCCCAAAAAATCGCATAGAATCAAAGATAGAGTGAAATCGAGTGCAAGAGAGCCGATGAGAAAACCTGAGCAATCGATTCCTGGTCGTCTTTACAATTGGCGAGAATAGAATTCTTAGCGCGTAGTATATCATCGAAGGAAGCGCCCTCAGAGACTCCAAGCAGCTTGAGGGCGTTTTCGACGGACATCTCGTAAGGGGCCGAGTCATCGGCTCTTGAGCCCGATTTAAGTGGCGGGGTCGTCCTCGTCAAGGAGCGTCTACAAGACACGAGCGAGACCCTCCAGGGTTCGGTGATTATAGAGTTTCCGATGAGAGAAGAGTGAAGTCGTCTGACGAGCGGTGTGGGGAAGGCGGAGCCGGGGGAGAGACGGTGGGGCCGAGCAGAGAGGGTGGCAGCCATTTTCTCAGAGAAATGTGAGGCTGTAATGTCTGGCACACCGAGAGGGCACCTAGAGATTAAGATTAACGGTAACTGTATCATGCATCAGCCAGATTTTTGTTGAAAACCGCGAGATCATTGGCCATGGAGCTCCAGACCATATTTTCATTTGTGGATGGATTGGCCCCGCATGCAAAAGACTGGCTTCATTTTTACCGTTCGACCATATATGTAAGTAAGAAGAGGGGAAAATGCAGGGTTATAGTTTAGATGGTATCTGGGAAATAAAGATATGATTTTAAAAGTGATTTTATAATATAAGAAATAAATATATAAAAAAAATTGTCTCAATTTTAAAAAAAATATTTTTAGAAAATATTGTTAGTCAAATCCAAGTACTCCTATAAAGGATGGCACATATTCTTTTCTTTTTCTTTTTTTCGGGCCAGCAAAAGGATGCACAAACTCAATCCCCACCCTCCAGGCTTAATAATAAAAAACCTATTTTTAAGAACATAGGAAGGTTATACTTGCATCTCTAACGCCAATTATGGAGATGAAGGGAACGGGATTACTCGAGCACTTCGGCCACTATTTACTTGCGTTGCGTGAGGAGCTCCGTGTTTTCTTCTTTTCCGGACGGCTTTTTTATCCATATCTTTTTATCTTTGAATAAAAAGAAATAAGACCAACAGCATTTAATAATTGATTACCAATTAAAATAATTTATTATGGAAAAGGTGAGTTTTTTTTTTAATTCAAAATCACGATAATTATAGGCCTGTAGCCAACTTTCCCCCTGACTCTGGGTGCGATGTTCAAGAGAATGCTCCTCTCAGGCGCGCGCTGTCCCGGGGACAAGAAGCGAGTCCCAACATTTGGTGTGCTGAGTTTTAGCTTTTGCTGCGTGGGAATCTTGGTCGGAACAAATGTCCGGCCCCATCAAGGGTCGTAAACTCTTTCTCCTTGAGACATGCACGAGTAATTACTACTGCTTTGTTATCTGCCGAGGTACTTTCAGAGTTTCAATAACATCAGCGTCGGCGGTGCGTTCACCACAAAAAAGACAAACAATTTGACCCATGACAGCTCAATGCCATGTTGGAGCACCTCATGAAACATCTCGGATTTCATATTTTATAGTGAGAGAAGCACGAATCAAATCTGGGAGGGCAGAATAATAGTGTGCAGCGAGTAGACTTGAAAGAAGCAAGAGCAGATGGCGATAGATAACCCACCGTGCGCACAACGACTGAGCCGGAAGCCATTTTTACCTGATTTTTAATCATTTTTTTGACGCCAGTCCCTATAACTGGAATGCAGGGTCAGTCACATTATCACAATATACCTCCAAACTCTACCCGACCAAAACTACATATTCTAATAAAGCTTGATCTGCATAACACAAATCTAAACTCTACATGATCAAATTTAAATGTTCTAAAATCCAAATTGAATGACACGCTTTAAAGGATAAAACATAAATTTTTTAAAAGTTAATATAATTTTAAATTCTTTAAATTTGTCTTTATTTTGATTTTAGTCAAAAATTGAGACAACACAGGAGTATAATAGAAAATGAGAACAGATTTTAAGGATACCGTTCCCCATGCACACAAAAATTATCGTACAAGTCAACCAAATAAAAATATCTAGGCCCGTTCCAATGGAAATTTCTTTGAAAAAATTACAACAAGATTTCAAAGAAGAAAAATAATTATTAAAAAGTCTCAATAACAGCTTAAACAATTCAAAATATGAAATGACAACTTTTGAGATTTATTTTATAATTATTTTTTTTGAAACCTTAGTGTAATTCTCCCAATTTTTTTTGGTGTTAGAAAAATTTAGGTGGGTTGTGCTAGGGCTTACCAGTCTTAAAAGAATATCTCCAATCTCAAACGTTTACAAAGGCATTTAGGGTATGTTTGGATTGAGAGTAGAATAAGTAGTTTATTTTCAATTTAGTTTTTTAAAAAAGCTAGATTGAGAAAAGTGATTTATATTTCGATTGAATTTTATAAAAATTAATTTATAAAAATAGAAAAGTCGTTTGGATTGACTTTGTAAATAAAAAGTCAATGTGTAAAAATAAAATTGTTTGAATTATTAATGAAAAAACAAGTTTAGTTGTAAAATAACTGGAAAAAAATTAATTTTATTAAATAATACTCTTTTTAGTTTAAAATATAAGCATCAAATAATTAAATCATGGAACTCAAAAAATCAAAACATATTTAATGATTTAACTAACATTCTTTGTTTTGTGAAAAAAATGTAACTAACATATTATATTATGAATTAGAAGAACTACTCCTCTAATCATATTTATAAGGCCATTTGAATATATTTCACATAAATTAAGAAAAATCTTAAATTTTGTTAACTCTCATTTAAAGTTCAATAAATTTCTAATTTTATCTTTATTTAATATAAATTATACATCATGAAAATAAAGTCAACATAATAATAAATGAAATATAAAATTATATATTTAGAGAAAAAGATTTCTCTCTCTACCTTATAAATAAGACAATAATTTTTTTTCTTTCTTTGTCTTAGAAATAAGACTTGAGAAATAATATTTAATTTATTCTCTCTTCGTGGTTTAACTTCTTTCTTTGTGATAGTAAATTTTTTAAAAGTAAGACCTATGTTTTTTTTCTTCTCTCTCCACTTTTCTAACGCCACAAACATCAAATTTTAGCTTTTGATATAAGCTCTTAATTTTTTAAGTTATTCCAAACACAACAAAACATGCCAAAAGTGCATTTAGCCTTTAAAAGCTCCTTAAATGCCACTTAAATGTGGCTCCAAACAGGCACAATATTATATGAAAAAATAAGATAAAATATTTTATCAAAAAATATCTAATATACTCTTCTACTTCTATTTATGGAGCAAAAAAATTTTTTTAATGCTATTTATAAGTCAGTTCATTAAATTATGAATATATTATATTATTCTTCATTTATTATAGTGTAGCTAGATACTTTTTTTGTTGAAATATGTATATATTAAATATAGATAAAGTTGAAAAGTCGTTATATTTTAACAAAAAATTAATACAATTTAACATTTTCCTCTATACATGTGAAACATATAAATAGGACAAGGTGAGCATTAGAGACGGAATCAAAATAATTAAATATTAAAAAGACACAAATATTCTTGTCTTTTGCTAGAATTTTTTTTTCTTTGGTTGGGGGAACATGGACGAGAAAAAAACAAGAAAAATAAATATTGTTTTTCATGTGTCATGTTCTATAATTGACAATAGAAGTGGTAAAACGGGTTGGCCTGCTGGTTACGGGCCAGCATGCAGGTTGCAGCAGCTTGAGACCATGCAGATCGGTCCTAAAAAGACCGCCTCCTAACAGGATCACATTTTGCCAACTCATACCGCCAACCCGTCAACCTCCATCATTTTTTAAAATTTCTTTTACACATATATTTGAAAATTTTAAATTAAATTATAAATTTTTATAAACTAAATTCTTCTTATTCTTATCTTTTCATATAATTATATAATTAAATCAATCTTAAAATTTGAAATATAAATATATAATTCATTGTTAATAGTTATTTTATTAATATAAAAATGGTAAAACAATAAAGAAAATGAGAAATCAAATTTAGAATCAAAGTTTTTAACAAAATACAAAGTCATATGTAAATTAAGTGAAATAATAAAACTTTTTCTTATTAAAATCAGAATAAAAATTGTGAAAACATTTTTAAAAAATAAAAAACAAGCTGGCGGGTTGGGCTAGCTTGTTATGGGTTGGTGGATGCAGGCTGAAAATTACTACATCAAAACAGTATTTATTTTCTTCAATCCAACCCACCACTTTATGGGAGGTTGGTGAGTTGAGCCCATATTATCAGTTCTAATTGACAATGTGATTCCATCAATGATGTGATTGCGGAAGAAAAACTCATTTTTTAACAAATCAAACAAATTAGGATAAAAATGAAAATACAAATTATCTTAGTATGATTTTAGAATTTCGAGAACACTTTTGACAAGACTAGCAAATTAGAGATAAATATAAATTTTCAAAATAGAGGAAAATTTGCAATAACTAGAATACAAATGAAAAAAACCTTAAAGCTTTTATAAAATCATAATTTTTATTGTAAAACTGGAATCACAAAATAGTTGAAAGTACTATCATATAATATAATAATATAGTTGTTTTAAAATAAAAATATATTTATAACTTTCAGTTTAAATAAATAATATCCAAGCAAAAAGTGAGAAAACCAGACATACTTTTTAGAATTTTTTTTTTTTAAAATATCACTTGAATTTTAAAATGTCAAATTAAAAGTTTCTATAAAAATGCATTAGTATTTGTTTTTTAAATGTAATCAATTACTATTGAAGCATAGAAAATAAAATTGATTTGGTATTTTAAAGGAAAAATTGTAAATAAAGACCCTTAATATGTAAAATTGTGATTTGGAACTCTAAATTTGGAAAATAGCAAATAAGGACCGAGTTTCACTTTTGTAAATATGAAATGTGGGTGAAATGTCTGAAATGTCTCTCAGTCAAATTGTGATTTGATCTGTTGAAATTGTTATTTGCTAAAGTGAATTTGGAATTTCCCATAGTTAACTCGTTATTTGGTATACCCTCAGTCAAGTTGTGATTTGGTTTATTAAAGTTGTTATTCGTTAAAACAAACTTGTCATTTGGGTGAGGAGTATTTCAGATATTTCACCATGATTTTATATTTGCGAAAGTGAGACCAGGTCTTTATTTGTTATTTTTTAAATTTAAGGTCTCAAATCACAATTTTATATATTGGGAGTCTTTATTTATAATTTTTTGTATTTTAAAATTCAAGTAGTATTTTGTTTTGAGATTTTTCCTACAGTTTTTATAATAAGTTTAGCTATTTTTTGAGAATTCTTTTTTGCCAACGAGCTATTTTGAGAATTAGAAATAGAATTTATAAAACTAGATTAATCCCGGCGAAGATTGCCCGGAATATATAAAAATTATGTAAAAAAATTTGCACGGAGTTAAAAAACAACGTGGGAGTACCAATAACTGCTGCAATTTTACGACTTTTAATTTTTACGTATGTAATTGATTGACATGTTATTCGACCAATTATTATATTATATTTTTTGTAGTTGATATTAGATCTCTCTTCCACTCCCATCATCATATTCCTCCTCGGATCAGAAAAAGAGGTAAGCCTTTCTCTCGTTGAATCGCTTTTTCTGATATTGTAGGATGACTTTCCAAACAGTTTCATGCGCTTCATTGCATCCAATTACAGTTCTTTCACTTCGATCTTAGTCTTGATTGGAAGCTAGTGATTTTATCGATGGATTTCTCCTCAACTTTAATGTTCCTAGATCTTTGTTATTTCGTCTCTTGTCGAATTTATAGTCTAAATTTTCTGTTTTTAGAGTTTCGGGCAAGGCCTTTTCTTGGGCCCGTAATTCAGAATCTGGTCAATGGTGGAATGAAATAAAATTTAAGTTCGGCGAAATTTAAGACATAACGGGCGGTTTTACTCACTTCAATGGCTTCATTCTCTAATGACTGACTTGAATTGAGCCAGTTAAGGCTTTTCAATCCACTTTGAGCTCTTCATTTTATCTTGCTTCGTAATATGGGAGATGGAGTGATATGTCAATAAGAAAAGATAGTTTTTGGATTATTCCCCTTTGGTTGTACGCTTGGGTTTCTAAATTTTAATTCATCAGCTGGGTTACCAACATAGTTTTTCTTTTCTTTTCTTTTTGTCTTGAATCTTAACAGAATTGTTGCCCTTTTCAGTTGTATATGTGGATTGGCGTATATTGATTTTTGTGCGGTTTTTTTTTGTCTGCTTGTTTGGAGCTAAAAGATGGGTGCTGCGGAGAACAATCACGATATGGAGGAAGGAACCTTGGAGATAGGAATGGGTACGTACTTCTCTAATAAGTTTTGAGCTAGTCCTTGACTATATCAGAGATGATATTTAATCCTAGATTCTATAGAAAATGTCATTTTGGTAGACTATGGATCAATCAACATTGATAAATTGTGATGCTCTGCTTATTTTATGTGCAGAATATAGAACGGTATCCGGAGTTGCTGGACCTTTGGTCATTCTTGATAAAGTTAAGGTAACGACCAGGTGCTTCTGCCATGCTTATTGCATATTCTAATTATGGATCTTTGTCAATTAGGGTATTACTATCTGTGTTCGTTACTAAATTCTAAACTATCAACTGCTTCAGGGACCTAAGTTTCAAGAGATAGTTAATATTCGTTTGGGAGATGGAACAACTCGCCGTGGGCAAGTTTTAGAAGTTGATGGTGAAAAGGCTGTTGTTCAGGTGAATGCTTATGGAATTCATAATCACTACGAGTTTCTGTTGGCATAATAGTTTTTGAAAAAGTTTCTGGGGATTCTTATTTTTTATGTCTTGACTTGATAACTTGTAGTTTGGTAAAATATTCTGAGAACCCCCATTTTCTCAATATTAGTGAATCATTTTTGGTTCATTGTAGAGTAACTTAATTGGGTGCACTTCCCCTTTGTTGACATTTTTCTACTGCCCTATCAGCAAATGACTTCACTGTTTATTTATGTCCCTTGCTGTTGATATCATCAACGGGTGAAAGTTTACTCACCTTTTTGAAGCACTGGTCAGGTCTTTGAAGGTACATCTGGGATTGACAATAAATTTACAACTGTGCAATTTACTGGAGAGGTATGAATTATTTGCTCTTACTATTTTAAGTATTATTCAGAAGCACATATTATGTAATAAGGATGCACTTCAATGTAAGTACATATTTTCTTCTACGGTAACCTACAGTAGAATTAGAACCTTGTTGTCTTTATCTTTTCAGGTGTTGAAAACTCCTGTCTCACTGGACATGCTTGGGCGCATATTTAATGGTTCTGGAAAACCAATTGATAATGGTCCGCCAATTTTGCCTGAGGCATACTTGGATATATCGGGTAAGCTGAGTTCTCATGTGATTAATTACTTGTTACTTGTGTGCTTTCTGTTTATATGCTTTTTTGTTTTTTATTTTTTTTCTAATAATGCCCCTAAATTCAGGAAGCTCCATCAACCCCAGCGAGAGAACCTATCCAGAGGAGATGATACAGACAGGAATATCCACAATTGATGTCATGAATTCTATTGCTAGAGGTCAAAAGATTCCTCTTTTCTCAGCTGCTGGTCTTCCCCATAATGAGATCGCTGCTCAGATATGTCGTCAGGCTGGGTTAGTCAAGAGATTGGAAAAATCTGATAATCTTCTTGAGGTATAGTTGATTTATTTGGTTGTAACAACATAAATAAGTAAAAGGCTAGGATTTTTTGTGGTTATCAATTCTTGAAAATCCTATGATAAAGAAGCTCAAAAAAGATTTGAAATAATGAAGCTTGTTGTTTTGTACTTTTATTGCTGACAGATGTTGTAGTTCTTGTTGGTTATAGCTGTGAAATAACACTGTTTTTATCAATTAAGTTAGTTAAACTCATGATCTTGATACTCTTACATCAAGGCGATATTCTCTAATATAACAATCTATGTACAGGGTGGGGAAGAGGACAATTTTGCCATTGTGTTTGCAGCTATGGGAGTTAACATGGAGACTGCACAGTTTTTTAAGCGAGACTTTGAGGAGAATGGCTCAATGGAGAGAGTGACCCTTTTTCTTAATCTGGTAATCTTTTAGATCAGTATGTTTCTCTACTTTTACTCCTCCCTATTCTTTTTCCTCCTTCCTGATTTCTTTTATGTGATTATTCTGTATAATTTACTTGAAAGAAGAAACTCATCTGCCTTGTACTGATACTAACTGCTGAGCAGTGCTTTTTCTAAAATAAGTTCTATCTTATAATGGTAGTATATATTTCCATGAAACTAGTTGTTCAGATACATTTGTAAATTATAGAAAAAGGAGTACAAAAGTTTTAGAATCTGAGAGTGGCAGTTCTTCAAATTAAATTATGATGACAACTTTGAAAACGCTTATTGCATTTGGAGAAACATAAGGCTTGTTCATTAGAAATGAAGCTTGCTGTTCATTAAAATTAAAATTTAAATGGCTCATTTGCTTATAATAATTTTATAACATGCATGAAGGCTGAGAAAATTTCTTCATTTTCTGCTGTAATCTATTACAGGCAAATGATCCTACAATTGAGCGTATCATCACTCCTCGTATCGCTCTTACTACTGCTGAATACCTGGCATATGAATGTGGGAAGCATGTTCTTGTGATACTCACAGATATGAGTTCTTATGCTGATGCTCTTCGTGAGGTAACGTAACTGTTTTGTAATTTATTGTAAAATGGGTCACACAAGAAAGGAATCCAAAATTAAGGATGAGAAATTTGTTGCAGCCCCGAACATTGCATTGTGATTTTCATTGTTTCATGCCTCCATGAATTTCATTAGGATTTCAAGACTAATTGGAAGTAGACATTGCCTATCTTTCTCTTGGCCTTACTCTTTGTACTTGAGAAGTAATACATACATATTCAAGTGTTTCTGGAAAAGTTTGCACCTGATAAGGCATTGATTGCTATGATCTCCTATAGGTATCTGCTGCTCGAGAGGAAGTACCAGGAAGGCGTGGGTATCCAGGTTACATGTATACAGATCTGGCAACAATTTATGAACGTGCTGGAAGAATCGAGGGGCGAAAAGGCTCCATTACACAGATACCAATTCTAACGATGCCAAATGATGGTAAGGAACTCACTAAACTTTATTAGCTTTCTTATGCGAGGCAATTCTAATGCTGAATTGGTCATCTTTCTTGAACTTCTGTTGTGCAGATATTACACATCCAACTCCTGATCTTACGGGGTACATTACCGAGGGGCAGATATACATTGACAGGCAGCTGTATAACAGACAGGTATCTTAGATTTACGGTTTGGTTTTGATGAATATTTGCAACATACTGGATCAGTCATCTAGATTAAGTAAAGGATGAGATTTGGTGAGGAACGCAATTTGACCCTGAATTTTATGACGTACTATTATTAATACTATGGGAAATAGTATGTAGTTATTGTTGTACAGAAGTTAGTAATTTAATATTCTTTATGTAAGAAATTTGTCAGTTTTCCCCCACTTAATTAATTTTCTTTCTAATCTTTGTTTGATGGCTTTGGTGAATATTTTGAGGTTTTGTAGTTAGATGTGCTTAGGCGGAATGGTGTCACTTGCTTAGATTAGTAATGCTAATTTTGTTGACTGATGCCAAACATTCAAATCCTTCGGCCAGATATACCCACCAATCAATGTCCTTCCATCGCTGTCTCGATTGATGAAGGTAAGGATAATTTTATGGATTTTATGATTTCAAGTCTAATGATCATTTTGCTGTTTTATAAACAAGGATAATTTTACGGATTCTTTGATTTCAAGTCTAATGATCCTTTTGCTGTTTTATAAAATGCAAAATGTGCGATTCACACTCTAATGGTATGCCGTTGATTACTCTTGCAGAGTGCTATTGGTGAGGGAATGACTCGAAGGGATCATTCTGATGTGTCAAACCAGGTCTGGTTCAGTTGGTCGTCCATTCTGCATCCCCCCACACGTCCCCCGACAAAAAAAAAAAGGGCCATATGATCTAACCGGTTTTGTATTTTTGATTTTCAGCTCTATGCTAATTATGCCATCGGAAAGGATGTCCAGGCAATGAAAGCTGTGGTCGGAGAAGAAGCACTTTCATCTGAGGATCTGGTCTCTGACACGTTTCTAATTATTCTTTCCTCCATTAGTAATGTTTTTCCTTGAAGTGGTATTAATGTTAATATATTTTTCGGTTTACAGCTGTATCTGGAATTTTTGGACAAGTTTGAAAGGAAGTTTGTCGCCCAAGGAGCTTATGACACCCGCAATATCTTCCAGTCGCTAGATCTTGCGTGGACTTTGCTTCGGATTTTCCCCCGCGAACTTCTTCATCGTATACCAGCCAAGACCCTTGATCAATATTATAGTCGGGATGCTGCGAATTGAAGGATTGAGCAAAATCTGATATGCCTTCTGCTCATCAGCTCATCATGACCTTGGGAATTCATTTAGTCCGTTGATTTTTCCACCAAAGTGCACATTTCTTCTCTTCAGCATAGTTATTAGCGGTTAAGTATGTTTGAGTGCTGCTCATGCATGTTTCCATTTCCCCATTTTCGTTATCCTGCGTGGGGATGCATTCATTGGATTTTGGCATATTTTCACCATGGTCGGGATTGTGTTGACTCGTCAAGCCTTCTTATTTATGTTGCGTGTCTCGTATTCTTATCTCCCTGTAATTTCATAGTCGCGGTATCTATTAGCAAGCAGGTGCAGGTCGGACGCTCCCTTTGATGTATTCATCAGTTTACTCAATGAATAATAATTGAAAATGGCTTTTTTGGTATTTGGTATTTATGTTTGCGAACATATTGTTATTAGTGAGCCTCGGACCAATAGATTGAACCAAAAATGTATTTTTAAAGATAACTAACAATATTGAATAATAAAGATTTAGAGAACATGATACGTTACAAAAGTGTTTATGACATCGCATTTATTATCGCACGACGATAATTCAAATGGTAAGTACAAAAGGGAAATGCAACTTGTGATCATATTTATGTTTTCCTCAGGTGCCAATAACATGGCAGTGACTTTTTATTGGGAAAATTGTAGGTTAAAGAAATACTACAACCATAAAGGATTAAAAGGTAGTATTTGAGTAATAAAAAATCGCCATGCAAAACAGTAATAGAAGCAAGTAATGGATATGGGCCTCCTTCGGTTCGGAATTAATTTTTGAATTAATTTGAAGAAGACAAAGGTTTAAAAGTCCAAGCTCCATGGACATGTCCACCCTGCAAACGAGAAAGTGGAAACCCAAGTAGGCGTTCGCCCAGCAGGCAGGAATCGCTCCTATTTTATTTTATTTAAAAAGGCTCGTCCTCTTCTTCTCTTTCCTTCGCCCCCCAAAATCCCTCACACCCCTTGCTCTCTTGAATTCAGCGGAATTTCAAGTCTTCCATTGTCGGAATCCGCTAAACATGGCGGCGACTGCTGCGTGGCAGCCCCAGGAAGAGGGCTTCAAGGAGATCTGTGGATTGCTGGAGCAGCAGATTTCTCCTTCTGCATCTGCTGACAAGTCTCAGATTTGGCAGCAACTACAGCACTACTCCCAGTTGCCTGATTTCAACAATTATCTCGCTTTTATACTTGCACGTGCTGAGGTGATCACCAATTGCCGCTACACCGCTCCTGTAGTGGATTTAGTAGTTGTTTCAATGACAAGCACATGTCATTTGTAGTTCTGGCTCCATCGGGATACCTTCTTTCATGAAACGGGGATTCATTATTTTTGCCTGCGTCATTAATCAATTTCCTCATTTCACTTTTACCAACTCTTTCTATATATTATTTTCTAATGGACCAGTGTTTCTCAAATGCGTTAAAGTTATTCAACTGTGTAATCTCTATGGCATTGCTTGCAGATATGTTTTTGATTATTTGCATATGGAAATGTAAAGTTTGATCTTGGTCATTAATCTTTTATAGATACATTGTGTACCCGTGCATGTATCTGGGATCTACCTGCTGATGGAGCTCTTGACTTTGGGTTAATAATTATGCTGCTCTGAAAATTTGGCTTTGAACAGGGAAAGTCAGTTGAGATTCGACAGGCTGCAGGCTTATTTCTGAAGAATAACCTAAAAAACACGTATAAATCTATGCTTCCTGCATACCAGCAATATGTGAAATCAGAGTTGCTGCCTTGTCTTGGAGCACCAGATAGGCACATCAGGTCTACGGTGGGAACCATTATTAGTGTTGTTGTTCAGCTAGGAGGGGTTCTGGGGTGGCCTGAGTTGTTGCAAGCTCTTGTGAATTTCTTGGACAGTAATGATCTGAATCACATGGAAGGTGCTATGGATGCTCTATCCAAGGTATGTTCTGCTTTTGGAGATAAATATATGTTTTTTTTTCTTCAGAACATTGGATTCTGTTCTTATGTTACGAGGCTTCACCTGTAGTAGATGTGTCCCATGGAATTTATGGTTTTAATCAGTACATACTTACAGTTTGATGCCATTGCTTTGCTGTAACTATTTTTTTTTTTTTGGGGAGATACTGGGTTTCTCTCCGGACCTCTACACAGTGAAGGGACGTTAACATATTAAACAAGGAAAAGAGAAGAAATATCTTCCTCGCAAATGGAAAGAAAAATTAGAAAGTCAATACAATCATTGCATTTATGTAGCGGTTCTTTCCTGACCCTCTGTTTGTCTACAAAGGATATACCTTATAGGAAAGTGACGGGTCTACTATTTCTACTGCTACTAAGACCTATAATTGAAGAAATAAGGTGATAAAGAAAGAAGACTTGGATTAATCAGGGTGTGATGTGGCTTTTGAAAACCAAATATCCAAATAAAAAACGGAAAAGTTGGGCCTGTGAGTAATATCCAGCAGCTGACACATTGGTATATTCTAGAAAAGCCAAAAGGGGTGCAGTGCCCGAGGGGATAGGAAAGAAATTAAGGTCTAGTGACTATGAGATTGGAAGCTGAGTGGTTGTGTTGGAAAAAAGTGAAAAAGGCTGTTGGAGCGGAATAACATGAAGCCTGGACCCGAGGAAGGGGAGAATCTTCTGAAAGTAATTATGGGGAGAGAGCCAGCCTCTAAAGCTAGTGATTTATCTTGACTACTTTTGTATTTTTTTTTTTCCTACTTCATGCGATAGTGACTGCTATTTTGCTGTTTCTCTCTCTATTCTATTCCTTAAATCTGCGTAGATTTATATGCTGGCGTAAGATTATTGGACATCTTGCTTGACTAATATCACTAAAGGACAGTATTCATTAAGTCTTAATTCATAGTGATATTAAATGCTCACATGTAATAAATATTTAAGGTATAGTCAAAATATAAAGTTGACTTACTAGCTTCAAAACTCTAGAGGGGGCGTGGCTATGGTCCCTTGTGGATGGCTTTTTTGGGCCCCTTTCTTTCTTTCCTTTTGTGTTTACCAGCCTAAAGAATATTTTGAAATAGGAATAGCTTTTACCATCTGCCTAAATCTCTAAGGAGGCACTGGGCTTCTAGGGTTATTTTTGTAGTTTCCTATTTTATGCTAGCAAGGGGCTGAGCTGATAAGCCAAGATTTCCTATTTGTTTTCTATGCGCTGTATTCTTAACTGGATGATGTTCTAACCTCAGTAACTGGTACTCTTACAGTTTCACAATGTTGTATATGATGATACCTTACTTTAACACTCCTATTATTACTGTGAACCTCAGATCTGTGAGGATATTCCCCAAGTACTTGATTCAGATATTCCTGGGTTAGCAGAACGGCCCATCAACATATTTCTGTCCAGATTATTTCGGGTAAAGTGCACATTTTCTTTTGAAATTGTTATCACGCGCCTCCTTTTTGGAAATTTATCCTCTAGCTATTTCTTGATGTGCCTATTTCTATATTGTTTCAGTTTTTCCAGTCACCTCATTCTTCATTAAGAAAGCTTTCATTGGGTTCTGTGAATCAGTACATAATGTTGATGCCTTCTGTAAGTATATGCTGAGAATTTATTGCTTTGGTTCACGGGTTGCAATATTATTGTTTGGAATTGTTGATGACAAACTAAGCTGCTGTTCGGTAGGCATTGTATGTATCCATGGATCAATATCTTCAGGGCTTGTTTATTCTTGCAAATGACCCTGCTGCGGAAGTGCGAAAATTGGTAAGCACTTCTTGTCTTATAATTGGGCAAGTGCATGGTATAGCACCAAGAGAAACTTATTTTAAGTATAGTATCATTGCCATTTTTCTGATTAATATAAGTTTTACTGGTTTGAATTGCTGATTGTTGAAGTTATGGCCTTCCCCTTTGGCTTTGCCTCTGTGTTTCCTCAATTTTTGATTTCTTGTGATGGTTGAGAATTTGGTCCTCTATCAGTCTTCTAGAGTCCTCGCTGCTTGTTAATGGGAAACAACATTTTTGCGTGACAGCTGTTGAGATCAAATATTGAATCCATTCTTCTGGTTTTCACTGATGACTAGGTTTGTTCAGCGTTTGTTCAGCTAATTGAAGTCTATCCGTCTTTCTTAGAGGTGGGAATCATGTCCAGGTTCATTATAATTTCAATTCATTAATTGTTTATATAGCCCATTAAATTGCTGAATCCCGCTTTTGTTTACGTTGTGCTACTCTTTATCTCAGAATCTGTCTATCTGTTTTTTTTTTTTTTTTTGTTGGGGGGGGGGGGAGGTTCTGTCTCTAGTTTGCTTGTCTGATTCAATTGTTAACTACAATGCAGCCACATCTGAGGAACGTAATTGAATACATGCTACAAGTCAACAAGGACAAAGATGATGAAGTTGCTCTTGAAGCCTGTGAATTTTGGTATTATTTGAAGAGAGAATAGTGTGAACACCCAGGATTTCTTGTTCAATTAATGTGCTGTTATTATTTTGGGAGTGAGGTGGGGGTGGAGGCAGGAGTAGCTTTTACAAAGGGAAATATACTTTATGTGCTACTAGTACAGAAATCTTACAAACCTGGTCCCTGAGTTAGACCTTTTGTTTCAGTACCATCCTTAGGCTGTTCTTATTTCAAATCACTTTAGTACCCAGGTCTGCTGTCATAACCAGCCAGAGAATTTTCCTAACATGTCCAAGCAATTCCAATAGCAGACTTGTTCTACACTCCAACTGCAGATACTTTAATCTGAAAATTATGTATGAAATTGTAGTGCAATGGGCAACCAGGTTCCCCTAATTTGGCCCACTTATTCTGACATTGTATTGATCAAACATTTCCTGTTCTATGGTTATCAAGTTTATCCAAGACAAGAGCTGTATGTCTTAAATTTAAAGCAGTGCTGAAGTTCTGTCTACTCCCCCCCCCCCCCCCAGAGCTTTTGCTCACACAAATCATCTTTATAAAAGAAAAAACTTGTAATTATGTTTGCAGGTCTGCTTATTGTGACGCTCAACTACCTCCAGAAAACTTGAGGGAGTTTTTGCCTCGTCTTATTCCTGTAATTCTGGTTATAGTTATTTACTTTTAAATAAGTTGAGAGATTTGTAATTTTCTGACACGGCTGTTTGCATTTTTTTAGGTATTGTTGTCAAACATGATTTATGCAGATGATGATGAATCACTTGCTGAAGCTGAGGTTTTCTCCCGGATAATTTAATTTTTTTTTTTATATAGTTACTTCAATCAAACCTTGTTACATGTATTTATTCCTTTTTACATAATTTCTTGCAGGAAGATGGTTCCCTACCTGATCGAGATCAGGTTTGAACTTTTTGTTTGGGTTGAGTGATTCGGCTTTCTTGGTTTCAGATTGTTGATTTAATAACTTAAATAATTTAAATGTTTGCAATGCAGGATCTTAAACCTCGTTTTCATGTATCAAGACTCCATGGATCAGATGATATAGAAGATGATGTATGTCATTGCATATTTGCTCTCATGATTGCTTATTCAAGTTAACTTTGTGCTTGATTCTGCTGATTGGACTTTAGATAACAAGATCATAAGAGGACTGCTTTCATGATCTAAATTCAATTTTTTGTTTTTTTGTTGTTTTTTAGGATGATGATGTTGTCAACACATGGAATTTACGGAAATGCAGTGCAGCTGCTCTAGATATTCTCTCAAATGTATTTGGAGATGAAATACTTCCAACATTGATGCCTATCGTTCAGGTAGTCGACCTGCTTATGGTCATTTATAAGTAGAAGGTTTGAAGTTTGAACTATCATAATGCACGGGGAGTGAGTTTCTGGTGAGCTGGTCCTCCCCAATTTTTAGAGTGCATATCTTAACATTTTGTGAGCCTTTCAACAAGTTGCTTCTAGATACTAACTATTCTACGATTCAAATTTTTCAGTAAGATAATCCATCTCTAGGATGTCTTATTTCTAAGATTGTGTGCAGACCAAGTTGTCAAGCTCTGGTGATGACGCTTGGAAGGAAAGGGAGGCTGCTGTCTTGGCTCTTGGGGCCATAGGTGAAGGTTGCATTAATGGTCTATATCCTCATTTGCCAGAGGTATTCTTAGTTACTTGATACTGATGACCTTAATATTTAAGCGAAATGTGTGATTAAGGACAAAGCTTAAATTGATTTGTATTTAATAAAGCTATTTTGTGTTTGGTATATTTAGCTGGAACTTGTGATATCAATGTACTAGCATTCTAGAGATTAGAATAAGTTAATGGAAACTTTTCCCTCCTTTTCTACCCACAGTTTGCCGATTCTCTGCCTCTTATATTAATCATTGCTGTATATCCTCAGGTTCCGAAAATCTTATCTCTTAAATCAGTCACTTGCAATAAAAATGCTCTGTGCCATTTTTTTTTTCATAAGATATTTATGCATGCATTTAATAAATTAATTGCTATTATATCCTCATGCTAAACTTCTGGATAAATTATAATTTTATTTGTCCTGAACAAAGTGCATTATTTGTTTGACAACTTCCAAACACAATGTTGCATGAGTAGCTTTCCTTTCATCTTTTATGCTCATATGGTTGATTCATGTTTCCTCTTTTACTTCACAATCTATATTGTTACTCCAGTTGCTCATTTACTAATTCACGATACTAAATCATTAGTCATTCTGCATCTGTAGATTGTGGCATTTCTCATCCCTCTTCTTGATGACAAATTTCCTCTGATACGAAGCATTTCATGCTGGACACTCTCCCGTTTTAGCAAATTTATTGTTCAGGTATGCATTCAGTTTTGTTCCATCACTCGCAAGTTCGTGCTTTGAAGGATATATCTCCTTATGTACCTTGGTATTATTGCATATAAATTTATATAAAATTAATAGCACCTGCTAAGTCTTCTTGATGCATACCCACACCGAAAAATGCACAGGGAGGCGAGAGGGAGGTTCTTGGGAGAGAGGGAGGACATGATAAGTAGATGACTTAATAGTAATTTTATTCCCTAAATGATAGGCCATGAAATCAAATTTCTTGGTGATCGAGAATTCCTTCAGTACACAACAGCATAACTAAATCGGAATCAATAAAACAATCCATATGATGACAAAGATGCTAATATTCTCCAATTAGTATTTTCTTGTAAAAATCCTCATTAGATAGTTCCTGATTCTTACAGATAAAATCTCTCATAATACTTATATTTTAATATACAATCATTCCTTTTTGTTGTTATGAAAGTTGTACCAGATTACTAGAACTTCTATAGCTGATAGTTGGAATACTATGGAAGAGTTTGTATGAGATTTATCTAGCTCTGAAAGATTTTTATTTGAATACATTGTATTTGGTATGTGTCAGGGTATTGGGCATCAGAAAGGCTATGAGCAGTTCGATAATGTTCTTATGGGTCTTTTGCGAAGAATTTTGGATGATAATAAGCGTGTGCAAGAGGCAGCTTGTTCAGCTTTTGCAACACTGGAAGAGGTTCTGGCTACAATTTCTGTTCATTACTCCTCAAAGAAGGGAATTCGTTATTACCTTTTTGAATTGCAATTTATATAAATTTTGAAATGCAATTTGCTTATACAGGAGGCTGCAGAAGATTTGGCCCCACGCTTGGAAGTTATACTAAAGCACCTAATGATTGCATTTGGGAAGTATCAGGTGATTTTCTTGTTCATTTTCCTTGTAAAATGAACCATATTTGGATGAGGGCTCCCTTTTTACTGTTATTGTACTGTTTTATGCTTCTTCCATCTACGTTATGCTTAAGTCTGTTAATTAAGCTTCACTTTTTTAAATTTAGAGGAGAAACCTCAGAATTGTTTACGATGCTATTGGAACTCTAGCAGAGGCTGTTGGAGGTGAGCTAAATCAGGTAATGCCATTATTGTTAATGATATATCATAGAGAACCTTCCCTAACCAAAAACAATCTTTTTCTTGCCAAGTGTCATTGATTGCTATAAAATTTTATTGCTATTATCTTCCGTTGGGTTAGCATCTCTATGCTAACCGTACCTCTTTCCTCACTGCAGCCTGCTTACCTTGACATATTGATGCCACCATTAATTGAGAAGTGGCATCAACTTCCAAATTCTGACAAAGATCTTTTTCCGCTGCTGGAATGTTTCACATCTATAGCTCATGTAAGCATCTCAGTTTCTCTCCATTTTTTTTATAGAAAGAAAATTCCTGATTTGGGTCTGAGATAATTTTTGCTTTATAAAGTATTTATCCCACATGTTCATATTTCACGTTACACTGGCATGCTTGCAACCTTCGGTTGCTCTGTGGTCAATAAATTCCCAATTCTGACATTTTTCATTGCACTGTTTGATTGTAATAAAGCTGAAATTTGAATTATTGAACTGCCACATGTGCTTCTGCTTACTTTTCTTTGCTGGAGTAGTACTTTGCAGGTTACAACAGTTGCTCAGCATCTTGTATACAACTGTCGTTGCTTGACAGTTGTTTGGCTTTTAATGGAGCTTTGGTGATGTAGTCAATATTGTTGAGTAGTATCCTATTCCCGTGCCTTAACTGGGAAGCCTAAATTCTATGTTTAACCATTCTTTTGTCATTAAATGCTTTAACCGTAGCAGTGCCAAAATGTTCATGAGGTTTCTGGTAAAGCTGATATAAAGTTTCTGGTTAGAAAATGGGTTTTCATTCTCTGGATGTTATTTATACATGCAATTAAAGGAACTTGTCTATGTTGTTCAGAATGCTTTATATGGGCTGTATCTGTACCAACATCTCTAGTTCATGCTTGTGCTATGAAGTGATTGCATTGAATTTCTTTCAGGCATTGGGTACTGGATTCACTCCATTCGCTGAGCCTGTTTTTAGAAGATGCATAAATATAATCCAAAGCCAACGATTTGCAAAGGTTCTTTACTTTGACTAGCTGAATCCTTTTAAATTAAGTTCATATGTCGTCTGATTTTAAAAATTCTCACTTTTACTTTTCTGTATTCTAGCTTATACTACCTGTAATTTCCTTTGTCTTTGTTGGTAGTAATTGCTATTTCTTGCTTTAGTTTTTTTATCTCCCAAATGTCACATTTGTTGGTACCCGAATCAAATTGATGTCCCAGCAGCATTTTCTGCATTGATGGAAGATATTTGGTTAAAAGTGTGGACTATTTGTTCTATATCCTCCAAGAGATTTGTTACTATGTTCTATAACAGTCATGCGAAATGGAGAATTTTACGCTGTGTTTGGTACAGTGGAAAGAGAGCTTGAGAAAGGGATAGAGGGAGGGGGAGTATATTTGCTTCTGTTTGGTTGGTGGGGAACACTCTTCCTCCGGAAGCAAACTCTGTTCAAGGGAAACGAATCCATCTCAAAAATAGAGGAAATGTTTGATCTCCCATGGACCATGTTTAAGGGAAAGGGATTCGTCTCCAAAAATAGAGGGAATGTTTGATCTTCCATGGAAAGGATATGACAAAAAAATATCCTCATCATATGTGTGTGCGTGCATGTATATCTATATGTATAATTATTCAATTGACTTTGCCCCCTGCCTTAATTTCTCTATTTCCATCACAGAACCCATTAAGAGCTAACATCCTCAACTTTTGACCTAGAGCATCCAAGGGAAGGAACTTCCTTGAGGGTCAAGTATCCTTCGCGCCTTTGGAGGCAGCCATATTGTTGACATAGCTGCTGAGCAACCCTTATGGGACTCAAGCAGATATCGCGTGAAAGACCTTGCAACCTCTGTCACCTAACATCTCTTATTATGGCCATCAAATCTTCATCACTCGCGGTTTGATGATGGTGGTGGCAGTTTATCACTGGTGTTGCCATTCACGCTGAAGGATGTCCATTTTGAGACATTGTTGGCGAAGATCCACTGATAAGCAAATTGGGACTCTTTTTTTTCAGATGGTTTTTTTTTTTAGTTGGGTCCTTTTAAGTGGGCCAAGTATGGGGTGTTACCAAACAAGAATACTAATTATGTCCTCTTTTCCATTTCTACCAAACATGATTTGGGCTTTTCTTTACCACTCCCTCTCCCTTAAAAAGGCTTCCCTCCTATCAAAAATGGCCTCAGTGTATGATCCTGAAATACTTCTCACTCATAATTTTATTGTCAATTCTGAGTTCTTACAAGTTTATTGTATAAGGAGATCAGAGCCAGTAGTTGTGATTTAAACAACTTATTACTGGTAGGATTCTTTTAATAAATCTACTAAGCACCAATGGTGCTGGGAGCACACCTTTAGATGAACTCCTGAAATTGGTCGAGCCTCAATATTACCATGTCTTTATATCGCTTAGTATTTGTCTTTGTTTACTGTCATTTATTTATTTCTCATACTTATATCTTGGCATCCTAATTTGAAGCTAAAAGTTCATTTCGCTTGCCCTTTGTATTGCTGCTTGCTTACATGCAAATCAGCGGAGTGAAGTTGAGTTTTTATTTCATTTTTCCATAAGTTGATTGAATGCTTCGTTTCAGGTTGATCCTGTTGCAGCTGGCGTTCAGTATGACAAGGAATTTATTGTATGCTCTCTTGATCTGCTTTCTGGACTGGTGGAGGGTCTTGGCAGTGGAATAGAGAGTTTGGTACTTCTCTAAAGTTTTGTTTTTAAGAGGAGACAGTTAAATGCTGTTGTTAAATCTTCATCTCCCTTTGAAATGATGTTTTCTTGAAACATTTTTCTTATTGGCAACACGTAATCTGTCACTGCCACACGAATTCTTGTTATGAAATGCTACATCTCTGATTTTTCATATGCTTCCTGGCATATTGGTATCTGTGTGACTTCAATCTAAAATGGGATTGCATAGTTGCTTGAAGGTTGAAATAACCATAATTTTTGTTCTACAGGTCTCACAATGTTCTTTGAGGGACCTTCTTCTGCATTGTTGCGTGGATGATGCTTCTGATGTTCGACAAAGTGCCTTTGCTTTACTTGGCGACCTTGCAAGAGTAAGTTGAATGGATATTGCCTCTACTTAAGGAATATACTGATCCACGCAGCATCTCAGTTTGTGAACCTCAGGTCAGAAAGTGGGTGTTATTCTAACTTGATTTTGTAATCTGTCTAGGTGTGCCCAGTTCATTTGCGCCCTTATTTGTCTCAGTTTCTTGAGGCTGCTGCCAAGCAGCTGGTATGTTGGTATCTCGTATAACTTTTAGCTTGTAGAGTTGGATTTATTCAACCTTTTGTTGATTTATCACGCATGTTGTCCAGGAAAATTCTAAGGTAAAGGAAGCTGTTTCAGTAGCAAACAACGCATGCTGGGCTATTGGAGAATTGGCAGTTAAGGTATGTGAGTGCTAAATGTTGCATTTTGTTCATGCTCGGTATAACTGTTTGGCAGCAGGAACTTAGTTGGCACTGCTGAGCTGTAGGTTCACATATTCTCTAAATTTTTCATGTGGCACTTTGACCGTACTGTAAAGATGCCTTCGTGTAGTTGTTTCTTGATAGACCACAGCTAAGATAGTATTAAAAATATGTCAATAACGCTCTATAACTATATATATACATATATATATATATATTAGCTTCTTTGATGGAAACTCATTCATTCATGAATGCCCATTGGTTTTAAATGGAAGGAATTCCCTATAATCTTAATCTCCTGCTGTCCAGAGAGAAAACTAGATGTTGTCCAAATTTAAGGCATTGGATGTTCTTATTTTCTAACCTCATTTGCTAGCTTTTGGGCTGTTGTTCATTGAAAGGTTCCTCTAATGTATTTAATTTAGCAAGATTAATCTTTTGGTGGCTAAGGGGAGATTACTGCGTGGTTGATGATTTTAGCATGCAGGAAATGATTCTATAGTTGAATGTTTTATAATGGTTTTTATTTCTTGTTACTGAAAATTCAATAAAAATGCAGCTTCGGAAACTAAAGATCTTGTAGCCCTATTATGTTGTATATAAATTTCTGACTTAAAATTCCATATTTCGATTCCAGGTTCATCAAGAGATTTCTCCCATTGTCTTGACGGTTATATCATGTCTGGTCCCAGTTCTTCAGCATGCAGAGGTTACTGTCTTATCACACACTTAAATAGTTCAATTATGACTCGTGTTTTTTCACTGATTGTCTCACTCTTTGTTAGGGAATCAACAAGTCACTTCTAGAAAATAGTGCAATAACACTGGGGAGGCTTGCATGGGTTTGTCCAGAGCTTGTATCACCGCATATGGAACATTTCATGCAATCCTGGTGCATGGCTTTGTCAATGTACGTCACTGCTTTTTTATACTTTTTTCCTCTTTGGTGTTGTGACCATTTATTACTTTTGCTCAATGATCCACGAATCTACTATTCCCCCCCCCCCCCCCTTTTACCTATGTTGTGATGATGTGTGCCCATGATATGAATGATTTAGTCGGCAAATCATGATCATTCTTATAGAAATCTGTGACTTCATTCTTCTTTCTTCGTTACTTTGTTTTGGACTTGGTTCATGTTTTGATTGCTCCATATGTTCTGGAGGGGCCATAGCATCTGAAGTATTTTGAACCACCCTGTCATTAAGAACTGTTTATAATGGTTTGCTCTGAAGAATGATTAGTCTTAAATGAAGTAACAAGTGATTAAACATGGGCAAGATTTGATTTGGCCGTCTACATAGCAGTTCAGTTGCATTAATTAATTGGCCTTGGGGAATCGATGGAAGTTTAGTTGGAATTGAGTTCCAATCCTCTGAAACTTGTCGTACAATAGAAAATGCAATGCTCTTAGAATCAGACTAGTCATTGAACTCAAGATAGACTAATAAGCAATCATCATAGTGCTTTTTTCTTGGTGATTAAGAGCAGCGAGTAGGGAAGGCACCCCTTGTCCTATCAAGCAGGGTGCTAATTACATGCCGGAAAGACTAGTTGAGGCCCATCTGGAGGATTGCGTCTACTCATTGAGCCTGAGGAGGGATGCTGCTAAGCGGGACTTTGAATGATCTTAGGGAAATTCAAACTCGTACCCATAGGCGAGGGGCGAGTTCTTGTTCAAATCCTTTAACCATTTGTGCCAACCCATATCAGCATCAATCATCTAAGTATTCATGAAGTCCATAATTATTGATAATTATGTAGGAAAATTAGACTTACATGATATTGTAATGTAGGAAATTTCAAACCCAAAATATAACGTTATTTTTTAAAAACAACCAAGAAAAAAATGTGAGAAACAATTGAACTACTAACTTGTTTGGTTTTTCAGTTTTTGCCTTTGCACCAATTTTTAAAATATCAGTTCTGGTAATCCCCCTCCCTCCCAGTTGGCTTTGCCTGTTTGTTTCTTGACATAGAAAGTTCTCTCAATAGAACTTCGCTTTCCAGAATGAGCAATAGTTAGATGTCCTCTGTTTCATCTTAAGTTATCTTGCTTATTGATTTATCCTGGATGATTTGTGGCAGTATACGTGATGACATAGAGAAAGAGGATGCTTTTAGAGGGCTATGTGCTATGGTAAACACCTGTTCACTTAGAGCTTTTAAGTTGTAATATATGAACTGCCCATATGATTGGAGCTTTCTTTTTGTTTTCAGGTCAGAGCCAATCCTTCTGGAGGTTTAAGTTCTCTTGTTTATATGTGCAAGGCCATTGCAAGTTGGCATGTATGTATCCCATACCATCATCATCTTAAAATTATGACGCCTATAGGTTTTTGTAATAAAAATTTGTTGATGTATATCTGTAGGAAATAAGGAGTGAAGATTTACACAATGAAGTCTGCCAGGTCTTGCATGGATATAAACAGGTTCGCGTTGCTTCTCTACGAGTCACTTCCATCTAGCAATTATTAAAGATGACTGAAGCAAGCGCGCTCACATAAATGAATTTCTACTATTTATGTTAACAATCATTATCAGTTCTCCTTGTTAATGCAATTGGAAAATTAGTTGATAACTCCAGAATTTTTTAAGCCATGTTGGTTGATTTTAACCCATTTGTCTTGTCTGTTAAGTATGATCCTATGGTGGTTGCTAACTCATCTTTTCTCGCAATAAAATATGATCTGTGGCAGATGCTGCGCAATGGAGCCTGGGACCAGTGCATGTCTGCTTTGGAGCCCCCCGTAAAAGACAAGCTTTCAAAATATCAAGTATAATGGATATTTTCAAGACAACTTAATTACTTGCCAGTGAACCCCATTTTGCACTTTATGAATCTGCATGGGCCTCGTTAGTCATTGTGCATTAGCCGGCAATATTGGAGTGATGATTCATTTTGAGCAAAGGGTATATGCTCTGTCCAAGTTTTCAGTTACAGGCATCGACACTTCAAATTCATTTGAGCATGTTGAGTATAGGTAGTTCCTCAGCTTACAAGATCCCAGTTCGTGCTTCCATTGGGAAAAATTCTGTTAATGGACGAAACGTGCTGTGATGTACAGGGGGAGTTTTCCAAACTCTCTGAGTGCTGTATTCATTGTTTTGTCCTTATGTTTAAAGGCGAAAATTTTTATTCGAGCCTTGTGTTCATCATTATAGTGTTTGATTAGTGATTTTAGTTGATAGGTCCTGAGCGTCTACAAAAAATGATAGGTATTGCGTCTGAAATTCATCGATTTTGCAGGGATGAGTTGAGCTTGACATTTTGTAGTTTCCTTCGTATTTTAATGTCTACATTGGTTGTAAGTTGTAAAATATATATTTTTAAACGGTGATCTGGTACATATGCTGCCTTGAAAAGTGCAGCAGTTGGATTTTGATTTGAGGAACAATAAATACTCGAACACATCTCGTGTTTATTGAACTACTTTACCTTGCCAAAAGAAGAAAATTACAGTTATTTGTGCAGTTTTCTCCTGGTGCCATGTCCTGGGAGTCTGGCTGGGACCACTATGCACGTCGAGGTGCAAAATATCCTTTTAATTGTCAAATTTAGTAAAACAATTAAGTGATTGGACATAAGTATTTTATTCCAATGAAAAAAAATAAGTAGCCAACGTTCACTACCACAAATATGATGATATATGTTTGAAAAATAAAGGATTGTGCGAAAAAGTGATCTTTTGTCTTTGAAAAAAGAAGTCATCTGTCTATGCTAATATTTGGCAAGTAAATCTTTAGGCATTAATACATAGTTGTCTCAATTTACTTATGGAGTGCTCTATTAATAATAAGCTTCGCCATCAAGTGTTCAATATTCCTGCAGCAAAGGAGAGAAGATGGACCCCACCACCACAGGATGTAATCTGGGTTGATGTGGACAGGTCAGTCAAACAACAACAGAGTGCAGCATGTGGTGGTTTAATTAGGCACTTTGAAGAAGATTGGTTAATGGGCTCCAGGAAAGGTTTAGGATGCTCTTCGATCATTGAAGCAGAACTAGCAGCCATCCGAACAGGCCTGGAAGTGGCCAAACAGCTAGGATATGCCAGAATCATGGTCTATTCTAATTCTTTAGAGGCATGCAACCTTATCATGCGCGCTTGTGCAGCAGATAATCCCCTTAAACCGGTTATAAATGACATAAGGGACTTGGTTTTTGGAGATGGGGAAGTGACGCTCCATCACACTAGTAGGATCATCATTGGGTGTATTGATTTTTTGGCTAAGATAGGTCATGGGGACTGTACTGATACAGTTTGATTCCAGAGGCTCTGACTAAATGTCTGGCTATATTATTGGAAGATAGAGAGGCCACAATTGCTGGAAGATCTAATGCAACAACTACATGAGCTTTTTAGGATTTTATTTTTTCTCCTTCAAGCCTAGCTTGCCCTTCTTCCCCAGAAAAAAGAAAAAAGTAAATCTTTAGGTGAAAAAATCAAACGTTTGGTAAATGATATCCTCTTTCTCTCTCTTGTGCCCGGCATGCAGTAAGTAATTGGTTCGCTCGCTTTCCCTTGTTTAGACAGTCTTTATTTGTTCAGTCAGTTATATTCGGGGTTTTAGTTGTCATGGTTGTCGTCTAAACCTTATATTTTTCGTCCAGACATCATGATATGATTAATGGATTTCATAAAAGAAGGCGAGGTTAGGCAGCTTAGGCTGGCTGGATACACGCATGATATTTTTTCCCTGTGGATATTGCATATTCATCATTATTGTCCGATTCAATACACCTCTGCAAATTTGGCGTACTCACCCCATATGGTCATGTGTGTGTGTGTGTGTGTTATTTCTATATTCTAAAATTAAAATGTGGAAAAGTGATTGCCAACAGAAATTTGCTTGCAGTGTAGCTCAGTGGGAGACACGTATAGAGTGTGGTGGGTTGAGGAACTGAGTCTTTGTTGCTGCCATTTCATCTATAGTCTGCCATCTCTGCTTTCTCTTCAAATCTTCCTGGCGTGCGGCTGATTCTCTGGCTTTCATGTCTTGGAGGGCCTTGGAATACAGAACCGGATCCATGTCTTCCAGCATTAACTTGACACTCTCTGTTAGTTGCCTCACGCTCTTGCTCCAGTGCCACTGCAGGTTCTTCTCCATCCCTTGTACTATCACCGGAAATACTTCCACCATCGCCGTCGACGCCATCCTCACGAACTGCTCGTTGTTCCATACATACAGTGCTCGCTCTGCTACCTGCGCCAAATTCTTATTTTACCAAAATGAACTTACTCTATGGCTAAGCTTAATAGTTCTTGAATGAAGCAATAAGAATAATGATGATGGAAAGATGGATGACTGACCTGGGAATTCCAACTGTTGATGCATTTGGTGATCTGCGTGCATAGGGGCAAAGCCAACTTTCGGTAGTGATCAGGGTCTAAATTCTCGACCAGATCTTCCAACTGCCCAATCAGCAAAACCTCTTTGTGACAGTTTGTGACGGGCCAATATCTCAGAATCCCTCTGACAACAATCCCCCCTAGCATAGGCTCCTTCTGCACAAACTGCGACACACAGTAAGCCAATTGCCTATGGTACATTTGCAGCCCTTTGGTCTTGTGCAGAGGAATCAGCACTCTCATCAGGAACAACTTATGCTCTTCCTTTAGTGGCACCGTAAACCCATTTATTATTGTTCCCCATATCTCCAGCAACTCCGCTATCCCTGCATGCTTCTCTGTCTCGACCGCGTAGTTCAACAGCACATCGTTCATCGATTTCCTCATGAAGGAACGCTCACAAGTGAACTTGGAATATATCTTGTGGTACACATTTTTCAAGCTCTCCCGTTCCCTTCTGTCTTCAGACTGGAATAAAGCTAGGAGCCTGAGAAGGAACGGATGATCTATATACTCCTTCAGGACATTTGGGTCTGTGATCATAACAACCCCGAGAAGAATTTCGTATACAATTTGGAGATGTGACCGTATGGGTGAAAATGTGGAGATGGGATCTTCGTCATCGGGCAAGTCTGCGACATCGGAGGGATTTGCCGGAGGAGGGAGTGGTCGGAACAGATAAGGAGAGATCATCGAAACTAGGGGCTCTAGAACTTTCTCTGGAAGCGGCTTCTTCGATGACTTGATGATAGCGAGAAGCTTACTGAGCTGGAGGCGCTTGAAGTCCTGCTGTGACGGAGACTCTGAAGTGTCAGTGAAGGTCAACCCGGAGGAGCAGTACGAAACAACACAGAGAATCTCTTCGTTTCCTGAATTCGGAGAAGATACGATGCCGTTGCTGCCGGGCAACGTCGGCTTCTCCTGCTCAAATAGGTTCTGAAGTGTGATTGAATTCTTCTTTGGGGTAAGTGTGGTTGGCGATTGATTTCTCTGGGAGCTCATGGTACTCTGTTGCGCCCCTGCTTTCTGTTTGTGTGTTTTGGCAGGACTTTTTGGCGGCGTCTTGCTCATATCCCTCACAAGGGCCAACGAGATAGACAACCTGGGAATCTTCATTCAACCTCACTGCTAGTTTTGAGGGTGCAAACAAGAAGGCGACGATACAGATGCACTCTATGCACAAGAAGCGTCGAAAAGTCCGATGCGTTAGCGAATATATCTTAAAAGCCTCCGCAGTGTAGAGAGTGGTGAGCTAGGGGGAGAAGATGGTCCGGTATCTTCCTACGTTGTTTCTGCAACTTCCATCTGCGGCGTGTTGCCACGTGGTTTTTCTATGTTTTCCTGAGCCTAGTTCCCATCAACAGGTTGGATGGAATTGATTTCATATGTGAATATGTGATGGGTTGGTTGGGTGGGATGAAAGCGAAGCAACAAGACAAACTGCTGATTGAGAGAGAGAGAGAGAGATATATATATATATATATATATATTTATATATATATGTATGCATTGCATGGGTGGCCATGAGTGAAGGTGGGGGCCACAATAACAACGAAAGCGTCGGCTTGTCAGACAGAAACACAGAACGCTAATGTTGTTTTTCAAATCATTAATGATTGCTTCGGGGCTATGAAACGATTCTCCATGTGCACTGTGCATGGATGGATCTAATCTGCAATAATAATACTACTAATAACTAAGCCTAAAATCCCCGTACTGAATCGCCTGATTTATCAGAAGATACAAATAAAATTATGATTGCTTGGTGTCAACAAGATCAATGCATAAACCTAAGAAAAGTAACGGAAGATACCGGCGAGAGCTTGTTTAGAACGTGAATACAACGCGAATAGAAGCAGGGAGATACGTTAATTAAGGCAAACATAGAAGAGGAGACATGCGTTGGTGGTATGTACGACAAGACAGAAACGAAGATTTACTTACAGGCACAATTGTTGGCAGTCGTCAAAAGGCATCAACTTGGATGAACATGAGAGGCAGACCGAGATCATCTCCAAAAATATCTTAGAGACGTGTTTACGTCACTGTTGTATTACAATAATGCAGCTACTTGTAATTTTATATGATTTTTTAATTGAGAGAAGTGCATAAAGCCACGAGTAATTATGAGCGCAGGGCAGGTGGTTGATGAAATACTTTTCATTTCAATGAGAATACATGCTCAGTAAGTTTAAATTTATTTTAAATAATTATTAAATCTTAGGCTCAAAATTGTGAGGACGTTTGCATAAAAGGATGGGAAGAAGCTTAGTTTTAGAACTTACTCCTCTGGTCCTATTTATAGGGCAGAGAGAGAAGGTTTTTTTTTGTCCTATTTATAAGTCACTTCATTAACTTCTTAGTGTGAATGTACTATTTTGTCCTTCATTTATTATAGTGTAAGTAGTTATCTTTTTTGAAAGGAGTATATATTAAATAGAGGTAAAGTTGGAAAGTTGCTATATTTTAATGGAGAGTTAATGCAGTTTAAGGTTTTCCTTGGTCTGTGTGAAACATGTTAGAAGTGCCTTATAAATAGGACCAGAGGAGTAACTCTTTTAAATAATAATTAAATTAATTTTTTTAACGGAATGAGGTTAGAGACGGTTATTTTGAATTTTGGGTTTTACTAGAATATTAGGATTGGATGTTACCGGGGACATTGGTTTTTGTGGATTGAAGAAGAGAGCGGATGCAAATAATATGTCGGAGGGAGTTGGTTATGTTTAATTAAAGCTGACAATTCTCAAATCAGACCTGAGCCATGTGTGTTTATAAACTGAATTTTGCGTGGCAAGTGGTTGCAGAGTGGTTTTGGCAGGCGCCTGGCTTCTCCAAATAGTAGTGCCTCACCAATTCCCCTGCGCCTCTCTGCTTCACTCGCGCTGCCCTGCCCTTTTCTGTACCAAACAAGCGAACGCATAATTTAATACTCATTCCCATTCCGTCCGTTCATTATAATAATATTATTATTATTACGGCGCTTCTCCATTCAATGCAATTCCCCATTCCTACAATTCAACTCCCTCATTCCTCCTTTCGTCTCTGATTCCCAACTCCCCTTCCCCATTTCCATGTTTCCAACATAGACATGATAGCCAGACCGGCGGTCCAGTACACGAGTCTCAGGGATATCATACCACAGCATCTGCCGCCGCCGCCGCCTCCGATCGTGTCTCCCGCCTACAATTCCAGCTGGAATGAGATCCCCATCAAGAATCCCCTCGTTAAGCAGGCTGCCCTGGCTTATCTCCAGGCCACGCCCACCCCGACTGATGTCGCCAGTAAGGGCCTCTTTCACGTGTTGAACGACAGGTGCTTTTGTGGAGACAGAGGAGGCTCCGCATGCTTCGACTGGCTCAACGGCGTCGTCTTAAAGGCGATCGCCGAATTTTTTGTCAGGCTTTGTGAACTAAGAAGAAGGGATGACAGTGAAGACGCCGACGACGAGGAGGAGATCGTTGACTGAGAGACGGACCAGACATCACAATTTACTTTCTTGGAACTTTCCGTTTGACCAGTAGATGAGGTGTTCCGTCCACTGTAAATAGTGACGATCCTTTCTTTTCTTCCTCTTGAAAAAAAAAAAAAAAAAGATTTGTTCCCCCTGCTGGTCGGTAAGGCAACTGTAAATACTATTTTCCCCCCTACTTCAAAAGTGATTGTTATTATCATGAAAGTTTGATTTCATTTAAAAATAATTATCACTTCAATGTTCATTACAATAATGATTATTTATTCCTGATTTTATAGAAAGCAAATATATCTAATCCAATAACTAATATAAAGACTTACTAAATCATTTTAACAATTTTTGTTCAAATTGCAATCAAGTTTCAAAGAAAAAATATACTCCTCCGGTCTTTAATACAAGACCCATCTAACTAATTTGATTAGATTAAAGAAGTTAGGTAAGTTAGTTAATTATAAGAAAAGTGACACATTTTTCCCAAAATACCATAATCATCTTTCTTAATACTCCCTCTCCCTCTTCTACTTGATTATGGGTGAGAGAGTATTTATAGGGGTAATTTAGAAAAAATTGATAAATATGAGAAATGGGTCTTATATTTAGGGCCAAAACCAACTCAAGAATTGGATCCTATATTAAGGACCGGAGGAGTAATTACTAAAAAATCCTAATAATAACCTAAACAGCCTGTAATGTTAAATTCTACAATAGAAAATGACAACTTTTAACTTATCACTGAGACTTGTTGGTAGTTTTTTTTTTTTCTTCTTAGAATCTCATTATAATTCTCCCAATATTTTTTCTTGAAAAAGAGCATAATAGTTAAGTTTGAAACTTCTTTGTTCCGCAAAACACCCCTACCTTGAGGCTCTTGAACTGTTAAAGGGGGTGTTTTGATAAGCTTTTTAACAGTAATTTTACGATGCTTGAGATGAATATATAAAAAGAGTTTTATCTCAACTTAAGTAAAAGCACTTTTTTAAATTGTTTTGAGGGTTTCCAAACTCATTCAAGGTAAATAAGTAGTGTCTAAGTCCCTTACTGGGTCACTCATTTTTTGCGCATTGGGAAGTGAACATAATTGATGTTAGGATAATAGTAGTGTAGAGAATGCTTGAAATTTCAAGTGCAGTAATAAGGACATTTTCAGGTGTTATAAATGGAGTTGTGTCTGAAGAGTGTTTGGGATCGATATCCCCTCCTATTTAGTTTTGTTTATATTTTGGCTTTTGCCTCCTCTGTAACCAAAAAAAAAAAAATGGAGTGGCATTTGTACCCCCAAAAAAAAAAAAAAGGAGTAGCATAGCGCGGTAGCATCCTTAGCCAGGATCAAACCACCTTGAAACTTGAAAGGATCAATCATATATGAAACTTGTGGTGGTAATCTTCATGGCCAGGGCAGCTACCCGAACTATGGATCGGTGTCTGCTGGGAACAATACCTGGCGTAAAATTTGTGTCGAGAGAGTTGCTTCCTAGTTGAATCTAAGCTTAAATCTTGTAGGATTGTCTGTTCATAGATTTTAAGGGAAATAGGAGGTGGGTCATGGAACTGGGCTATCACGGACCATGTCTATCAACAGTTTTTTGCAAGACAAAGCATCAATGATCCACCAAATTAAAGCTGAATGATGTAGGGGGATTGATGGCCCAGACAATGACATCCTAGTTTGTATTTGAACTATATTTTTAAGGATTGATCTTTGCAGTCCGAAATGAAAAATAGTGGAAAGCAACATTTCCTTCACACATGGTGCTATTGTGTCCAGACTCCAGAGAAATAAATTATCAAGAGCTAATTTCCCACTGGTCATTGTCTCGGTTGATTGGATAATGTATAGTATGCTACTCTTTTTTTTTTTTGGTCAGAAAGGTATACTATGCCAGTCTAAATTGCTTCTAATTAAAAAAAAGCTAATTTGTACATAATTGTTGGGATTGTCTTGATAAGCATAAAGCATGGATATAAAGATTAAGTCTGTCTCACGTAAACTATTTTTGGCTTCCTATAATAATCGGAAACTAGTATTCGCACGAATGCTATTCTTTCGTTCCTTAAAATAAGACCCATTTAACTAATTTGATTAGATTAAGGAAGTTAGGTAAGTTAGTTAATTATAAAAAATGTGACACATTTTTCCTAAAACACCATAATCATCTTTCTTAATACCTTTTCTCGTTCTTTTACTTTATTATGATCGAGGGAGTATCTATAAAGGTAATTTAGAGAAGGGAAAACCATATCATAGGTACCTCTACTTTCTCTCAATTTTTAATTTGGTACCTATGTGTTTTTCCTCTTGATTAAACATTTAATTTTTTTTTTAGCAACATTAGCTCTTATAACTTTGTTCTATTGGCATTTTTAGTCTCTATATAAGGATTAATGATGTTAATTGAGCAAAATTAAAGATTTAGTTAAGAACAAAAAACACATAGGTACCAAATTGAAAATTTACAAAAAATACAAGTACCTCCAATATGGTTTTCCCTTTAGAGAAAATTGATAAATATGAGAAATGGGTCTTATAGTTAGGATCAAAACCAACTCAACAATTGGGTCCTATATTAAGGACTGGAGGAGTATATTAATTTTATAAATCCATCCTAATAATCATTCTTGTTTTTATTAGCATATTATATTATAGTTATATATATGTGATAAAATTTTTATTTTACAGATATCTAGATGATTTTTCAGTTGAATAATACAATATTAGAGAACCATGTATTATTATAATTTAATTTACAATTTAATAAATATATAAAAAATCTGTATACAAGTCCTGTTCCATGTGATTGAATTAATATTTTAAGCTGTTCAAGGCGTAAAACTTTACATTGTATATCAAAGCATTCAATCACCCATATGTACAAATCATACACATGCTAGCTGAACTTAAATACATAATTGAGACTTCTGAAAGGTGCCATGATTCATATTCAAGACTATAATTAATTTCAAATGGGCCCCGGCTTTTGCAGTATAAATCACCAATATCTAAAATTTATTGGTCAGATGTCACCAAAAAAAAAAATTTATTGGTGAGATGACTTGTTGATTGTCTTGTAAATAAAGTGATTGCATTGGCGTACCCAGCTTTAACCGGGCAGCAATGAATCAATGCACAAACGTTTCTATCGGGGGGGAAAAGAAAAATTGGAAGAAGTCAACTAGCATGAGCAGGTAGGACATTTTTAGGCTGTCCCTAAGGACTGATGAACGGGGTTCATTTTCCGGCTTCTATAGAATCCGATAGACGCGAGCCTGTAGATATCAGTTTTCTGGACAGAGTCACCTCCTACTAAGGAGGTCAAACTATGATAATAGAATGTGGGGATAACTTAAAGGTAAGATTCTCATATCCAAGACTGACAGACAGCCCTATATGGGTTTAAACATGGTTGAGCAAGTTTTTGACATTCTTCATCAACAAGACAACAACCATTTTGATATCCTTGAGGCGAGCAGAGCCCAAAGGATAAAAAAGTTACGGTGCTATATATCCTTTCATTCATTACAGTTTACAGATAACAAGACAATTTAAAGGAGGGTGCATTCATCTGAGAACTAAATCCCTACTCCAACCCTCACCTCATATAAAGATAGTAAGACAAAAGATTGATATTGGTTGGTGCTATTGATTAGTAATTCTGTTAATTTCTATAGACGGATGAATATACAGATGACTCAAGTGATAGAATGTGAAACATACGGCTGTCGCAATTCAGCTACTGCAGCATATGCAAATCACAATCACCAGTAATCACCACAAGAGCAGTGGCCATCTTTGAAGTGATGGAAGACTTTAGAATCCCCTACTATAATTTCTCTTTTGGTATTCTTCGAAATCTTCTTTACAAATATATGGCAATCTTCACATAGTCTTGTGTTTTTCCTCACCAGAATAGGATTTCCAATTGTTGTAGATATCAATCCGTAACATATAGCCAATTTTACACTGTGGTTCTTCGGTAAATTTGCTCTTTTTCTAGCCGCATCTTTTGGCTTGAACTTGGTTAGACTATAGATGCAATTTTCATCACCAGTGTTCCTTAATATAATATCTCGAACATTATGGATCATGTCAGACTCAAGTTGAGATCTGTCGTCATTTGTAAACCTGTGCAGAGTATGATTAGTCTCTATTATGCTGCAAGCCACTGTTCTGCCTGATCCTTCTTTCTTCATAATAGACCTTATGCGTTCCACATCGTCCCACCTACCAGCCTCAGCATACATATTTGAAAGTAAGACGTGACACCCAGTATTATCATGCTCTATCGTGAGGATGCGCTCAGCAGCAAGTTCAGCTAATTCTAGGTTTCCTTTGTTTCTGCTTGCATTCAACAAAGATCCCCATATCCGGGCTGTAGGCAGTACTGGCATTGCCTCTATAAAACTCACGGCCCGATCTAGATCATCAGTTCGACCAATAAGATCGAGCATGCATCCATAGTGCTCTGCCTTAGGCTCTATTCCATAGTCTCGTTTCATAGAATTATAGTGCATCCACCCATCATCAACCATGCCAGAATTGCAACAAGATGACAGCAGTGAAACAAAAGTGCTATCGTTGGGCTTGATGCCTTGTCTCTTCATTTCTGAGAAAAGTTCAACGGACATTTTCCCCATACCATGAATGGCATAAGCCATCATCATAGTGTTCCATGATATGATATCCCTACATGACATTTGATCAAAAATTTTCCGTGCTGTCCTTATATCTCCAACGCCTGCATACATATAAATAATCGAATTCAAAACAAAGGAATTTGACTGGTATCGTAATTTCATGATATAACCATGAATTTGCTTGCCCTCCCTTAATGATGCCAATTCAGCATATGCAGGAAGGATGCTTGAAATGGTTAACGCATCTGGTCTTAGATTTTGGCTCATCAGTTCTTCAAATAGTTTCAAGGCCTTCTCGTAACGCTTATTTTTCACACACACAGCAATCATGGCATTCAATGTTATCAAGTTCTTGTCCACCATTTGATTAAAAATCAGCTCTGCCAATTTCAATACACCAAATTCTCCGTACATGTCAAGCAAAGCAGTTTCTAAAACTGGATGAGGAAGAAAACCTTTCCTAATAGCAACTCCATGGATAGACTTACCCAGCAAAACACCTCCCAATTGCTCACAGGAAGGAAGCAAATTTATTAGTGTAATATCATCAACTGACAAGTTATCAGCCTTGAGCATCTTTTTCATGGAACCCAAAGCCTGAAGTGGTTGACCATTCAGTGCATAGCCACCTATCATTGCATTCCAAGCCACAATATTTCTCAGACAAATTCTGTCAAAAACACTCTCGGCATAATCTAGCCTTCCGCACCTGCTGTACATGTCAATAAGGGACGTCTGAACCATAACATCGGATTCAAACCCCAATTTTAGCGCGATGCAATGTGTTTTCTTCCCCATTGACACAGAAACACCCAGAGAGCATGCATTAAGCACATTTATTATGGTGAACCTATCCGGTCGAATCTCAGTTTCCAGCATTTCTCGAAAGCAGTTCAATGAGTTCAAATGGTCGTTGACCAAAGAGTATGCACCAATCATAGAATTCCACGAAACCAAATCTCTCACAGGCATTTCTTCGAAAACCCTTAAAGCTAAATCAACAAGTCCTAGCTTCCCATACATAGCAATAAGAGCGTTGCAAATATAAACATTCGTGTCTAATCCCACCTTAAACAACTTGCCGTGAATCTTCTCTCCCAAAGTCGATGCCCCCAAACAGCCACAAGCTTTGATTGCAAACGGGTATGTGAGATTATCCGCAGGAACCCCTTTAAGCTCCATTCTATGATACAAGTTAAGCGCCTCTAGAAACAACCCTTTATCTGTATAGCCTCTGATCATGACATTCCAAATAAATGTGTCGAAGTGGTTCATTTTCTCGAACAGAGTGAGTGCGTCTTCCATCGACCCAGAAACTACAGTCTCAACCAGAGCCCTTGTGAGTACAGAATTGGGCGGTCCCCTAGAAGCTTTGAACTTCTTGGATCGAGCTGGGCGAAACTGTCTGTCAGAGCATCCGGGCTCATTTTCGAGAACGAACTTGCGGTGGGGTTTTCGCTCGGTGACTTGTTTCTTTTCCGGTGTGATGGAGTTCAAAAAGAAGTTATGGCGGTGGGAAAGCGTTGCAGCCATGTCTGAACGGCCGCAGTATTTAGCAGCACCGTCGTATCATTTGTTTACGGCAAGATAAGATAGCCGTTAACCCCTGCGTTGTGGACAATTTTAACCACCTGACATCCATAAATTAATCAGAGATTTTTTATTTTTGTTTTTGGGGTGGGGGTTTTGATGTTCTGTAATTAATCGGAAATCTGAAATCCGAACTTATGCCACATGCTGTAGTATTGGTCTCTTGGTCAAGATACTTCAAGATGATTTGGGCCTGACATACTTCGGTGTTTCTGTTGTGTTTTGGGCCGAAAGGGTTTCTGTTGTTTTTCAGGCTGCATATACCCTGTTAACCTCTTGACGTTTCCGAGTCCAAAAGAAGAAGTAGTTTGTTTCTTTAAATTTTCTACAAAAAGTTGAAAAAACCGCCAATAACAACTGGATAAATTTAATAACTGCCTTTTTTCCCCCAACGTACATGTTCGGTCTTTTGGGGGGGGGGGGGGGAAGCAGCGCGCAAGTGACTCTTTTCATACTTTTCTTATTTCTGATGGAGGGACATTTACGGTTTTGGGGGGAAAAAAATCCACAATCAGGTGTTATTTTTTGTTTTGGTAAAAAAAAAATTGCACAATCACCACCACAAATGGACAATGCTAGTTTGCAGAAACTAGCGAGCGGAGTAAATTTGTCACCAGATGGATAACAAAAAATGTAGGGGAAAAAAGTAAAGCAAAATGAAAATACAAAGATATCGAATCCATAGACGAGTAGCCTGTTAGAATCAATGCAAGCCTACTTGAGCTTGTAATGACCAAAAAAACAGACTAAACGCTAAAGCTGAATAGACAGGAAAGGAAGGAAATGAACAAATTAAAACAGAGGAAGCTCAAAGCTCTTCGGGGATGCTTTGAAGAGCCGGAGTCCAGCACTTATTATGCTTGGCCTTCATCGCATTGGTTCTTGATATATGCCTTCTCCTCAACACGTTCAATCGTTGCTCCGCCGTCAAGGACGCCACAGATGACGGGCGATTGCCGGCGCCGCCCATGGCTTGTATCAAATGCTTCAGATCGCTCTTCTTCACCACAATCTTCATCCTCACCACACCGTCTTCCTCACTGCATGTAACTACTCCCCCGCTCGCCTTTGCCACGCCTTCCAACGCCCTGTTGCTTCTGTTCCTTTGATTCCCGCCGCCTCTCAACAACCCAAACCCTCTCTTCAACGATGCTTTTCCTGTAACCTTCAGTTCCATCCCTCACCTCCTGTCTCCACTGTTGAGCTTCTCTTTGTGTCTGATTGTAGTGGCTGTGTGCGCTACGTATGTCTGTTCATGAAACTTCAAGTTGGCATGACCTCTATATATATAGACTGGTTCATGAATGCCTATTTATGAATTGATAATAAAATAATGGTAAGAATAACAGGGCCCTCGACTTAATGCGTGCGTACGTAGCTCCTCACTTGATTATTAAGATCGGAGTCAATGGCGACGTAAATGTGAACCGAAGCAATCATACATTTCATACATACATGCATATATTATAGAAACTGATGAAGTTTATGAGTAGCTTTTTAATTAGTTTGTTGGGGAGAAACACACGCCAACAACTCAGCCTGCACATGATGAAGAGGAAATTGAGGGTTGGAGGAATTTTTGTGAGAAGGACGCGTTTGCATGAAGGGGGCCTGCCAGAGGTTTAGGTTCATTTTGTTTATTTATTTGGGAATCTGCATAACAAGTTGAGTTCTCAGGTAGACAGAGAAAATTCTTCAAACCTTATCAGCTTCGTATACTAGTATAGCGAATTACAGTTGGCACTTCAAGGGAATATAGTGGTTACCACCTAACACTTCTATACCCATCTTTCATTAGTTAGAATCTCACAAATTTGGTCAAATGATTGAGCTGTATTGGGAATGTACGCCTCCGCTTTCTTAATGAACTCTCTCTGGAAATTCTTTTTCGAGTGCTCCTAGCCCGTTAACTGCCCAAGTCTTTAAATATTGTAGAGGAAATTAGTTATTTCTACTGATTTAGGTATCAGTATTGTTTACATCAAATGAGCTCCTGAATTGATTCTCTTTCACCATATTAAATTCACACCGTTTTTATTTCCGTATGAATCAGATTCAGAGATTATATGTCACACCAATCATTAGCACCTGTTTAGAAGGCCTAATCTGATAATTAAAGCACGGCTACTACCAGAAATCTCAGGTCTAAGATCACAACTAAACACTTTAAAACTCTTATTCGTGTGATTTGAAGCAAAACTCTTTTTATATATTTCACACTCTGTAAATTATGATTGAAAAACTGCTTTTAAAGAATCTCACTGCCAAGTCATTGAGCTCAAACATAAACAAGCGAACATGGCCGTGTTGACAAATGGAGGGAAAAACTGGAGAAAAGGGAATAGATCAGAAGACGAAAACCGGAACTACACTGGCCCACCACCAGAAGATATTAGAATGTAAGCACGGCGTGTCCTTGGCTGTTACTTTTATAAAACACCAGCAGATATGATTGATTCAAACAACAAGAATTTACAAAAGATCCTGAGCAAAATGCAAGCTTCTTTAGCTGTTACTCCTCTTATCATTAATATAAGACCTAATTAATTAATTTCAGTAGATTAATCATGATAGTTAAATTAATTAATATGATTTTTTTTAAAAAAAAAGCCATAAGTATCTTTCTTAATTTTCTCCCTCACTCTCATACTTGACTATTATTGAAAAAATATCAATGAGCTTATGGGAAAAAATTGATAAACATGTGAAACAGGTTTTAAATATGATCAATATTAACTCCTTAATTAGGTCTTACATTAATAATTAGATGAGTATTAATTTTCATTATGCTTCTTTCTTTTGAGAAATCGACATCAGTACCCTCGTCCATAAGTATGATTTATAAGAGGAAATGCTTTACAACAACTCAAATACATATAAATGATACATAAGCTATAGGCCCTAGCAACTTGCAGACAGATCCCAGCGCAAACAACATATCAAACATATTCTCTAATGCTCGTATCGTTATCTCAAACTGTTAGTTTGTCACTGTCAAGGAACAAAAAACCGGACCGGGGATTCAACCGGTCGAGGCAACGGGTCAAGGGTCCCTGGTCGGACTAGAGGTCGAACCGGTCATATTAAAATAATATAATTTAATTCATAACATTAAAATAGAACAAAATTTATAAATAATAATCAGTCGAAAAATAATAAAAATAACAGGCTTTTATTATTCCCGTGACTCAACATGAGGCAATAATCATTATTCCTATATATTTTATAGTGTCTCTTCAAAAGTTCCCAGTCAATCAAATTTCAAAATTTGGAACAAAACAATACACACCAAACATTAATATTTCTGTACATACATATACATACATACATAGATATATATATATATATGTATGCTCTATTGTTAAATGTTTTGATCCAAAAAAAAAATTTAAAACTCCTCATATCATCCGCACTCCATAGTACCTCGCCATTTGGAAAAGGGGAAAACAAAACTTATGCCAAAAATGCTGCAGGATGCCTTTTTTTTTTTGTGTGGACAAGATGCATTTCGTGCGAAAAGGATTACATTAGATGTATTTGAAATGCAGCATTTCTCTCCCATCCTAGAAGGAGAAGGAGAAGGAAGAACCTCAGGCTGCTTCAATGGTTACCAGTACCACTGTGAAGAAGAAATGGGATGGAGAGTCACGAGCTGCTGTTGCAACCTGCGACCAGCAAATCTGATCGAAGAACCGAGAACGATAACCTGCTGCTTCGACTAGGATGACATAACGCGAAGACCGGCGACCACCAACAGCGAAGAAAACGGCTGCTACAATGAGGACTGATTTCGGCTAGGGATTTTCAGTCTGTGGAGACAAATGAAAATGGCGAAGCTAAAGGAAATGGTTAGTGAATAGTGATGGATTGATTTCGATTTGAGGATCTGGACTTCTGAAGCTGTGCGTTCTCCATTGCTGCCTTGTTGTTTTTCTTTTTCATTTTCAACTAGACACCGCGTCGTTTCATTAGCTGAAGGACAAAAAAAATAATAAAAAATTAAAACCGGTCAACCCACTGATGCTACTGGTTAATCGGTTCTGACCAGTTGAACCGATTTTTTACCGGTTTGACTGGGAGCTGGTTTTTCCATCAAACCATACCGGACCAGCCACTGGTTCACCGGTTTTTCGGTTGAATCGGCCGGTCCGGTCCAGTTTTTTTTTCCTTGGCCACTATAACGGGTCAAAGAATGAAAAGTTTAACAAATATTACCTTAAGTTAATATAAGAGCTAGTTTAGGCTTTGTTTGGTTCAGCAGAGAGGAGGGGAGGGGAGGTTAATTAAAAGAAGGGGAAAGAAAGGGAAGAGAAGTCATGGGTTTTGTTTGGTTGGAGAGGAGGAGAAGGGAGGGAAAATTTATTGTTTGGTTCATAAGAGGAGGGGAGGGGAGGTAATTATAAATTGACAAATATACTCGTATCTCTATATTTAGACTACTTTGTTCTTTTATTACAATATTTGTATCAAAATTATTATTTCTTAATTTATTAATTTCAAAAAAACCAATTATCTCAATTACATGTGATAAAAAATTATGATAAAACTAAAAGAATTAGAAAATATGAAAAAAAGTTTAACATTCTATCTCATTAATTTTATAATTATAATACACATGTATGTGTATTAATATATATAATATATATATTATATAATTATAATTCACACGTTATGACATATATATATTAATATACATATATATATATATGCATGTGTGCAGCCTATCTGAGATTATTATATATGTATGTTTACAGTCCATCTTAGATTATAATACACACATGATATATAATTATAATACACACACATTATGATATGTATATATTAATATATATAATATGTGTATATATATTATATGATTATAATATACCACCCTCTATTAATGTATGCTTATCATATTATATTACGAAAAAAATTATTACCATGATAGAAATATTATATTATCATTTTTAAATATCATTAGTGGCTGAAAAGAAAAAGAAGTGAGAAAATGGTTTCTAATAAGAGAAGCAAACTTGAAATATTAAAAAGCTAGTGTGGATAGTTTAGTCAATATTAAATATAATATTTCTCTCCCCTCCAAAAAAACCCAAATTTATAGGGGAGCAAAAAGAAGGGAGGAGAACACTAAAAGACAAATTTCTTCCCTCTCCTCCCCTCTATTTTTTTCTAACCAAACACACTTATCTCATCCCTTCCCCTTCCCTCCCCTCAACAACCCTCCAACCAAACAAAGCCTTACTAATTTGAGTAAATTAAAAAAGTTTGTTTAAGTTAGTTATTTGTAATAAATAAGTGTTGTCTTCTCCAAAATATCCTTGCTAATACTAATTATGTATATTAGTTAGAACTATTATTTGATAAAATTCTTAACATGTGTAACTATTATAAAGACTATTTTGAAAACAATGGATAAATATGAGAGACAAAGTGAATTGTTGTTTTCTATTTAAAATAAAATTAAAAATTAAATTAACTCTTATACTAAGAATCGGAAGCAAGAGTAACAATACAACATGTACATAGAATACATAATAAGGAAGGATGAGGTAACCAGAGATGATTGGGAAAGATGGCATTGAATGAGATTGATGGCGGTGGCGAGCAACCAGCCAAGATTGGTGTGAAACACGGCCAGTGCTTGCCCTTTTGGCGTTTACTCCCTATTGGGAGCTTTCTTTAAGAACCACCAACACCGTATTCCGTGTAGGGTCTCTTCTTCCATAATACATACTACTGGCTGGCAAAGTGTTGTCGTCCGTATTCGACCAATAATACAGGCATATCTATGGCGATGTAAACTTCACAAGTTCTCAGCATGCTTTATTGATTTATTTATTTTATTCGTTTGTATCAATAAATCACATACAGATCTATATGTATAGACAGAGAGGAGGATCTTCAGCGGCAGCATTATTAAAGAGCTTGAGTATATACGTGGCTGTTCAAAAGGCGATCAATAAAGCTCCTGGATCATAAATAAGAGCATATTCTTTGGGCGGAGGCAGACCAAGCATGCAGTGACATCTGTAACGGTGGCCAGAAATAGGGTGGTAGTAAATACCAAGATAGACTTGAGCTTTGGGCAGGGATGGCAAGTGGAGGAGTTTTGTTTACTGACATTGATCATCGTCATCCTCCACATGGGCGGCAAAAGAAAACCCAGAAGAAAGATTCAATAACTGCATAAGACAAACAAAGGAACCCAACAGCCACGTGGATAGATCACGCGATTCTTGCCTCAGATGCAGCCTAACTCAGCGCATTTAAAACCTTGAGATCCTACAAGTGCTCTCCCTTTCCCTTCATTATATATTTTCGCGGGATGCCTTTGAATTGTCTTTTCACCAGTGACTTACAGTTCATGTTCCACGTGAAATCACATACGTCATAGATGTTGATGTATACTTATATATAGCACAACATATTCGTCAGAGATGGAAAGCAACCACAAAAGCTTCGTATGCCACTTCCTGATTTAATTCCATTCATACTTGAGCGGGCAATAATGTGAAGTTTAATTTGGGGGACTTTCACTTGTCCCCCACATGTTCCGCTACCTTTGCCATCCCTTGATTATTTCCCACATCCAATGGTTGATGCAGTACTATTGTCCAATTGAAAGCACATGTACATTCCCATTTCACATATAAAATGATTAACGCCGCCATGCTTATCAACAGGGTTAGCTTTTCCCGACACCATACAGATAACATATTAGTGATTGTTGAGTTCAATATATAAGTGAAAATGTAAACACAATGTTGTTCTTTCCCTTTAATTTGGATGAAAATCAATGTAGAAACACCGCTTTATATATCTATACACAGTTTAAAGTGTTGAGTGTAGGTTTTATGAGCATTGTCACCAAATTAAAATATCATGATGCATCCTTGTCCGCATGTCACTGATTCTAATTACCCGGCTATATTTCAACCGCGACCTTACCGTCATTTAATTTGCATCTCCTCAGCTTGGACGTACGAAGCAGAAAATCCAAACCCCAACCAGTTCGCATGTTTACACACTTAAAAGAAGCACGAAAAAACTCTGTCCTCCGCCATAGACCAGAAGATGTTCATAGAGAAAAAAATTGAACTCGAATTAACCCGAGAATTTTCGTCGATAACCAGAGCAATAATCCAACAATTTTCCCAGAACTAGAATAATATAATATACCTTATTCAACTAATTAACTACCTGGTTGCTCGTAGCTCTAGAGGGCGAAGAATCAAATCAAAATGTAAGCAAATTCTGGCCGGGAAAAAGAAAAGGTGTCGTAGACAAATGGAGCGTTGCTTTAGCACGTTCAGTAAGAAGTAGCAGATTTTGGCTTTTTGCAAAGAATCATGTGCATGGGAGTGAAAATGCCTGTCTCGCCACCTCTGGTGAGATAATCAGCTGTCTTCACTAACATTTCGTGCACATCAACAACCCCTTTCGGTGCAATTCCCAGCCATGCGAGCACCGTAATCATCAGGTGGTTCCTCAAGTACGCAAACTTCCCCATCTTCAACCTCGACCACCATGCTTTTGCCGGCGGCTTCGCCAGGTCCTTCTCTTTCAACACCTCGAATCCTACCTTCTTCGCCGTCTCCGCAATGTCACTGTAGCTCCTCAAACCGGGCAAAGCATCGCCTCTCTCTATTCCCTGTATAATTTCCACATGACGACAATCCTCAGGCTTATACAAATCCGTAGTCACCCATTCGTAGGAGACATACATTGCCCCGGGCTTCAAAACCCTATAAATCTCGGCGTAAACCTCCTCGAGCTTTGGAGCGTGACAGGTCGCCTCGATGGAATAAGCCCCGTCGAAGGAGTTGTCTTTGAATGGCATATTCAGAAAGTTACCACAAACAACCTCGCATAATTTATCCAACCCCGCTTTCTTATTGTGCATTTTTGCCCGACTGACTTGGTACTCGTTGATGGTGATTCCAACAACACTGGCGCCGGAATGTGAGGAGATGGCGCGCATGGGGCCGCCCACCCCACAGCCCGCGTCGAGAATCTTGCTGCCGGGACGGACGTCGAGGAGATCAACGGCCATTTCTTCATGGATTCGGGTGGCTTCGCCGTGGGATTTGCCCGGGATGGAAGGGGAGAAGTGGAAGGACTGGCCCCAGCCCCATTCGTAGATGTCAGTGACCAGGTTGTAGAAAGTGTCGACGAAGGAAGGGACATTATCAAGGTTTTGGATTTCTTTGGGACGGCGAAAGAAGGACCAGTACTGTTTGTAGCTGTCTTGGACCTCAGCGGCGGAGATAGAACCGCCGGAGAGGTTGATGGTTGTCTTTCCTTTCTGCTCGGCGGGGCCGAAGATGCAGAGGAACCAGTAAAGGCCAGCCACCACGAGGGAGGCGGTGCACAAGAGTGCAACGGAATCCATGCTGTTATAGCTCTAGAGATTGAGAATGGGAATGGAATGGGGAATGAAAGGATTGGAATGCGAATGGTATGCTATACGATGCACATACAGAGCAACGCCGAGATGAGGGCGAGCAGGATCCGAACTCAATAGACAAACAAAAGTCAAGATGCGGAATTACCGTGCCTGGGATTGCTCAAACGTGGGCCCTTTATTAGCGGCCCAAACGGCCCACTATTGGCTCTCATTCTTGGGCGTATGATTTGTTATGGATTAGAAGGGGGATCACTTGTAAGTAATTATGTGTTTAAGGGCGTGCGATGTGGCCATTGCGTCTTCAATAAAAATCCTGATGTCCTAATCCACGTTTCCGGTGCAGACCAATAAGTAAATGCAACCTTGCCAACCTCCGGACGCACCAAGTGCCCGTAATATCAGGTTATCTCCAACCACTGCACTCAATCTCCATACAGGCTTTCATCATGCATAACGACAATATTATTTCCCATCTCCATTTTAATTGGCCACTATTTTAGCGGTCACGTTCCATTTAATTTCTCAACCAAGTCATAATAAAGATATAATGATCCCCTGAAAGGCAAAGTATAGTATTTGTCAATATCTTTGCATGGCTAGCTTTTGCCCCCCAAAAACACGCACTTAGTCAAATTTTTAGATCCTTATAGAATAAAATATTCGTTGAGGAGAAGTATATTCATTCATTATTTACTATTTCAAAAGTAATATTGCGATTTCCCATATCACTTACATCAGGGAGTGACCTTGGTCGGTTTTACTTTTGCCTTCTAGTCTAGTATTTCTAGAAGCCACTCTCCGTCGTGGCTTAAAAGGTGAAAGGTAAAGGAAAAACGAACCTTGGCCAAGAAGAAAAAGGAAAAAGAAACGGAGCCGAGTGGGAAGCGAGCGCATGTTATTATTTGAGCAGAAAAGCATGTGTCTGTTCACTCTTTGTCGTTAGAGAGAAAGTGGGGAAAGAGAGAGATGGAGAAGGAGTTGAGGCAGCTTTTGGTGACGGTGTTTCTGTGGGGGACATCGGGTTTCATGGTGGCTCCGGCCATAACGGACGTGACCATGTCGGCGCTCTGCCCCGCTGAATATCAGTGCTCTCTCGCCATTTATCTCACCGGATTTCAGCAGGCCGTTAAGTATTCCTATTCTTCATTCTGCTTCTTGTTCCTCTTCTCGATTTGACATCATTCGCTTGCTGGTTCTGTTATTCCTCTTTCCATCTCATCGGTTTATGGCCGCTATACCCCCCCCATCTATACATGAACCATGTTTATATGTAAATACTATATATCATAATGCAGGATGAAGTGGTTTCGAGTGATGTCTTCACTCCTCAGTAGTATTAAATTAAGTAATTTCACATGTTTATTTTAATATTATAAGAGATATTAATTCTTAGTTTTTAACCCAAAAAAAAAAATCTGTTTGACGCCCCTAAGTACTCGGGTATATTCGAAATCCCAACCTATGTCCGCTGTGATTGTCCCCACTTTTTGCAAAAAATTTATCAGTCATATACTTACATATCGCGGACTGATGGGCTGGCATGCATATATCAATTCTTTTGGAAAGACCATAATTGAGTTGTTGAATGAGGAATTCATGATGTCGGAATTTTTTTGGGTATTTTAATTCTGCTAGTCAGTCTTCGTTTTCTTCAAATGGCAAGCGCCAAGAAGCTCGCGACTTGTTCTTGCTTCTTGCGCTGCCGGACGCCTGCTGGAAACCCAATAAGTATAGTAATATGAATATGTTAATGAATTATGATTTGAGTTGAGCTTGTGTAGGTTTTCAGGAAAAAACCGAAAAAGAAATCCAAGTCGGTCGTTTTTAGAAGCCCAACCTGTTGATTTTTCATCTTTCGAGTGGTGGGTTCATGTTTGCTTTGAATACGGAGAGCGAGCAGAAGTGTTGGTTGTACAATCAGATAGAGCGCATAGATTGGTTAATGCAGTTAGAGTTATGTGAGCATAAAATATAGGGGTGGATGTAACATCAGTGCTGAAGTGACGGGGAAACAGAGCAGGAGTTGTGTCTATATATGCTTTGATCAAAAAGTGATGGTGATGGTGATGATGATGCATAATTACATATGTTTGGATAAATTTTGTTGAAAAAAGGAAAAATATAAATTGGGTGCAGATAACGGGGGTGGGAGCAGTGGTGACGACGCCGTTGATGGGGAACTTGTCGGACAAGTACGGCAGAAAAGCTCTGCTCACGCTTCCGCTCACCCTCTCCGTCTTTCCCCTAGGTTCGTATCATCGTTTTCTATTAATTTCCATTGCTTCTTTAACCGCAGAATTTATAATATCTTTGTCGGGAGGGGGCCCCAGCTCAGCTGCTTGTACGATCTCCACGCGTCATCCTCAAACGTTGACGCGGCCCAGCCCACCATTCATTCTAATCAAACATGCTCTCCTTTTCGCTCCCAATTGCTGTAACTAGCTAGATTTTCATATATATAGACCAAGGTTTGACCGATCTGAACCGTGCATAATTAAGTAAACTAACTCGGTTTGTGCCGACATTTTCATGTGATCGTTGTTAACGTATTTTTGAGGATGATGTATTATGGTGATTGCAGTGATATTGGGATACAGTAGGGCTACAAACTACTTCTACGCCTACTATGCCGTCAAGACTCTTACTGCCATCGTCGGCGAAGGCTCCGTCAACTGCCTCGCTCTTGCATACCTGGTATATACACACATACATATACATATAGTATCTCCCGGCTCCCCAGATTAATAAATACTCCTATATTTTAATGATTCCCATTCCCATGGGTTTCTACCACTGAATGAATCATTTGTATGTGATCATGATCGATCAGGCTGACAAGGTTGGAGAGAGAAAACGGGCATCCGCTTTCGGAATTCTCGGAGGCGTCGGCTCCGCATCATTCGTCTGCGGAACCTTAGCTTCTCGATTCCTCTCTACTGCTCTCACATTTCAGGTTTTCTCTAATATTATTCTTCTCTTTCTTACTCAATCCGTCTGTCGCTTGTGGCTGCTAATCAATATTTATAACCGCCTAATAACAATTTTGCGTAAATTAATAGAATTAATTAAAATTAGTTACATATTTATATATATTAGAATTACCCTCCATAAAAATCGCTATTTAGAAGAATGGTTAATTAGTTTCAAAAAATGGATGTTTTGACTTTTAAGCAAAATATGTTATCTTACATATGCTTATGATGAAAATGGTTGGCTTTCTTCAGGTTGCTGCATTATTTGCCATGAGTTCAGCTGTGTACATGAGAATATTTCTGGAAGAAAGCTTGGTTGTTCGGGGTTGTGTGAGGCAGCCAATGTTGAAAGAGAGCGGGCCGCCGTGCGTTGAAGAGGTCAGTGAGAACTCGGACTCATCACCGCCAATATTCAAGACACTGCCATCGCTGAGGGATCTCATTGGCTTGCTCAAGTGCAGGTACGCACGCAACTAATAAAACCCACTGCCATAATGCATCTTGTTATAACATGCATGGGCACGTTCCTTTGTTTTAATAATTATGTAAAAGCGATGAGAGAAGCTCTTCACTTTTGCAGCCCCACGTTCTCGAAAGCAGCGATTGTTTGCTTCTTTAACAGTCTTGCAGAAGGCGGTCTGCAGGTTTCGGTGCTGGTAATTTACAATAATCACATCAGTAGCTATACATAGCATGTATATACGATTTTAACAGCAAAGCAGCAATAGTTTACAAAGTTTTTCATGTAGTTAATTGTAAGTTAATAGAGTTTTACCACCTCATGCAGTACTACTTAAAGTATCGATTTCAATTCAGCAAGAACCAGTTCGCTGATCTGATGCTTATTAATGGGGTTGGAGCAACTCTAGTGCAGGTATGCCTCTGTTCCCCAATTGTGGTTTGTCGATCGATCCAATTTTTTAATGCAAACTCAAATTTAGTTGGTTAGTTTGACATCTACAACTCTGCAGCTGCTATTAATGCCCAGATTAGTACCAGTTATAGGGGAGGAAAAGTTGCTTTCAATAGGCCTCTTTGTTGGCAGCATCACTGTAAGTATCAGCTTCCCATCTTCTCCGCAACACTTTGTCAAGAAGGGGGTACTAACGCTTCACCATATTTGATGATGATTGCAGACTTCAGTTTACAGCTTATCCTGGGCGCCATGGGTAGTCTTCTCTTCAAGCACTCTCACAATTTTTATATTTTCTTTAGAAGTTAAGATTAGCCATACTGTTTATTGCTTGCAATCCGTAGAGCTTTCTACGCAACTTTATGTATATCTTATAGTGATAGTGATAATTCTTGAAATAATTTGCAAATCATGCAGGTTCCATATGCCTTAGGAGTCTGCACTGTCCTTGGAGTTTTGGTGCGCCCAAGTGTACGTTGCTGTCCCTTGTTTATTTGGTTAAACTTGTTGGACTCTGTATGCTGATCAGTCTAGTTGGATGCATATGTGTGTGACATACAGATCAGCAGCATTGTATCTAAACAGGTTGGACCTGCAGAGCAGGTATGTATTTGGATATCCTTCATCGTCTTTTTAACACTTCATGACCGTATGACGCCTTTCAGCTTCTCCACTGATTAATGTTTGGTTTAGGGAATGGTTCAAGGATGCTTTTCAGGAATTAGCTCCTTCGCTAACATCATCGCTCCGTTAATGTTCACTCCCCTGACAGGTACGTAGGCTTTGGTGTCAAAAGTCAAACGGGGGGGAACATGAAGTACTGAGAAAGCCTAACTAATTACTTGTCCGCCGTCTGATTCTTTTGTAGCTTTGTTCCTGTCGGAAGAAGCGCCCTTCTATTTTCCAGGTTTCAGCATCATGTGCCTTGGGGTATCACTGGTCAGTGCTGAAAACAAGAGAGCCTTGATCTGGGTTTTCTGAAATTTACATCCATGAGCAAGATTATAATAGATCTGTCTATATATAGCTTCTGATCTCAAGCTTGCTCCGCGCAGATGATTGCATTTATTCAGAGCATATGGATCCAAGCTGCTCCTTCTAATGCGATTCGCGAGTGGCAGAATCAACGAGTATAGCGACAGCAGGAACGCCTCCGGACGAGCTGCCTAATCAAAAAATCACTACTGCTACTTCATGGAACCCCCGTAACGAACCACTGCTACTTCATGCTTTAACACCTAGGATTAAATTAACTGAATTACGCCAAAATACAAGAAACAGAAATTATAGTTACTCGTTTATGTGTATCCATAAATACTGTCGTATATAACATCATCTTGTTTTCAGTGTCCCTCCGGAGCCTCAAGTGCTTAAAATATCATTTGATTGAGACCCAAAACCAACCACTTATGCTAAATAAGTTCGATCAGAATGCATCAATCACGCAATATTGAATTGTAAAGATTACGTGTTAGCATGTTTCAAATAAATAATTTAATGATAAGAAATAGAAAATTACATAGAAGTTTTTCTTATTAAGTAAAGACAAATGATTATAAATAAGGTTATAAGAACATGCCCACAGAATAATTTATTTTATACACACACATCGATATATGCACAATTACCCTTGTAAATTCCTGTGCTATATTCATACAATTGCCACCGTTCTTCGAAGTCAAGAAGAGTGACATTAAAATGAACAAATCCGCCCCTAGCCGGTTATGTCTGCCCCATCAACGTTACCGGAGCCCTCATCATCAGCAGCATAGAATCTTGAGGTCAACTCCAGAAACGCCCGTCGCAGAGCCATGTTATGTTCATTGCCGTCTATGTTAATCCTCCGCCTGGGAAGTGAAAATAGTCGCAGGCCTTGATAAGCTATCTGGGACATCCGCCGCCTAGCTTGTGAATTCTGTCGGACACGCAAAGTTATTATCATTGCAACCACCAAGCTAAGTGATCAGCATTGCCATTGTTACTATCGACATAATCACTATTATCACCATGTGGCATCATCGTCATCATAATCACATCAAATACAGGAACTCTGGTCATAGAATTAACTTAAGAGAAATTGGTTCCTCTGCTGCCCAAAACAGCTTAAAGAACACATGAAACCTTCGCTTCTCTGATCCACCCACACACAGAACAATAGCTAGTTCAATCCCCCTCTAAATGCAAGGTTTCTAGGTAATGGGGGTGGGTCACACCGACCAAGATCCCAGATAATGGTATAGCGTCAATAGAAAACTAAATCTTCCCCCTTTTTACTGCCATCCCACAACGTTAGAAGCAAGCAGCCCAGGTAAGAACAGAATTAAAAGCAAGCTCATCAACAAAATATAAAGATATCGTAAATGCAAGACAAACATTATGGTCCGATTTAATTAGCATTCGATTTTCAAGAGTCAAAACTAGGTTTTCTAGACTAAGAAGAGAATGCATTTCCTCTCAGAAAAAGGAAAAAGAAAGAATAAAAAAAAATTCTATTGTTTAAAAACTACAGATTTTAAGTAAATAAGATGTTTTCCATTTTATATTATAGGGAAAAAATTTCGAAAAATTCCCAAAAAAATACCTTTAAAATTTTAGAATCCCAAATCATGAATGATTACAAAAATATGGTGTAATTTGCTTTTTAAATATTATCAATTGTTATTAAAATATAGTAAACAAAATTGATTTGGAATTTTAAAATTCAAAGATCCCAAAAAATTTAGCGAGTCAAAATTCCCAAATAAACTGCTCAACCAAGGAAGCCCAGAAAAAGAAAATTTTCCTTTGAAGATTATTCTAATGGGTTAAAATCCAATTTTGTCCTTGAACTTTTTTTCAAGGAGCACTAGAAACCGTAAGTCAAGATTGGGATCACCTGCCAAGAGCAGGAGGAGGAAAGAAGGCTGAAAAGGATTTTCGGAGATTCTTACAGCAGAAAACATCTCATCATTTATTCGGTTTCTTGAGTTTATTTGAAAATAATAATTTTTGGAAAATAGTTTGAGTTTTATAAGGTACAGTTCTAAGTTGAACCTAGAGTACACCACACATAAAAGGCATGATGCCACTTAATATCATTTTGCGCACTATCTTTTTGACTTGCACAAATTAACCCAACAAGGCTGAATTCATACCTGGTTTATATTTTTGGGTAAAGTAGCTTTCTCAAGTGCCTTGGGACCATATTTTGATGTCATTATTAATTCCACTGCTTGCAAGAACCATTGTAGGATGAGACTCAATACAGTTGACAACTGTCTTATCTGCTTTCATTACACGAAGAAGCTTGCCACCTTTCTTTCTCCAAATGAAAATCCGACCACAATCTGACCCACTCACCACATACTCACATTTAGGACCAAAAAAGTTAACACCCTTCACTGTCTTGCAATTCCTATGGCCCTTGTAAACTTGTGCAGTAATTGTCTCATCAACATCTACATTAGATGGTGATGAAGCGAAAACATAGTTACCTCCCAATCCATTGGCATCACTGTTTTTAGAAGGAAGAGAACTAGGAACACGGTTTGGACCCAAACCCATATCTGGTGTGAAAAGATAAATGAACTGATCATTGTAAGACACAAGCAGCTCGCTCTGTTCAGAAAATGCCAGGCCCGTAATTCCAACTTCCTCATCACCAATCAAGCGCTAAGGGCAAAAGACGTCAGTGGGTTGACCAAACTCAGTAGATCCGTCCCATTTATACTTGCGAATATAAAAAATTCGAGCATACTCATCAGACCCAGCAACTGCAAAAAGATTTGGGTTCCTTGAATTAATTGCAATTGCATGAAGACGGATGAATGGCAGGTAATGCTTTCTATCATTGGTAGGCTGGCATGTAAAAAGTTCTGTTGCAGTCCTAGTTCTCAGATCAAACTGCAATAATACTTACCATCACTTGACTAAGCAACAAGAGTGTAAAATAAAACTTCTAATTTAAATAGAGACCGAGACTGAGGGAGTGCCCGGTCACAACAAGCATAAGATCAAAGACTTAACAGTTGACATCAACACTACATTCATTTCTAGTTTGAGAGTCACCAACCAAACAATATTAAGGCTTGTCAACATTGTACATTTGTAGCTAAAAGGATGCTTCACCAAAAGAAAGTTAATAGCTAAAGGGCTTGCCCATTTGTAGTCATTACTCATTAATGAAATTGTCAAAGAAGACTGAAGAATAAACAACTAGTTATAGCAAAGGAAACATTTCACTTATATGTTGTACTAATCCATCTTCACCACAGGTATAAAGGGTATGGGGACTGCCAGGCTCAATAGCCAACTTATGGGCCCTTCCATGATGTCTGCCCAGTAACTTCATTTCCACATCTCCACGTTTCGGAATCTGAGCATGTCTCACCTAAAATAGACAGTATGCTACAAAACAAATGAACTTCATATATATATAACAAAAATGACATTGCATTAGAGGAATATAATGGCTTAATGGAGGAAGTAAGAGAGCTAATGGCAAGAGAATGGCAACTGAGGTTTAAAGCTATATACAGAGAAGCAAATGCTTGTGCAGACAAGATGGCGCATCAAGGTTTCCTAAGGAAAAGATCTTGGGTAATACCTCCAACAGGCTTGGAGGAGCAATTGCATAAGGATCTACTGGGCATAGGGACTCCAACACGAGTTCGCCTGGATTAACGTAGTTTGGTTATGTATTTTTTTTTCTGACTAGTTTATCCTTTATTCACCAAAAAAAAAAAAAAAGACATTGCATTTCTCCTGATTTCAATGTAGATGAACAGCTTTCGTAAATAGTTATCCATTTGAAACCCTATTTCATTTTAGCGGTTCTCAACATAAAACAAATTCAAAAGTTAGGGAGAGTATACATTCCAGATTTATTACAAATGGTTACTCCTAAAACAGTCAAATAGAATAGACATGGTCCATCATAATGTAATATGATGTACCTGTCCTTCAGCAGCAAAAGTGACAATGCTTCTATCATCTGAGGGGCACAAAATTTGCACGAAAAATGTTATTACTATGACCCGAATCAAAAGGTAGTCTGATATTCCCAGTTTTCCAGTCCCAGAGGATAACATCCTTGTCACCAGAACCCGACACCAAAATGTCACCATCTTCATTGAAGCTTACAGTATTTACACAGCCCCTGTGCTTTTCAAGTTTCCTGCATACATCAAGTCGGAGGACAAGATCCTGAAACAAATCCCATCAATAAGATTAGATCTTTGAGCTTCTTTATACAGGCTTGATAAAAGTTGTCTTTTCTTTATCCGCATATCGAAGATGGCATATGAGTAAGGGTCGAGAACACTAATTGTGTTTACATCTAAATCAGAAGGGAGATTTAGAAGAAGAAGAAGAAGAACGAAAATTTTCTATAAATTTAGAGTTCGAGTTTCAATTAAGAATATAATACCACATATTTCATTCTTGGCATTAACTTTCACTAACTGTTCTTAACATCTTTTATATCAACATCCCCAGGTACTGATATAAGATGCCCTGTTTTTAACTGTAGCTTCCAAGGATAGCATTTTTAACACGAACATGACAACGTTTACAATTTTTTAAATATATTTTTAGTTTCTCTCCGTTATTAATGCATCTTTTATAAATAAGATGCCATTTTTTATATACAGTTTTACAATTAAAGTGCATTGTACAGTTTCTTGGAAAGATCACATCCAATAGGAATGATGAAATTTTCAAAGCTTCAACCGGACAAAATAGACATGACCTGCAAGCCTCAAAAGGACTAGTCGTAGTAGTTTCAAAAACATAAAAGGCAAAACGCATTATGGTAACTTGACATCGGGAGAAAATCCTAAGTCAGACACGCTCAATAAACAGTTGCATTGCCACCACGAGAGCGAATCTTTCTTCCTGCCAGAGTCTGGAGTTAAAGAGTAATTAACAAGAACAAATTAAGAAAAAACGAGTTGCCAAGTACAATAAAGAAGGGAACCAAGTACAGAGTTATAGAAAATTTATACCTCAGAGGCTCCGAGGCGGTGAGAGAAATTCCTGCCGGGTATCTGACCTCACTCTCGCTGCCAGACATTGACAACGGCCTTCTCGTTGCTCATTTTTGGCCTCTTATTCATCTTCTGAAATTGAGAATGGTATAATTTCGATGAAATAGATAGGGGCGATGATGACTAAATTGATATCGGAAAGGGTCGAAGAGAAAGTCAGGATCTTCGTAGATACCTTGGGGAAGAAGAAGCAGGGGTGAGGTCTTCCGCATGCAGTGACGGACGAACACTGGGCTTTCCACCATTTTATGCGACCGATTACGCGTTCTTTCCTCCGATCCTTCACATTTGGAATGAATGAATTTAGGAAAAAAAAAAAAATCACATTTAACAACTTATTCAAGTCATTATAATTATATTAAAGGACCAAGAAAATAATCAACTGATCAATGGACTGTCACCAAAAAAAAAATCAATTCTATCTTTTCTTTTCTTTTTGTTTCTTATCTTCATGCAAACATAACAATGATAGTGGTAGTTATTTTATGTTCTACTATCGATTATTCTACAAAGGGCTCTTAGAAACCAGCAACTTCAAAAGCACTTACCACTCAATAAGTTTCTTCTATCTTTCCCACGTTTGGTTGTCCTTTCTCATATTTCATATTCTCTATTCGTTATTTATTCGAAGCATGCCAAAATCTCTATGGGATTTGGTTGCTTTTCCTGTCTGAGAGATTGAGGGTCCGACTAGATCATTTACTACTTGCGAGCGTAGAACTTATTTGTGGATCACGGTTATTATAATCAATGTTTAGTATTAAGTTCAATTTTAAAATATGACATTAGGAAGTTGTATTATTTATAACCCATTAATATTATAACTCATCATCCCTACACATTTAAGAATTATTAAGTAAACATAAAGACTAATTAAAGTCAACTTTGGAGCTTTGGTGTATTTTAAGGTCAAAATTCTAAAATATGATGGAATTGAGTCACATGAAGGTGGTCATAACATTCTTCCAAATTAAGGTTAGTGTGCTTAAATTTAATAATATTTACTTTATTTTTAGGAGTTTTTATTTTAATATACACAATTTTAAAAAAATTAATATTTTAGTAACACATCCGAAGCCAATGGGCCCACCCCTTCCATTGATGAAGAAAAAGAATTATTAATTAATTAATTTTGGCAGGAAGTAATTACTATTGATTTATCATCTATGTCTTCACTGTAATAGTTAACAAATGCTGCTAAAAAGTCACGTGTCTTCCAGTCCCGCCCAGCAGCCAATACTCGGGAAGTGGAGGAAAGCCTCGTGTCCTATGTCATAGAAACGTGGGGGAAGAGGAAACGCGACCTGCAATATGCCTTGAGGCTTAAAGGCAGAAGCCAAAACGAATACAAGGTGCGCGGCTCTATACAAACGAATACAAGGAAGGAAGACGTGTTCTTTCGAGTTTCAATTCTATTCATGGCAAAACCAACATGCCTTCCACACGCTACCTCTTCTAAGCAGAAAAGAGCGTCAACCTGCATTTTGCAACGTCCTTGCCCAACAAAACCTTTATTCTGCACTCTGCCTCTATCATAATGCGGTCGAATTCCTAACTTTCAAGGTTTTGGCTCCGCTTTCCAATTCCTGCGCATCTCATAACACAGCTCGTGGCATGCTGCGATCGGGCACCCATTCACCCCCTGCATCCTGGTGGCATGACCAAAGCAAAAACGAAAGTATGAACCACATATTCCTATGTATTTAGCAAGTGGGCAACTACAACACTTAGTTTACGACAGACCAAATGAGGACCTCCCTCTAGTCCAACCTATGTTACACAACAAACCTGCGGTAGGAAAAAAAGTTTTTCATCGACATTATGACATAAGATGCGTTGCGTTCGCTTAAGAGAATTAATTAAAAAGATGTACCATTCCACGACATCAATCAAAGAAAGCATTGCAACGGTTCAGTTCGTTGAGTTAGGAAATCTGGTAGGAAGAACTAATCATATATTTTCAAAATATTCAAAGCATATAAATATCATTACTAAGAGAGACGTACGCAAGATACAATAACCCCATCGCCCGTATACTACTACATCTATGAAGCACAAGCACTCACAAAAACCACGACAGAACAAGATATAGCAACACTAAAACGCAAGTGCAGGACATGTTATAGACAAGGAGATCAGATATAACTGCTCTGTATACAAACATATACATGACACTTCAACATTAAAATGACATAAGGAAATAAAACTGATGACATGATACCTGTCTGAATTTTTTTCCAATCAATTGATTACTTAAAACCACGGCATCCACCATATATACATCTTTCCAAGATTCTTGTGAGAAACTGCTTCAGCAATTAGCCTACGAGCTTGACCTTCTACTGCAAGAGGTAATGATGGGGCAGCCCCAACACCAACTACTACTCCTTGTAACCTTGCCTCAATATTACAGATGGCACGCTGATCAAATTAATGTAATAAAGTTATAACAAATCTATTCTATTTATAACACGAACAAAAACTGCTTCTAGCCTTACTATAATAATGACAGTTATAGCAGAACTACTCCAATGATATTTCCCAAACCGTAACCAAGGAACCTAGCATATAGTATTTACTCTGAAAACGACTGCAAAAAGTGGGAAAGTTACATCAATTGAATTCTCTTAGAATTTAATTTACTCTACATTATTGATAATTGCAACCTTGCCTAGAAATAAGCTGCTGAAAAGAAGGGCTTCAGGATAATTTAAACTAACCTCAATAAATCACAGAACCAAAGTCACCAGTAAAGCGTAGCATGGTAAATTCATCAAGACAAAACTTATTCCAATAATGAAAGAAGAAAATATTACTGGACCTGTGCGTGTGGATTCTGAACTTCTACTCCACTTGATTTATGAGACTTCGTCCATTCCACAAGAGGATCATGGATGAAAGTTTCAAGCACGCTCATAAGAGTCTCCCTGTGTGTCCTCAGTACAGAGAGGGTAATTTCACAAACCCTCAAAAAGGTACCCTCATATCCAGTAATGCCTAACCCATCAATCATGTTCTGTAGGTTCCATCAAAGAATCCAGGAAAACCCGGTGGCCAATTTCCAGAAGGAATTAGAAGAAATAATTAGTATAAAATAATCACTTTTATGTGTCGTTAAATAATAAAAAAGAATGGATCATTGTCACCAACTCTTGAATAACCGCTGAAATTACTCTCATTGAAGTAGAGAAAAAGTGGTAGACTGGATTTGAAACACACGGAAGTCTGAAGAAAGACATTCATGTTGAATATACTACAAATTTTATGTTTTTCTAACCTGGGTTAGCCTAAAGGGCACAAGCTCAGGCTTCTCCAACTGCAATCCTTTGTCAAATAAGCAACTGAAATCAACATGAACACAGTCACCATTGGTTGAATCAAAAAGAATATTTTCACCATGCCGATCACCCAGTCCCACGATGTGTCCAACCATGGACCAAACTGCAGTAGTGTGAGCATAAGCAACACGGGCCCTGAACCATGCTGCAGGCTCAGAAAATGTGGTCAAGAACCATCTGTGGAAAACAGGAGGAAACATTGGCAGAATTTTGTTCTTCAGCATCTCATCTTCTGGCATTTTACCTTGGGATTGATCATAAATTCGTTTGATTTGAGGATTAGTTTTCAGCCTATCAAACTTTCCACAAGTAATGTATATGTCTTGAAGAATTTGTCGAAGTCCACGAGTGTGAGGCACCCACTCTACCATACCACAGTCCTCTGTCAGAGGAATCACAGCAAATGTACGAATATAAAGCTTCCTTCGGCGGCTTTCAGGATATTTGGATAGCAACCGGTTGATCATTGCAGTAAATTCCATCATGCGAGCATCTTTGCGGAGATCATCTTTGGGTTTGCAAAGAAATGGATGTTCAAGACCATCACTGCCTAGTAGAATTATCTGAAGTACACAGGCACACCTATTACAAAGATGATACAAACTACAACCTACAATTGCAAAGATATCTGCCCCTAGTGCATTCGGTGCCAAAAACAGATAATGATGGTGACAAGAAAACATTTAATTTCCTCACAAATTTTTCATCCTGAAATGCATTTTCCTCAGTGATGATACACTCAATCTTCAATCAAATAGGCAAGATAGGGCAAATATATGCAATGAAAGCTTGCTAATCCAATCATCAGTTAACTGTACACTAAAGATTTAAGACTATCAAATGAAAAAAAAATAAAAAATAAAGATATAAAGACCATGTCAACATACTTTTTTAGGTCGCTGAAGAGAAGAGAGAATCTCAGCCTCATCAGCAATGCCTGATATAGTAGGAAGATCTGTGTGGGAAAAGATAGTATACGTCAGTGAATCGCTCAGGTTTCCATCATATACAGGCAGATTAACAGTCAGAGATTGTTGAATGGGCATGATAATTCCCAGGGGCATCATTCTCTTAAGAGCACTAAACTCAGTGGAAATATTAATTGTCCTCGCTCTGGGCTGGCCAGCATGGAAACACAACTTGATCAGATGGTCTATGAGGCTAGCAAATTGAACGAACAAATTGCTCTCATTGCTTCCTGGGCTGAAACCTTTACGTGCAGCTAGTATTATTTCTGCTGCTGCTTCCCTCCTCGAAGGAACAGTTGACTTCGAAACTGCTGCCATAATCCATAGCCCCTGATGGGGGTACTGGCGGAGAACTGAGGTAATGATAAGCTTGACTAGTCGAACAATTTCTTCATTCTGGTGGCATATTCTTGATACCAATTGAGGCAGCACCGTCAACCACTGATATGTTGGTAAATCCTTCAAACAGCCTCTCATAATACTCATTACCTACCAAAGTAAAAAAGGCAGTAGCATCAGCACAAAAGGGAACGCATGGGAAGAATTTCAATGCATTGAAGAGAACAAAAATATGAGAGAAATTCTCCACCAACCTTCCCTTGTACATTCTTCAGGTCCTTGTTAGATGAACCGCTTCTTTGATACATGCTCCCAAAGTCAAACCACAAGGTTAATAACCTTGGAAGTGCCTGAAATAGATTTTTGTGTCCCCTGTGAAGCCCTTTTGCATAGAATAGCAGCACGTCAGGCACATAGGACCACCAACGCTTCTCAACATTTGAATTTGAACAGCCAACAACTGAAGCTGCAGAAACATGTCTAGGACCAAGTTCAAAGTTCTCCTCCTGGCGTTTCCTAGCATCAGCAAGCACCTCATCGCAATATTTAGCCATATAGAAGTACCCTTTCTCCCACTTGGGCTGCAGTTCCCTTACCCTCGTGTAAAGACTTATTACATCTTCCTTCTGCTTCTGCCCAGTGTAATGAGTCCACCTTGAGTAGAGAAGAAGGGTCTTGGCTATATCTTTGCTCTCATTCATAGCTTGACTGTCACAAATAAGATGTGGAGGATTAAGTGGTACTAAGGAAAGGCTCGAAATAGATGATATTGCAGCAGAGCCTAAAATTTCAACAGGCATGTTCAACAGAGATTGTTGCAACTCTGCAATGGCTCCATCAGACCGACGGGTGCTCCAGAGAAGTTTAGCTTTCTCCCTGGTGACATTAGGTGAACCCGAGACCTGGGCTTCTAAAATTGCCCTGTTAGCTGTTTCATAATGACCATCCATGCGACATAGTTTTGCATACTGAAGCCAGCAATTCCCAACTTGAGCTCCAAGACCACTGGCGCCAAAAACCAGTCTCCTGAAAGCCAAAAGTGGCTCCCTGGCCCAAAGTGATGGCTGTGTAAATCTAAGTCGACTTTCCCAATTATCCATCATTTTAGAGAAATCTATATCATCCAAATGAAAATATTTCTCTAAGAAAGAGCTACCGCTCAAAAGAGAATGGAAGTCTTCCAGTTCCCGTAGCAAGTGAAGTTTTACAACAAATGGGTAAGCTCGCATGTATGAATCCATGCCTGCAGCAGCTAAGGGGGCAATTAGTGAATGCTTAGATAAAGCAAGTTTCTCTGCAACTGAGAAGTGGTCCTTCTTCATCATTGCCTGGAGAATCTTTGCAACGTCCAAGTCAAATGAAGCATTACTTTCAGAGCAGCTACAAAGTAAACCTTCTTCTTCAGCTCCACTGAGGTACTCATCCATCAATTCCCACCTGCCAAGCCTCCAGGCTGCCTGCAAACCTTGCATGCACCATGCTTTCTTGTAGTGAGGAATCCTAGAAATTAGACCATCAACATGAGTGACCATTGCCTGAAGGTGGCACATGTTTAACAAGCAGTTAAGAACATCTGAATGTCTCTGAATTGAGTTAGGCTCCATTTGCAAAGCCTGCTCGCAGGAAGTCAAAACATCAGCCCAGTTCCCAGATTTCTTATTTATTAGTAGCTGATCCTGCAACCTCAAAGAATTGCATAAACATGCCAAGCCAGATAGTCCATCTGGCTCGTCCAAACAACTGTATATTTCCATAAGATGGGAAACATCTTTATCCTCAAAGGTGCCACTCCTCTCAGCGGCAGGGTTGAAAGCACCTGACTTTTCCCTCACATGAGATTCAAAGTACATCAAAGACCTTGCATAAGCCTGACACCTAAAGGAAGCTCTAGCAAGGGTCACCTTTGGAACTGCAGATAAAAGCTCTGAAACATACTTACACTGAACAAGGAGTTGTTCCTGAACAGCCAAAGAAATTGAACTTTGATCCTTTGATTTTTGTTGCTTAGCTGATGAATGAGATGACTGGGAAAGAGCAACTTCTTGTTCAACATCATCCACCCACTGTCCAAGATTATCAAGAAGAGTAAACACAGCTTGAATACAAACTTCACTTTGCCCACCACTAAACCCATGAACTGAAGCACCACTGTTTTCTGATGCAGCTGCATCAAGAACAGAAAGGATTTCTTCTGTTATGCTGCAACGTGCCTCCTGAGTGCCATGACAGACAGCATGAAGAACTAAGTAGGGAAGTAAATATATTGCTGTTTGCATATCGTGACGCACAATACCTCGGCAAGCATTGAAAATGCATGCACGGGATCCAGTGGCATGCACAGTTAGTTTTCTTATCCAAAAAAATATCCATCTTCTAAATGACATAGATGGGCGGTAAATAGGACCAACAGATGTTGAGTCACCCACACTAGGAAGCTGAAATCTAGATGTTAGGCATGGGGCTATTATTTCTTTCACATAATTAGAGAATCGATCCCATAATCTCTGGCCCCTATTATTCATCCGACTCATACCATCAGTACACTCAAACTCAGATGCAACAGCTACCAAAGTTTCTTTATCCTTTTGTGCCTGTGATGTGGAAGTTGATGCATTTACATCAAGTGATGCTCCACAACCAGCAATTTTTAGAAGCTCCTGTATGGCCAATGCAGCTGAGTCTTGAATAACAGTATCTGGTGCTGATCTAAATGCTCGAGCTAGGTGTTTGTGGATCAGCTCAAATATGAGGTCATCATCAGAGCATTGAATTTTGAAACGCTGACATGAAAATCCCTTTACTTTAGCAGGGTCAACAGCACCAAGGGCTCCAAGACAATCAGCACAGACCAACTTTAATCTCTGTCCAACTGCCGTTCTTGATTCTTCTGCACACCCTCTAAGTAAAGATGTGATCAAAGAACTCAAGACATCCAAATCAGAACTAGTTTCAGCAATGATCAGAGTTGTAACATCCTTCCATCTTAGGTTCAGAAGCTTACGCAGTTCACACACTACCATATACCTCACATTCAAGTTCTCATGATTTAAACCATCAACTATATCTCGCAATTGATCCTTCAAGGTCATTGATCCACGAGCTTTTTCAATTGCTCTATTAACTTCTGCCAGAGCCGGGATGCTAGGCAACGGAGGAAACTCACGTATATGCTGATTCAGAATGACACTGTTCTTCAATACAAGTTCCTCTAAAATTTTTACCACTCTGTCAATATGTATTGAAGGATTTTCTCTGTCTCTTTCCAGGAAAGGAAGAAGAGAAGCCAGAATTTGAGAAATTATATGCTTAATGCTAGATGGCAAAACTTTGGCCAACTGTTCAATGAAAAAATGCAAGACAGATAGACCCTCCCCTTGAAGTGATTCTTTGTCTATGGCATGCATAAGGAGAACCATCAGTTTAGGCACGTAAGTATTAAGATGGGAACCCATCATTTTAATCAACATCTCAATACGTGTCAGGGCTTGCCTCTGAAGCACAAAATCATCAGCATGAAGCATTTTTCTATCTATACTATTAAGAAGGCCAACAAAGTGACTCCTCAAAAATCCTGGAAGATCTTCCCCACCCGTCAAAACTTTAGCAATGTCTTTGATTAGCTGAGGCACTCTTGCTAACCTGTTAAATAAATACAAGAACGTCATACAGTCTGAAATTTACATTATTCAGTTTCTTAGAATAGCTATTTACTCCACTAAACTGTCATTTTTTTTAAAAAGAAAAGTTTAGTACATAGGAATTGCATATGCACAACTTGATAATTGCCAGCCATAGCCACAACAAATCCACAAGTCAGCAAGAGCAAAAAAAAAATATAATTATATATAGAATTTTGATGGTGACAATTAATTTGGGCAAGTGCATTCAAGAATTCACTATGTCAAGGCCAGAATGCTGCACAACAGAATATCAAAACAGCCTTTTGGGGCTTAGGATTTATCGTTAAAGGCTTTCAGGTTGTTAGAGCTCTTGGGAAATGTTCTTTCAAATCATTTGAGTTCAAAATTTTAAAAAGGAGCATTTTTGGACTTCTCGAGGATCCTATTTGTCAGAGTGCAAACCAAGTAGTCTTGCTCATACATAAATGCATTTGGTGCAGGACCTGTCAACTGGTACGTGAGCAGCATCTAACTAGCCTACTATTGGAAATGACTATCATTTCATAAGTGAGCAGTCAACTAAGTGTCTCTTTCCCTCTTCCTCAAACTCCAGAATCTATAAAGGGCAGTTGAGGACCAGTTGACTGGTGCAGTGCAGAAAAGCTCCTGCAACTTTACGATGATTTTTTGCACAACTTAACTTTCCTTCTCTCTCAAACAGCTCTATTGGGATTTGTGACATAAATAGGAGCCCTTATGAACTAAGAAACATGGAGAAAACTTGCTTTAATCTAATGAAATCATTCTTGAGCTCTAAATCACTCTCTTTTACTTCTAACTTTGTTTCCATTGTAGAGCTCCTCTTTTGAGAGTCTTTGCTGATATTTTCTATTTCTTTGGAGAGAATTTAAAATATGCAAGATAGAGATTCCCTGAGTAGTTGTAAGGTGAAAACCCATTGTATGAGGAGAGACCCTTAATTGTGAGACTCATTTGAGTCATTTAATGTAAGGAGTTTGCATGTGCTTCTTGGAATATTGCTTGAGTACTACTCTTAGCAAACACTTACGCCCGTGCTATAAGCCAAACCAGGGAAAACTTTTTGCATTTGATCTTTCTCACTCTTCTCTCTCATCATTTCACTGCCCTTTATTGTTGTCACTAACTCATTCATTTGTGCAACTTCTTATTCTTCATCAAAATTCTTGGATTCCCAGTTGCATCTCAATTTTCAAAGATCCATTTTATTTTTGGCACAGCATTCTCTCAGCGATTTCTTAAAAAATATGTCATTTAGTTTCAAATTTTTTTTCTAAAGCACACAATTCATTCTACCCCTCCCACTTGGGTGTCTAACCATTCCTGATAGATGGTAATTCCTTATGATCCAAAACATAAACAGCTACACTTACGTACAAAACAATGCTCATAAAGATTTTATAGCAAAAGTCAATGGTTCAGAAGCAGCACACAATGGTATTTACAAATTATACCTAGTAATAAAAAGAATTAAGGCTCCCTAAAATTTCACATTCATACAAAGAACTCTCATTCATTAGTTTGCCCATTATCTCATTAAAAAGATACATCTTGACATGAAGGTGACTTAAAGTGTAGGGGAATCATTTACACATAACTCAAAATTTGAAGGATGGACTCCACCGCCAAAAAGCAGTTCAAGGAGATATGAGGTCAATAACATATCACATTCCGTTAGTGAAATAATGAAATAAATGACTATAGATTCCTTGTCAACATTAAAAGGTCAAGAAGGTTCTTTGCACATGGTTCAAAGTTCAAGGAAGTTTTGTATATTTTAGCCAAATATCAACATCAGACTCATAAATTCACTCAAATTACCTTCTGCTTATCTCATCTGCATCATCAACATCGACAAAGCATACAAGTTCATCCAAAAGTGCAGGTAATGCAGCTGCAAATATTTCCTGCTTGTCAGAACCAGTCTGTGCATGGTAAAACTGCACAGCAGCAAGTAACTGCCGGTCATCTTCTTGATGAAGAGCAAAAGCAAGGACTTTTGGCAACCAGTTAACTATTAGAGGCACCATATCAGTGTTCAAGCACTTGGCCAACTCATATAAGGTAAGAAGTGCTTGACTATTATCCTGTTGAGACACCACAAGCTGAGGGAGAACAAAAGGAATCATTTTCTTGACAAATTCTTCAGTTTCAACACCAAAAACAGTTTCAGCAAACTCCCTCACTAAGTGGGGGCGGCTGGCAAGTCTCTCAGAGAGATAATTAAAGAGTTGGGTTCGAATAAGAACATCTTTGGAAAGAATTACCTCAAGTCCTCCTTTAAGATGCAGAAAACAGGATTTATGTATTAACCTTGAGGCATTCATTCTTATAGTCACACGTGAATTATCAAGCTGATCAACCAATAGTATAAGGGAACACAAGAAAAGTGGGTTATCTATACCAACAGCAGCCATGATCTCTGATGTACATTCCAAAATAGCCTCTAATATCAGGGGACTTTCAGCTGCTGCCACAGCATGTTTAATTATATCCAGGAATCCTTTTCCCTTACCTTTTTCAGTGTCCTCTGGAAAAATTAAACTCAAAATACGGTCCTCTGCAAAGGAACTGATTTGACTGCAAAATGCTTCTCTCAAGTCCTTGCTCTTGTTAACAAGTAAAAAATCCACACATTTTATCCATTCAGACCTCGTTCTCAGCAAAACATCAGGATCTCCATGTGCAAGAATACGATTAATAACTGCCACACAGGAAACTTGGACATCTTCAGAGGACCCATCAAAAAGGAGTTCAAAAAATAACGACTGTAGTTGAATAAAATTATAATCAGAACTGACATCTTCATGGATATCCAACCGAAAAGCTATAGCAGGATGATGCTCACTGCAGTTGGAAATTACTTTTCTATCACATTTCGAACACCTGAGACCTTGCAGCAAACAATCAACTGTCGAACATGTTTTTTCAATTTTTGCATTGAGATATAATTTGCACTCATTTGTGTAACCAGATACAGATCTACTACATCCGTAAAGGCATGACAAAAGACCAAGAGATTTAGCAACAATTGTTTTGACTCTTGCATTGTTTCTCTTTAAAGACCTGCAGATTCGATATTGAAAAAGTAAACAACCATTAGATTTTGATGAAAATTTAAAAAAAAATGTTGCTTTGGACATCTCATTTGATGCTTATTACAGTCAAATAATTCAACAGCCAACATGCAAGTATCATAAATAACCAGAATCCAAAACTACACACGAGATTGAAATTTGTTACTACACCCAACACATGACATATTAACCTGTTAGATCCAACCTTTCTCAAAAAAAACATGAGACGTAATGGAGACTTCACATCTGCCTAAACATATCACAAGGACTTAAAAAAATAGTGTTTTGATTTCATCAAGGAACCACACTAGGGTTAAATAACAAGTCTAAGGGGAAAAGGTCAAGTCCAGATTGTGTAGCACAGGCCTCCTAGCCAATGGAGCATGGAGAGTTCCAAAACAGAGCAGCTTGCGACAGACAGCTAAACCCAGGAAATATGGCACAAAATACAGTTGAAGAATTCAAGCTAAACCTTCATGAAACGTGCTGGCTAATTTTAATTTAGGTGCCTTAGTGGGAGTATTTGTTTACATGCATCATATATCTGACAAATCCCTTCTCTTGAAATACTTCTGTACCTAACTTACAGCAAACTAAAACCTCTAGACTATGCAGTGCCCAGCAATTCTTAGCGCCATGGTGTATGATAAACTATATCAACTTATACAATCAATCACATCCCCATTTATCATAAAAACAGAACAGCACATGTATTCCTACTTTTTAATATTAGAAACAAACACATCCCCAACCTAAATTAAGAAAAACAAAAAATTTAAAAAAAGGACTGATGGAACCTATCTCAATGGACCTTTGGCTAAGACCTACAACAGAAAAGGAAAAGACGCAAAGAAGGGGACCAAAAATGAAGTGGTTTTAGACACAGTGGTTCCAGAAAATAACTGGGAAATGGTCCCAGCACTGTGGTATCAGAATATGACCGCTGCCAACCTGGCAAGAGGTAGTAGGGTGAACTGGAAGAAAAAGATGAGTAGAACACTACCAATGGATTATGAAGAGATGCAAGGGTGGTGGGATGAAGAAAAAAGTTAGGAGTGCTAGCAAGAGGCTTGCCTCCTGAATGCAGGAGGATGCTTTCCCATTTGCCGGGTGTTTTGCTTCCTATTTCATCTGTAAACCAGCCTACAAAGTGCTTGAGCATTGAGTAATTTTCTTCATAGATAAAAGATAGTTGCCTTGAATAGATATACTGTTTTTCAAGATAAAAGAATATCAACCGTGAAAAAAAAAAATTTAATAGTTTAACCAGAAACAGGAAGCTGCATAGGAACTACATCCCAGAAAAGAATCAGGAAATTAGGTGTTAATAACTAAAGAAAACCAAATCAAAAAGTCTTGATTAAAAGAGGAAACAGATCATCCCAATGACTAAGATCCAAACTTTGAAACTCCATTGCGCCATATTCACTCAGACTGGACAACAATATCCAAAAGAAAGTTCCAAATCCAATCTGAAGAATGATGTGACATCAATAAATCAGAATGATTGTTCACACGAATTGACGTCTTGGATTAGTTTACAGAAAAACCATTAAGGTATATAGAAATGACAGAAAATACTTTAATTATGTCACCACAGGAAACAAAATAGTTCAGGTATGAACAGCTTATCTATAACTGTCATTAAAATAAAACAGGAGACGCACAATGTCCAATCATAACAGTGAATCAACCAACAAAAGACAATTTTGAATTAAAAAAAAAAAACCGTAATCATGCAAGCCAAAAGGGAAAATTCAACTTCAACTATTTACTTACTCCATCCTTTGAAAGACTGGAGGTAACAAATCATGACCAAACCACAAAACCATCACTGGCATAGAAATGACAGCTTCAATTCTTACTTCTTCAGCTTCATCAAAAAGACCCAAATCTAGAACTTCTAGAACAACCTCATTGTTCAAACTTGAACCTAGCTTAGATGCAACTTGAAGAGATAGACATTTTGTTTTCCATGGACAATGATGATCAACAGCCGGAAGCCTATGAGTCCAGGGAAGTTTCAGCACTACATGCCAAAGGTCTGCATCATGATTGCCATGTAATAATTTGTTCTCTCCGAAAGAGGCACCTGATTCATCAGTCACGCAGTCAAAAAATCATAAAACTCTCAAGCATGAAATGGATGCTTAAGTTAACAAAAGGGGAAGTTTAACAAAATACAACATGCTTTGTTGTCCATCATCAGTCTGCAGCCCTAGAAGAACTAACCACTCAACCATCACATAGACAACATGCAGAAGGAAGAAATTAAAGAATGCTTAAAAGAAACCCATACACACAATGTAAGGCTTTGAAAGCACATCATTTTAATGAGCCTCTCCACACTAAAATAAAAGTTGAACAATGATTTCAATAAAACATGTCATGGAAAAACAAGCTTCATGTTTGCCCAACCATGACATTTTGTGTCCAAGATGTATGCAAAGTTAGAAGTGACGCTTATATAAGATTACTTGTCTATCAAAAAACTTTACCAAGTACAAAGCTATAGTTCAATAAATAAAATTTATAACATTAAGGGAATGACAGCAGTCATAAAATTTAGTTGGAATCAAATGAAAATCAAAGGAAGAGCATATAAGTGAAAAACTTGGTCAACAGTCTTAATGAAGGATAGGCTCAAAGCTTACTTTGTGAAAGCAATATGCTGTGAATTCCTTCCAGGTAAATGGAGATATTAACGCTAATCGATTTCTCATGTTTTGCCTACATTGAAAGACAGCATAATTATTCAAAAGGAAACATACCAGATAACATGAATTAGTAACTGCAATCTCAGTGTACCTGCTCAACTATCCAAGGAAGCCATGAAAGCATCTGCCGGAAGACAATAAGTGACAAATGGGTATCTGGATACATAGAGAAGACAATGCAAAGCATGCTAAGTGCTGATAATGCTATATCTGGTCTCAGGGGAGAAGGTTCGGTAGCAGGAGCATTTAAATTTTGAACAAATGACAGAAGAGACTTATTCATATTGTGAGCATAATCTTCTCCCTTTGCTAAAGTAACCATATGAACATATTTGCATTGCACCTCGACATTCGCATCAGCAACAACGTCTTCATTTAATTTTTGTCGTTTGATCTTTAATTGGCCCGCCTCCTGAAAGGGCCTCTTTTCTCCAAGTCTGAGGTTATCTTCATGTGCTGATATGGTTAAGGTCTTATTGTAAACTTGCATTCCCACAAGATGTGGACCAAGATTAGATAAAGCTGCTTGAAAGCACTCTATTAAAGGCAAGAATGGTTCTGGATGATAAAGTGCAGATACGAGAGATTCTGGCTGCCAGGTATGAGGAGGGCAAACTTTAACAATCCTCACATATGCTGTGCATAGCGCAACCTTGGGGGGAAAAAGCACTATTAGATTCCTGTACACGATTTACTGCCCCGGTCTATCACTCTCAGTAGAAAAGATGAATACCTCTATATTAAACCAAGCTAAACTAAGAAAACTTAAGTATTAATCTTAACCTTGAGTTCCTTGCTTTCCGTTCTCCGCACCGATTGCAGGAACACATTGACTAAATCAGCAGCTGTTGATTTAACAACATCTTCTGAGCAACTGGAGTAGAGTGAATTGAGGCAAATACCCATGGATGAATCATAAGCCATGTTTCTGCAGGTGAAGCCTAAGTCATAAACAAATCTAAATGGATTTTCTCTGTTAACTTCGTTTTGTTCGTGTAAAAATTATTTCCAAAAGGTCAACAAAGTTTAAAACTAAATAAATACAAGCAGAAACTGTGTTGAAACCGTAAGCATGTAACAATCAGAAAATAATTTACCAAGCGGACATCCTGATTTACTATTAAAACCCAGCCCTAAAGAAATCATTGAACAGAGCAAACAGTGTCAAACCTGAATACAGGAAGCCCCTCTTTGTCCACACTCAAGATAGTAATTATGGACTGGATAAAATTCTGATAGGGTACAATATGATAGTTCGTCACCGTTACAATGATGCCCACAAAGTCAAAACATGCCTTCCAAAAAGCCATAATTTTCAGAGTCAGGTCATTTTTAATTCTAACAATTCAAATAAATCAAGTCAATACTGAGTTCCAAGTTTTATCAGCTAGCTGATGAGAATTCCAAGTTTTATCAGCCAGCTGATGAATCTTAAAACATTTGGGGCTAAAGTTACCCACCATATGCAGAGCAGCATCCCCGTAGCATAAAAGAGAACATGCAGCAGAGACAAATGCTGTGTTGACCAAGCCCTCAACATACAGTGTCCCTTCTGTTAGACATTTGCTGAGAAGCTTTAAAATCCAAGTCGCAAAAGGCTGCCATCTCCTTTTGTTGCTCAGGTCAATTAATAAACCACATCCATCGACAGGTTTGTTACTTGCTGGGAGATCTCCAATAATAGCAGGATCACTGACAATTCCTTTAAAGGACTCACAAAAGCACTTCAACCTTAGCCTAGTGGATTGTGTGCTGCTAGCATCATGAAGACAGAGAGAGACCAGGTGTATAATATCTGTGAAGACAAAAAGCATTTCAACATTATCAACCAAAATCAATGACATGATTTTTCATAGAAAGATCCAACAATAAAAATTGTTGTGGACAGTCCCTTTCATCCCCTCCCCCCCCCCCAAAAAAAAAAAAAACCTCCCAAACTCAAAATGAGACCAACAAAAGTTCAATGAAATCAATCACATAATTCGCCATGGAGAAGATAGCAAATAAGAAAAGACAGATCATTTATTTAAGAAAAGGGTGATACATTGAATATTGTAGTTCATAATTTTCACATTCATACCTTCAACGACTAACATGGCATCAGCACAAAATTGTCTATATGCATCTCGTGCTCCAGTGCGAAGCAAAGATAAAAGTGACCCAAGAGTTTCAAAGATTACCCCATGACGAGATCTGAAATTGTACATCATTCTTCATAAACAGCTATTTTACAGGTAAAAGACAGGGAATAGTTTCTATTAACAGAAAATGAATAAAAAGATCATTTTCCCTTTCATATTACCAAATTAAAAACAAGAGAGAATAAATTTTCTATGGCAAGCAACACCATAAAGCCATCCTGTGCCAAACAAAACCTTTCAACATCATACAAACGTGAAAGTTCATATACTGAACAAACCACAATACTGAGCTTTGTCACGTGCCTTTTTGTCAACCCTTTAATGTACACAGACATACAAAGTTGTAATAAAGAAAACAATATCTGGATTTTAAAGCTGAAAATTTGAAAGAACTAGTTGAGAGAGGAAAGCTAAAGAGTAAAGACTTCGCTATTAGAAACTGGCATGAGATTACAGTATTCCAAATCCCTCATAACAGTAACAAATAAACTTGCAAGATTAATAACATCATTCACAAGGTGATAAGCTTCTATGATCAAACGGCAGACAATGTGCGTAGTTAAAAATAAATTCGAACTCAGGATACAATGGATTTATAATTTCTCTATAATTCAAGTCCAAATTGTTGACGGAAAAAAAGGTCCAAATTACCTTTGCAAGGAGCGATAGAGGGGTGTGTTGGAGATGTTCATAAAATAATTCTTGGCATTAATACGCAAATAACTAACAGCCATGCCAATAGAAATCAGAAAAGAGAAAACAAGTCACAAGCTCCAAGGTTAAAAACTGAAATTCCTCTGAAATAACTCACCCAAATGCGGGCTCTGCAAAGAAAGGTAATATCTGACCAATGATTGGTACTAAGGCACTAGCCTTGCCATGGTAAAAGACTCCAGGAAAATTTCTTGCAATACGAGATATAAGCTTCACCACTGCAATCACTTCTCTCTCATTTGCTGCCAAACAGAAAATCAACTTCATACTCCAAGCGTCTCAGCTTGAACGTGAGTAAACTACCGTAGTTAAACCTTATATTCCATCAGTCAGAGTAGCACCACCGTTTTAAACTTGTGGCTTCTTTACTAAGTTCTAACTAAGGCTTCACACATTTTTTTGTTTCGCCGACGCATGATGCGAAGTAGAAGAGAAACCGAAACATTAACTAGCTCGGCAATGCAAGAAAGCATTAATTGCCAAAAGAAGTGTTTTCCCCCAAAGTTTTCTGAGGAGATGTAGAGAAGAAACAAAATGATGGGAATGGATAGAAAGCATACCAGAGGAACAAGGGAAGACACAAGCATGAAGAAGATTGGGAAGCACAGCGCGGAACCTGATCTCCAAAGCATCGTCGTCAGCCTTACCGGGGCTAGGCGAGGATGACGAAGCTGCAATGCGTTCTCGTAGTTCGTGTAGAAGGCTCGAAAGGTTGGCCTTGGCCATCCTGCTTTCATTCTCTTCTCTATTATCTTCCCTCTCAAGTCTCAATGCTCGAGTGATGTCTGCGCTCCTGAAGCACCTGCTTTCGTCTCTTTTGGCTCCGTCGCGCCAATTTCTTTTGCGCTTGTTTCATTTTTCTTCCCCCCCCCCAAAACCAAATTTTCAATCCATCGGCTGGTCTTCTTTCCCACTTGTTTTTTGGTTTAGTTTTGATCATTTTATGTAAACTACTATGTTGCTGGTAAATTTTGTTTTTAATAATTGAAGATGAAAGGAAATATTTAGAACACAAGGTTAGAACTTAGAAACGATGCTTTACTATAAGACTACTTAATTAATATGAATAAATTAATTTAATTATGATAAATGTATTATGATCTTAGTTTTTAAGTTAAATACGGAAAAAATAGCAAATATAAGAAATAAAATATATTAAAATCTTATACTTAGAGACTAAATTTGTTCATAGGAGAGAAGAGAATAAATATACATCTAACTCATCCTACTAAAATTAGCAACCACAACAGATGGTTGATGAGAAGAGAAGCTTGTTAGTTCAAGGACTGAGAGTGGGCTCTGAATACTGAGGAGCTGACTGATCAGAAATTTTATGAGGCACTCTATCTCCCAGAGTTCCAAGAAAACAGCTGTTGATCTTGTTTTCTAAATACTCCTACAAAATTGGCAAATATAAGATTTTTCATAGTCATGAGAAAGGCAGTTGCAGAGGACAACTTTTTGGCAGCACCCAGCAAAAGAGGATATTTTGGCTGGATCAATCCTTACAGCAGCAGTCAGCAGAGCAGCCAGACCGGACATGATGAGTCCAATCACATAGGAGAAAGAGATGCTCCATAGGTTCCGGGCTCTGCCAAATATGGCGCCATTGCAAGCCCTCCACAGAAAAGGTTTTAACCTTCGCCTGCACTTGAAGTTGCCAAATGCATTTCCACATTCCCTTAGAAAGACTAGCAGAGGAGTTCGGGAGCTGGTTTGCTCCAGCTTGGTTCAACACAGTCCAAGTTGGTTTGTACCATGAGATTGTTTTCCTAGATATATTTCATGCAATAAGCTGATTTGATAACTATTGTGATTTTTTTATAATTTCATTTTTAGAAAATCTTATTCCAAATTTTAAGTTCATTTCCTGATTTCATATCATATGAAATCAACATGTATTGGTTGATTATTAATAATTTGAAAAATGATACTTCTAATTTTAATATTATTTTCTAAGGGAATATACTTTTTAAAAAAATCCTCATACTTTTAAACAATAAATAAAATGCCTATTTTATTTTTTATTTTTTGTTTCTTGTTTTTTTTAATATTTTTTACTATCCCGACCTTAGCTTGATATTGGTCTACCATGGTTTAAGCACAGGTCCAAATATCAACTCAGTATATTCCAAGCCAAGCTGGGACCCCCCCCCCCAAAACCTCTTTTTTTTTTTTAAATGCCCATTATATGTAAATGTTAAATAAGTTACCTAAATTTGTTAAAATGCTTTCAAGTCTCTTTGAACCTTTTTTTTTTTAACCAGCAAAGTCTACTTGAACTTAGTTGTGATTAATTTTACATATAAAATATCACACATTTCATTTCTACTGCATTGATTATTCACTGGCATTGACCAACCACTGATAACCATTGACTAGTCGCTGGATAATGTTTTAATTTTTTTTATTAAAATACCAATACTTTAAGGTAACCTCTTCCAATGTTGACGCTTTAACATTTATAACTCAAAAATCTAAGTTTTACAAGTGAGTTTACATAATTTTTTGTATTAGTTCTTCAAATTTTATACATTAATTCGCAAGTCAGTTTCTCAAACGTAGGAGTCATCCTTTTAAATATATAAACCAAATTTCAAAACTTATAATAAGGTAAATAATACTCAGATCAATAGCCTTTAAATTTAACAAGTTGAATTGTAAAAAGTTGCAAGATTTAAAAAAAAAAAAAACTAATGCAAAAGTTTTGTGAAATTTGATTTATAAACATTATTCCTTTGATCCTATTTATAAAGTATTTCAAGTATGTTTCACATAAAAAAAAAACTATATTAACCCTCCATTAAAATAAACTATTTAATATATATGCACTTTTTTTGTGAGAACAAATATACACCTTTTAAGAAAATTATCTACACTATGATAAATAAAGAACAAAATAATATATTCATGACAAAAATTTAATAAAATAACTCATACATAGGATGAAAAAATTTCATATGTCTTATAAACAGAATCAAAGGAATATATTACAATATTAATTATTGCCAAAAAAATTAAAGTATTAATATTATAATAGGTTGACGTTTAAATATAAGAAGTTTGACTTTTAAAACTTGAAAATTTATTATATTTGACTTGCAAATATCCAAATATCAATATTTTCATAAAATAATTATTAATCAATGTGAAAAAGCATTAATATTATATCTTACATTGAAACATTAAAACATTGTAAAAACACATATAACATCGTTAGCAAATTGTCTCTCAAAACTCAATTTGGATATTTTTGTAAGACATTCATGTCATCTGATCACATTATATTGATTTCCATTCTTAATTTTTTTCATTTCCAGATCTGACTACAAAAGAATACTTCTTGATTCTAATTTCGAAAGTATTCAGTATCACAAATCGAAACTATAAAAGTACTTTTAAAAAATACTTTTCCACAAATCGAGACAAATTCATTTACATGTTTATTTCGTATACCGTAAAATCACTTTTAAAACTATGATTTGGTTTTCATCCAAACATCTTCTTTCGGTCCGTCAAATACATTTTTGGCCCAAAAATTGATATTTTTCACAGAAGCATCTTTCTCTCTTCCTTTTTACTTCCGTGTTCCTAGAAAGACAAAACCATCCTACTAATCATGGCCTCGGAACGAGCGAAAACAAGGAAGGCGGCATGAAAAATCGCCCAAGATCCATATTATGAGCTCCGTAAACTAATATACAGTATAATTAATAACCGGAAAACCCCACTTTCTTTAATCCTATCCTGCTGAACAACACTCCCCAGCTCAGGTTCCTCCTACTAGTCAACCTGCGATTGTGGCCCAACTAGGTGGAAGCCGTTCAGAAGTGGTAGGCATGCTTCTAACGTTAATATCAAGAGGAAGAAGACGATACTGGATGTCAAGCTCACGGAATATCCTGAGCAGCTCTTCAATCAGAAGGGATCTTCTGACAAACCTTTCTCCCATGTCTTGGTGGTTCATCCTATGAGTTGGCCAGATCGAGATCCTTATCATGTTTAATTGTTCCAGATCCCTGAAGACTATAAAAGCTTGAGGATACCAGTGCTCCTTCTTGTTGTCGATGAAGCTACATTTTAGTCATTACGAATTTCAAATTTCATGTTAGATGTACACCATAACACAACCAAGAATACAAACAATACAAGGGAAACAGTTTGTTCCTGCCCATACCTATGTATTCTTTGTTTCATGAGAGCAATCTTTTCAGCTGGGGTGGACACGTGCACAAAGAAATCAATAGCATCTCCCATTTCAGGACTCCGGTAGAAATTATGTATGGCCTTAGTAGCAAGGACGCTGTTGGGGATGATTATTTTTTGATTGTCATATCTTAAAAATATGGTTGTCAGAATATTCATTTCTTCCACAACCATCTGCAATTAGATCGCAAAGAGGTCAACAAGAGTTGGGCCTTGCATAAGCGAAAACAGAATCTGTAAACGCGTAAAGAGCTAAGCATTACCTGGATCCCATCGATTTCACACCTATCTCCCACATCAAATGGGTGCATGACAAATAAGAAAACAATTGCTTCAAATACCGTCTTGCAGGTATTTCCAAATACAAACGCAACCAAGACAAGCTGTGAGCTCACAAAGAGAAGCAATTTGGTGCTGGCAATTCCCAGTATTAATAGCCAAATAACTAGTATGATGATGCCGACTATAAAATTGAGTATTCGATGAAGTTTGTTCACTGCGGTTTTGGTATCAGTCAATGTCAATGCAAGCGCTCTCCTCTCTCTGAAGGCATTAACCTGTAATTTTGGAATAGAGAACTCGGGCATAAGTATTATATAAGCAACGCAAACAACTGTATCTAATCTAAACATACATTGAAACCTTGCATCAAGAAAACATAGACCAAGATCGCCAATCGAAAATTTTATTCCCCTCCGATCATCACATCGCATTAAAGGAAAATACATAGTTGCATGAACAGGTGAAGAAGAAATACACAAAAATGGTCATTAATATTAATTGCATTGGGTCATTCATATCTGCACTTGTGTGTCTTATGGACAGAGGATGTGGTGAGGTGAGATTATTTCATCAACAAGCTAATATAGACTAGTTTCAAAAGCAGCCAATATGTTGAGGAGTATTTACTTGTAGAATGACAGGGAATCATATCGAGAATATGATAAGAGGCATAAAAATAGTATTGTAAAATTTAGCTCCTTAGAAGCAGATGATATCGTACAGCCTAATCAGAAAGAATTCACGCGGACAATTAAGTTGTTAATAGGCTACAGAATATAATCCACCCCTGTTTTGTTTTCCAAATCAAGCTTCAGGTGTTGCCAAAATTCTTACCACCCAGTTCTTCAAGGAAGATTTGCTGATCTTCCCCGACTCAGATGCTCCTTCAAAGAGATCCATGGTTTTCTCGGCTTCATCTTCCCGCATAAAACGCATCAAATCCTCCAGGTAAATGAACCTGAAAAGAAAAACAATAAACTTTATCAGTTAGGCGTGTGGATCCTCTAGAGTTCTCATCAATTAGGCAGAGAAGAAAAGATTATAAATCATTGCCAAGTTATCAATCATTCATTCAATCATCAACGCTTAAAATATGAAGGATCAAAACAAGATGTGACGTTGAACATAGTCAAGGAGTCAGTAAAGCTTCCGAGACTCAGCCCAACCTTCAGGAATCATTTTATGAACTGCGATACCATGTGCGTCAGAGATTACGATTGTATATGCATAAAAGATGAAGGAATGAGAAATTAGTTTCATAAATACAATTAATCTA